GAGGGGAAGGAATAGTTTTCCTCCGGGTTGAGGTCCTGCGGAAGTGGATCGCCCTTTTGAAGCTTCGTCACCAAGATCTGATAGTTGACATGGGTTATTTGGTGCTGCTTGAGGACTTTGCTCAGCAGGTGTATGTAGTGGGTGAAGTCCTGGCCAAGTTGGAAGATCAGGGCACAGATGCAGTCCATAGCAGCTTGGCGTAAGACACGATCGCCAGTGGCCACGACCCGCGACAAAGCATGGACCATGAGGGAAGCGAAATCGGAGACATTAACTTGGCGAGACAGCTTCGTCAAGCTGTCAATGGCTGACTTGCGAATACTCTGAGGGTGCTGTGGTCGTTCAAAAAGACGGACGATGGCAGGAATTATGAGGTGCATGTATTCCTCTCCACTAGAGCCAAAGATCAAGAAAGCATGAAGGATTTTCTCCGATGGTTGACGGCGCGGTGTAGTGTCCTTTTCAAGGGTATCCAACATGAGGGGTATCAACCGAGCAAGGTACTTTCTGAACTCTCCCTCCAAGGACCTGGAAATAGCCTCCACCAAGGCCAAAATCGTACCCTGTACCTGATATGACGCATCCCAGAATTCACGGATCACGTCAATGATTTCAGGCAGGAATGCACGAATGTGCTGACGCACAATGTTTACCAAGATAGCCATCTGGTTGAAATAAGACTCAAGACGGCTAGCAGGGGAGCTTCTGATAACCGAAATGAATGCGGGAACGATCTGTCCTAGGAACGGAACACACTTTAAGCCTAGAGTCTTGAAGATGGTAACAATCGCGTCAATCACTGCAGAGTGGTATTGAACCAAGGAATTTTCTCTGAGGATATTCTGGAGCAATGTATGAATTACCACCGTGGGATAATACTCCTCGTTCGATGGAGTAAGGCCCTGCATGATCAAGGCAACATCCGAAGGGTTCTGAACCTCGTTGATATGGTGAACGTCGGGTTCCACGTCACTAATTTGCTGGTACTTGTAGGGATCAAGAGCACCAAGCACGCCCACGAGCTTGATTGTCTCTTTCCGCAATGACCCTGTTTGTTCTGTCTTGATGATGTTGATCAAAACGTCAAGCAGATGGGGGTACTCGAGATACGGGTCGATCACATAGCCAGCATTGCCAGCCAATTGACCGAGGGTCCGCAGGGCCGCCTCGCGCTTGGTATGGGAGGAAAGATCTTGAAGCGACTCCAAAATTATGGGCATTATCTGTGGCAGATACCGTCTCATCTCGGGCCCGCCAACGTTGGCAAGTTCTCCCACAGCCTTAAGGGTGGTTGCGGCGACGCCTGGGTTGCCATCTGTTGTTTTGGGAAGAAGCGCCGTAACCATGGGGTCGACATACGATCTGATCAGCTTTGTTGCGTTGGAGACAAACAAGCTGATAAGCTGGGCAGTCTCTTCCTTTTGGCGGGCAGTGTTCGCAAATCCGAGTCCAGTGAGAAGATTGACCAGCAGCTTCCGCAGCGGGGGGAAGACATAAGCTGGGTTCACGCTAGACAGACGGCCGATGATGCAGATCGCAGCTTCCTTGACTTCAAAGACCTCATCGTTCACCGCGAGAAACAAGCAACGGATATTTTCAGGGCGGGCCAAATGGCGATCAAACTTCCGATCCAGGGACCAGAGAACTGTGCGTCGAATCTCAGGGTCCGGATCACCGATACCAACCGTCAATAACTTGTCAATGACTTCACTGACAACTTGAATTGAGTGCCCACTAGTCTGGTTGATGATCGGGTCGTGGACAAACAGCTGACAACATGTGAGGGCCGATGCTTTTCGGATTTCAGGATTGTCATTTTCCACGTAGTTGATGGCAACATCGCGCACAAATTCGTTCAAAATGTGACCGGAGAAGTCGAAGCTGCCAAGCGTGTGGAGAGCGAGCGCAATTTCGGCATCGGAGTAGCTTTCCTGGGGGCCAAAATCCCTTGCAAATGCGGGCATAGGGGGCAATCTGTTTTCAGGGCAACCAAGTGGTCGGAATGACGTGCCGCAGAGTATGATGCTTAGCATGTCGAGAAGTTTGTCCTGGATTACAGGCTTGATGGGAGGGATGTAGTGGGCCATGTCGACCAAAGCTTGTGTCAGTGATTTGCTAAGGCCGCATGCAAAGATGGCGTCGAGCAATTGCTCCATGTGGGTATTAAGGGTTTGTCCGACTGCTAGCGAAAGCATACTGATACACTCAAACATAGGAGCTTCGTCAACTCCTGCCCGGTTTCTCCTGTTGCAAGTCAGTTTGTGATTGAAAGCGTATGTTGAAGAGATTTATTACTCACGCCTTCATTGCGAGTCCCTCGCGGATGTAGATAATGATTCCATCAAGGTATCCACTAATAGCAGGTCCCACTGCATTGGCAATCTTACCAATAGCAACAAAAGCAGCGTTCCTTTCCTTCTCCCTCTTGAGTTGGGCCTGAAGGTAGACCATGGATTTGTGTAGATATGATTCGATGAAGTCGGCGGGGGCATAAGATGCGAGGATAGGGATGGTAAGGACGACTTGGTTGCGAATCTTAGAATCTCGGTGATCCTTGAGGCGGAGCACAATTTCACAGGCATTGCGATAATGCTCCTTCATGAACATTGTGCCTTTGAGGAACAGCTCCTTTAGAATGAGGAGTGATCCGTGAATCCAGTCCATATTATGGGACTTCAGTCCCAGCAGCGCCTCTTCATAGATTCTCGCAAACCACGATTGGCGAACAGATGAATCTCGGGCGACGATGATCTCGAAGCACTCTCCCACAGCTTGTGCAGCTGTCTCTCGGATGAGCACTTTCGGGTCTCGAAGTGCGACCCACACGAGCTCGAAAATCTGAGGCACGAAGCCATACAACAGTGTTGGGGAACCCTTGGCTAGCTCCCGAATCACGAGGACTGCAGCAAATCGTCGACTTTCCTGACGCTCTGACTGGAGCCACTCCAAAGCGGATTGGATCTCGCTCTCTACCAGCTCGGCCGTGAGTGCCCCGCCAGGTTTAGCCAGCCGTCCCAGCGATCGGGCCGCGCACACCAAGACAGCATTGTCGTTGCTTCGGAGGGCGCTTCGGAGATAGCTAGCAAATCGCGTGGTTTTCTGAGCGGCGTCTACCCCATCAAAGTCGATCAGGCGGTCGAGCGCGAGGAGACCACCGACTCGTTCATTGGCGTCGCTGCCAGTCACCACCAGCTGCGCGATTCGCTGACTGACGGCGTTGTAAAACTCGTTGAATTTCTCGGAAGGCCAATCTGTAAGCGAAGAGGAGTAAACAAGTCAGTCAGAGGCCATGAGCTCAGAGAATCCATGAAGACGGGGGTCTACCTCGTGAGACGGCAACCACATTATCGTAGAGCTCGAAGGCAGCTCGGGCCTTTATATCATCGTTCTTTGACTTCAGATCCGCAAATAACCGTTGAGTCACGTCTGTAATAGGACTCGCTTGCGCCATGTTTGCGAGCGAGCCCGCAGAGTGGACATTGGAAGCCAGTCTCTAAAATGTAAAGCAAAGTTCGCGGTGTGCATGAAAGGTGGAGGAGGGAGAGGTGGAGGGTCAGGTGTGAGCCTCAGGTCGGAGCCGGGGTGCACAGACCACGAGACCACGGGGCGGGCGTGGGCGCGGGTCCTGGTCGCGGCCTGGTCGCCTTCGTCAACTGGTGTCAAACAACTGAGCTGTAACAGCCTCACTTTTATTTTATCTCAAATTGAGCTTGCCTAATGATCGCCTCTACAATTTGGTTTTACTTTGCAGACTAGCGTCTTCAAATGATACGGGAGACAATTCGAATGCATGCTGGGTCGAGTATGAGATTGGCCTACACAGCACAAGAACTCTGAGATACCCTTCCATTCTGTATCACACAGACCTTCAATATGGGGGAATTCATCAATCAGATTACTTGCCTTTACGGTACATATATCAGTTCAAGCAGGGGCGGATTTCAACTTCAGGAAAGTCCAACCCAGATCCTCCACTCCCATGCCCGAAACAAGTAGGATGTACCGTAGAGTAAGGAGTGTAGTGAGTATGGGTCACGAGGTCTAGGCCAGCTGCTGGCAAATCGTGGGCCGTACAGTAGATTCCAAGCCAGATATGCGGCTACACACCCATGTTGGTGTTCTACGATCCTATAGTCCATATTGTTGTGGCTGGCCAATCGAGGTTACAACGAGAGTGACATGTAATACTCAGATTAGGCGACACTGACCGTCATATCCAATTAGGACTCCATGAAGTAGCTCCAGTGGTTTCGCTGGTGGAGTAGTGAGCTCAACTAAACAAAAAAAAGACTCCAATTGCCGCACTCGCCGCGATTCGAACCCCGATAGACGAAACATGACGAGACGCTCCTACCTCAACGAAGCTTCAGTAACGAAAAAAAAACTGGTAGCTTCTCTTTGATTGAGCGTGTCATCCTTAGTGCAGGGGCCATGCTAATCTTCTCTGTATATTTTCATTTGACCAAATGTCCCGAAGGACGGTGAAAGAGCCCGGGAAGTAATCCTTATACCCACTTGCGGAAGGGTTGTGGCAGAATCTGACCGCCCCGCGGGGTAACAGCGCAACGACATTAGTCATCGGGGCCCAGGTTGGATGCATTTACGATGTGCAAGGCAAGCCAACTCGAAAGGCTTGTATCCAGCAAGGATCGATTACCTGTACAGTTTATGGTTGGAAAAAAAATCGAACCAATTACAATCTTACACTGCGGGGCGGGGGGTTTTTTTCAGTGATAGAAGAATGCTCAAGTGTCTTACGGTCGTTTGTTTCAACGAATGTTCAATGTTTCCGAAGACAACGGCGGAAATATTATCGATTGTGTTGCTGCAGCGCGCTGACTACTGAGAAGCGGGGTTACCCGGCTTTATCAGACCATTAAGTCCTGAAATAAACACACAGCAAAGACTCCTCTTTGGTTGCTCAATGGCTATTTGTAAGCGATCGTGGTGACCTCGATCCGCTGCGTGGGGGGCCATAGATACATAGTGGGGAGTAATGACGGGATCGAGGGGCATGGCCTCTCTCATGAATTCATAAAAGCCGAGGAGTTCCTCGATTGCAACTAACCCGTATCCTCTCTCTGTCCACTCATACTTTCAAATCAAGTAACCTCATTAATAATTTGACTCAAACCAGCGACAATGGTGAAAGTTCTCTTAACTGGTACGCAAACTTGCGGTGAACTCCTCCATCCACTACAACGTCATCGATCTAATCGAGTCAAACAGGCGGTAGCGGCTTTATCGCTGCTCACATTATCGACATCCTGCTGCAGCACAGGTACGTAGAGCTTGGTACAGACGAGACCCTTCCATTACTAATGAATCAACTCGTCTTAGTTTTGATGTCGTGTTCACAGTTCGCTCCGATGACAAGGGTAAACGAATCCTTGAGAATCACCCCAACAAACCCCAGGAGAAGCTCTCCTACGTGATTGTCAAGGATGTGGCTCAAGAGGGTGCATTCGACGAGGTAAAAATTGGTGATGCGCATGCTGACCGAGCCCCTTTGCTAATACGCCGCAACAGGCCGTCAAGTCTGACCCTCCGTTCGACTACGTCCTTCACACTGCATCGCCTTTCCATTTCAACGTTCAGGATCCCGTGAAGGACTTCCTAGACCCCGCTATCAAAGGAACCACTGGCATTTTGAAGGCTATCAAGGCTAATGCTCCTACTGTGAAGCGTGTTGTCATCACCTCCTCATTTGCTGCTATTGTGAACCCAAAGCAGCACCCGAAGGTCTATAGCGAGAAGGAATGGAACCCAGTCACTTGGGAAGAGGCTCTGGATCATTCCAACGTTTACCGGGCCAGCAAGGTAAGTGTTTTCCACTCGGAAAACGAGTTGAGCTAATCATAGTCACTCTACAAGACCTTTGCCGAGAAGGCTGCCTGGGACTTTGTTGAGAAGGAGAAGCCCAACTTTGACATTGCCACTATCAACCCTCCGCTAGTCTTTGGTCCCATTGTTCACTACCTGAACTCTCTTGAAGCCATCAACACATCAAACCAGCGGATGCGGAACCTCATTCAGGGCCAATTCAAGGAGCAAATTCCTCCCACCGGCACATTCCTTTATGTTGATGTACGTGATGTGGCACTTGCGCACGTTCGAGCCATTGAGGTCGCCGAGGCTGGTGGTAAGAGATTCTTTGTCACTGCTGGTTTCTTTTCGAACAAGGATATCGTGGATGCGGTCCGCAAGACCCACTCGGAATTGGAATCTAAGCTTCCTGCTCCGGATGCCCCGAGTGACTTCCCATCGAATATCTACGAGATTGACAACAGCAGATCAAAGGAGATTCTGGGAATCAAGTATCGGTCCTTCACGGAGACCGTGGCAGATACAATCAGCTCCTTGCAGGACGTCGGTGCTTGAAAATAACGCACGAATACTTTCATATTCATGATAAAAATGATGAAAAGATACAGTAGTATTGAAATATTCCGTTATTCTTCTCAAGAATCACATAAGTAGAAAGCTGGTTTAGTTCTGTACTCCGTAAGTGGATTCTGTCTCCACACTATCCGGTCGAAATGCGCTCTCGGTTGTTGTCGCCCACCGTATTCACCTGGCCCGTGGCAGTCAACTTTTCTCCCGCGATCCCAACCAGCTAAAGCTTGTTCCATCAGGCATTGAACAATATGGCGACCGCCAGGCTATCGCCAACGGCGAATCTTCTGCGGAAGTCGCGACTATTTGCACTTCCTCAAGCTTTGCAGCCTCCTCAAGAGCCCCCATCGTCTAAGGCTGTTTTTGAGTCGGAAACCGCAACACTCCCTCACCCTATCCGGGCTTCGATTGTTACGCCGCAAAAGTCGCTGGCCCGAGGAGATTGGGGTCTGAAGCGAGCTCTTCCCGCTAAGTCGACGTCGGAGAAGTCATCGAGACCCGTTGTTCGCCTTCATGCCCTCGATTCCTACGAACATGTCACCGACTTCGAGTCCGCCGCCGATCACACGAAGACTCTCGAGAAATTCCAGGAGCTGCACATGCCCATGTCCTTGCCCGCCAAGGTTAATTACGCGACAAGTATTGTCCCCAGACACCAGAGCCCGTTCGAAACGCATGTCGATAATACCGAGACCAGCAAGGGTCTCGCAGAGCCCGGAGCCAAGCAGTACCGACACTCTGGCCCGTGGCTTGCTGGCATGACCCAGGCGGAGTTTGCTGCATACTTGAGCCAGATCTCCCGCAAGAAGCCCGAGTTGCTGCAGAAGCTGCGTGAGCGCTTCGTAGCCAAGCGTACTGCGGAAGCCCGGAAGCAAGCGCAGGATAACGGAGAGGACTTGGAAACCCTCCAGCCGCCCAAGGTGACTGACGAGGAGTTCCAGACTTATATCAAGACCCTGCGTACCGATCCATTTGCGCTAGGACCAGTCGTTTTCGAGTTGCTGGATCTTCCATCATCCCCTGCTGTACCGAGCGAACGCATTGGACGGAAGTACTACCAGTCTCCCGGAACCAAGCTCTCCGCGCCTGAATATGCCGTGACTGGCCCTCCTAAGACACACCCGTCTGCCGGTCTATCATACACTCGCTCACACGCCTTGACATATAATCACCCTCAATACGGTCCCCAGGCTTACCAACGTCCCGTTGAGGCCCGTATCCTGCGCCCGAAGGGTAGATTCCGCGGACGTATGTCGCGGGCCATCGCGGGTATTGGTGGTATTGCCGTTGAGGATTTGAATGCCATGACCTTCATGGACCAAGGATCTCCCCCTGGCCTGACCTTCTTCGATGCCACCATCCCCGGTGGTGCCAAGTACTGGGTCACCCCGATCCGTGCTGCTGTCGACTCCGAGGGCAGAATCGGACTTTCTTCTTACCGCGCGGGTGCTTCCTCCAAGGCGCCCTACGGCATTGAAGATTACAAGAAGCCGGGCTCCGCTAGTATCACCGACGCTGCCCACCGCCATGCTAACATGGTGCCCCGGCTGGACCGACCCCGATACCAGCAGCGGCCGCAGGGTGGCAGACAACCCATGAAGGGAACCGAGGATATTGCTCGCCTTCTCATGAATGATCTCAAGGCAGGTGCGAGGAGCAAGGACCAGAGTGTTTAAGATTGGGCTAAGAGTTGGCGAGCGAAACTGCAAAGTGTTGTACGATTAGACTAGGGGGCTTTTGTAAAGCTACTCTCACTACCCTTGTGAACCTGTTATATTAAAGCAAATGCATTCAATCTCATACTTTTTCTACCTCGAAATACCGATTGGTTTGATCTATCATTATAAAATTGTTCATGCAAGCATTACTGCAATTGGTTCTTTAGCGCTCACATAGAAAGGAAAACAGCTGACCGCCCCGGCAGTATCTTATTACATAAACCGACATGGCCCCGAATGACCCACGTGATTCATTAGGGCTTGGCTAGGGCAAGGACCCGCACAGAATTAGCGAAACGCCTCTCAGGACTATCCCAAGTCGGCTTCACTTTGATTCTTGTCACTGAACATCCGTCCAGCCAACATTCGCCAAAATGGGTCGCGTCCGTACTAAGACCGTTAAGCGGTCCGCCAAGGTCATCATTGAGCGCTACTACCCCAAGCTCACCCTCGACTTCGAGACCAACAAGCGCATCTGCGATGAGATCGCCATCATTGCCTCCAAGCGTCTCCGCAACAAGGTACGACGTACAACGGCTACGGAAAGATAGCGAACAACTACAATTGCGACAGCACAAACTGACTGTAATCCTCCTACATAGATCGCTGGTTACACCACCCACCTGATGAAGCGCATTCAGCGTGGCCCCGTCCGCGGTATCTCCTTCAAGCTTCAGGAGGAGGAGCGTGAGCGCAAGGATCAGTACGTCCCCGAGGTCTCTGCTCTGGATGTTTCCCAGACCGAGTCCGGCCAGCTCGACGTTGATGCCGACACCAAGGACCTGCTCAAGAACCTCGGCGTAAGTTTGCTCCCAGTCACCCGTCTCCACCACACCCTCGAACTCCGACTCCTAACATGCGCATTTCATAGTTCGACAACCTCAAGGTCAACGTCGTCGCCGTTTCCCAGCAGCAGCAGGCTGAGCGCCCCCGCCGCTTCGGTCCCCGCTAAATCCAGCACGCTGGATCAGCAAACCGAAAAACAAAAAAGTCTTTTTGTCTTCGGCCGACTCCTGGCGTGTCCCCGATCCTGGCTATTATGTTGTTAGCTAGAATGGAGGCTATAACTGGACGAGGAATGAAAAAAAAACATGATTCCCGTTGACAAAGGTGTCGCCGATTCTCCAGATGGAGATGACGCTTGATTGCCAATTACTTGTCCTTCGCGTGCTTGCTCTTGGGTGGAACTCTGTTTCCCTCGAGAATCAAACTACGTAGGAGCTCTCGAACTTGAGTTCGAGAGTCTCGACCAGTGGTCACGACTACGCAATGACTGCCCTCCCTCGTCTTGCTGTCGAAGATCCTATTTTCTCTGGTTGTTGCGTAGAATTCTCCCTATATTCATGCTGCGTGTGGTATTATATCATATGCTTTAAGGGTATAGAACTAGTACTGTAGAATCGCCCGGAACGCCGCAAAACATGCCGTGGCCTATGCGCCATCCGCTCTAGATTTGGTCAAGCAAATCGCCCTGGTCCAGGTCCATTGCGTCCTTGTCTCGTCGATCCTGGGGAACATATCCCTCGATCGAGCCACCTTTGGCATCCTCCGGCCGCCATTGTGGCGCACTGGCGGATGGAGTGCTGCTTTGTTCCTTTTCCTTGATTTGGACATCCACACGCCCCCCGCGGAATGGCCGACTTGTGTCTCCGCGTTCCATAGCGAGTTCCTGCGCGCGCTCGGGATCTTGAATATTCAACTTATTCAGGTCCGCTGCTACGGCTGCTGCGGATGTAGAGCCCTCGGTCCTTCGCTTTGGCCGTCTAGCACGGGCTTCTTCCAGTAGCTCGATGCCCGTGCTGCGGCCCTCACCACCTCGCCTCTCCCACACGGGTTGCTCAGTGAGTTGTACGCGAATGAACAGAGCTCTCTCTGCGCACTCATCGGAGCACCACTTCTCCAACTTTTCACGAGGCACGATGTCCATGCTGCGCCCTCGACCACCGGGTCCACTGCCTTTTGCCCCCCATTTGAATTGAAACATTTGATTCTTCCCTCTTTGATTGCGAAACTCGCGCGGGCAGAGACCGTAGCCGCATAGTCCCTCGTTATTCCGTTCCATGATTAAACTATCGTAGTCGCCGGTTCCGAAGATACGGAGGGCGGATTTGAAGGCATCGGCATCGGCAGCCGAAGGCGCGGCTGGGTTGGCGGTTGGAGAGGAGGGTAGCGAAAGTAGTTCGATAATCTGATCTAGGATCATGTTCTCGGCATCTTTTTGAGCCTGGATCTGGTGCGCATGTTGGAGGGCAACTCCCAGGTGCTGTGGAGTTGCTCGAGGTCGACCTGATAGGTACTTTTCCTGCTCCTCCGTTGATGGTAGGTGGGATGGGCCGACCAACTGTTCTGCGTTGACGGCGGCGTATGCGGAGGGGAGAGAGGTTTTCAAGGTGGATCCGAAGGGGCTTTGTTGTGTAGCCATACTGTATGATTGGTACGGACAATCTCAATGCTTGGGTCTTGGGGGTGAGAATCGAGATGGGCGAGAGCGCGAAGAAGCTCGAGTTTTTTTGAGGTTCGGTTGGGCGAAGAAGCGGAAGAGGCAAATTCGCGGGGGAGATGATGTCGCCAATTAGAACGCCGACACTGATTGTCTAAGCTTCTGACGTATTTGAGCACCAGTTCTATTCTCTTTGCAGGTTAATGCTTTGGCCAATGTTGGAATTTTAAAATCAAGAACTGGTCGATCAAGAAAAAATTATACTTCGGAGCACTTTTGGTATAGCTTCCCGCCCAAACTATGCAAACGTGCAGACTCTATACTTTGGGAAATAAGATCAACGATCCCAGAATCCATATTACTCTACAATATCGATACGAAACACTCGGTACTTCTCACTGGCTGCATCGCATGCGCTTGTCATCTACTCAAGCATAGTAGGAGAACGTTGTCACTATTCCCTCGGTTAGGAGCGTACGAGGCGTCGGGCGTTGGAAGCTTCCCCCTAGGAGAGGCATCCCTAAAAACATATACATTTTCCGGGTCCTCGTATGGAGATAGATTTTATCAAACACTTCTTGTTTCATGCCCAGTCTGACCCTCGAGCTATCTGACAGGATTACCCCATGGTGTACTCTGCTCGTACCCTGGTTCTTTCATTAGCCGCCGATCGTCAGTGGAGCCTCTTGTCTCCCTCATCCCGCCAAGTGACGACCACCTCACTACTTCATCCTTCCCAACGCAACCCTCCTTGCCCTCTCCATCCGGTGTTCCATGTGACGGCTGATTTCCCTTTTGTATCGATTCCTCAATCTCAACCTCCTCGGCGAGGGCCAGTCCCATTTCTCTTGTACCCAGTGAGTTCCACTCCAGCCCCTCTTGCCCTCCCCCTCATTCTCCCCTAGGCACCACTCTCCAACACTTTCGTCATCCCAGACTGACCCGGGCTCCCCGACCACCTCCAAAAGAAATTCAAAATTGCACGATCTCGCTTGCCCGGTTCTGCCAGTGGCATCTGAACTAGTGCTCGAGCTTGTACAGTTTTTTGCCTTCTTCACCCGTTTCACACCTGTTCTTTAGCGTCCTCTCTACCCCGTCCCCTCCGAACTTGGGTGTCGACTGGCCAAATGTCCAAGCCGCCCTTTACGGTCCGAGCGGTCTTTGAGTATGCGTCGGGCCACGATGACGACCTCAGCTTCCCAATCGGTCAAATCTTAACCGTCACCGCCGTGGAGGATGACGACTGGTACTACGGTGAATACACAGACGGCTCCGGAGCCAAACAAGAGGGCATCTTCCCCAAAAACTTCGTCGAGCGATATGAGCCTCCTGCGCCTCCCCGTCCAAGTCGTCCCAGCAGACCAAAGAAAGAAGCCGAGCCCGCCCCCGTGGAATCCCCCGTCGCTGTGACCGAGAGCAAGCCGCAGGCGGAGCCTGAGGTTGCGGAGCAACCCGCCGTGGAGGAACAGGAACCAGTTTCCAAGCAGCCTCCTCCCCCTCAGTCCCCGTCAGCGGTCTCGAGTCCGGTCGCCGAAACTCCCTCCTCGCCCAAGCAGCCCACTCACGCAGCTAAACCCGCACCCGCTCCTGTTCCTGCCGCGGCCCCCGCTCCTCCCCCCGTGGCCAAGTCCTCAAAGCCCCCGCCCCCGGCCGTCGCAGAGAAGCCCTCGGGTTCGTCATTCAAGGATCGCATCGCCGCCTTTAATCAATCTGCTGCGGTGCCAATTGCTCCTTTCAAGCCCGGCGGGCCTCATCAGTCGACTGCGTTCGTGAAGAAACAATTCGTTGCCCCACCCCCCAGCAAGGATTCTTTCGTGGCCCCGCCGAGAGAACCAGCTCCTAAGGTCTATAGGAGAGAAGAGGATCCCGATGTGAAGGAGCAACTAGCTCGGGAGCCTCCAGTCTCGGAGACCCGTCCGCCTCCGCCTGCTCCAGTCCCTGTGCAAGAATCTGAGGAGGGTGCCGAAGACCAGCCGAAGCCGACCAGCCTCAAGGACCGCATTGCTCTTCTGCAGAAGCAACAATTGGAACAGGCTCAGCGCCATGCAGAGGCCGCCCAGAAGAAGGAGAAGCCTAAGCCTCCCAAGAAACCGGTTGATCAACCCTTGGAACCTGTGGAAGCCGAGGAGGAGCTCGAGACCTCCCCTGTTGAAGCTGTTGGAACAACCCGGGATCCTAGTGTCGACACATTGCGCGCCAAGGCACCTCCAGTACAGCCTGCTCCTTTCTCTCCCTCGGAGGAAATAGCCAGCGAGTCGAACGATGCTGATTACTCTGCTGCTGCAGACTCTGAGGATGCAGGAGAGACGTCCACGAGCAAGGATGAGGACGAGGAGCGTCCTCGTCAGCAATCTGTTCACACCATCGAGCAAAAGGGCGAGGAGGCCGACGTTGAGAACGAGGAGGAGGAGGAACTGGAGGAAGAGGAACTGGACCCTGAAACCAAGCGCAGGATGGAACTTCGTGCTCGCATGGCTAAGATGAGCGGTGGCATGGGTATGATGGGACTGTTTGGGCCTCCCGGTGGTCTGCCAGGCATGGTTCCTCCTACAGGCGCTCGCAAGCCTAAGACGCCTGGCGAATCTGAGAAGAAGCTTGCTGAGCCCGAGCCTACGTCGCCTCGTCATGCTCCCCCCGTGCCTTTGCCTGGAATGAATATCAGCGCGAAGCCTCCAGTCGATGTGGAGAAGGAGGAAGATGAGCCTCTAGCAACCCCAATCTCTGAACAGCATCCCCCACGAGAGGTCCCAGATGTGGAAGAAGTCGTTCATGAAGGCGCCCCGCCTCGTCGTTCTACTGATCGACCCCCTCCCGTCCCGCCTACTGGTAAGTTACCTCTGTTGGTCTATTTGAAGGATGCCCAATAGCTTACAAGCCTTGAACAGAGCGCTCTGCTGCAGCTCCACCAGTCCCAGAGTCGCGGGCTGTTCCACCTCGCCCAGCGCCAGTGGAAGAACCAGCGTCGCCCCCTCCAGTTCCAGGAGGTATGCCATATTCCCTTTCTCCCGTTTAATAACGAACCACTCTTGCCTAACCATTGATACCAGGTCGACCTGCGCCTCCTCCGCCTCGGCCTTCAACTGGTGATGAATCTGATGATGAGCTATCTGTGCATACAAAAAGTTTATCTTTAGATGATTCTGCTCAGTCTCCTACTGTGCCTGCGCCGGCCATCCCTGACCGCTTGGATGCTCGCCGCTCCTCGACATATGACTTAACACTCCCGTTGGGTCCGACCTCGATTGCCGAAAAGCGAGCGAGCCGCCCACCACCTCCCATCCCGACCAACCCGCCCATGCCTCCAGCACAGGGTCGTGCGCCGCCCCCGCCACCCCCAGGCCAACTTCGTCGGCGGTCCACAGCTGATAGCCGTGGGAGTGCTCCCCGACAGGCTGGCGAAGACGTTGAAGGAGAGGTCACGGAATATGACGGAGATTACGACACTGATATTGCGTCTGGAGTCAAGCACAAAGATGCACTAAGGGCTCATGAGCGAGATTCGAGCTTCGATGAGGGAACAATCACCGACGACCATTCCATTCAGTCACCTCGAAGCCCTCAGGAAGCTCGCCTGCCTCCGCCGCTCCCCCCAACCGCTGCCCCTCGGGGAGTTCCACCCCCGCCACCAAGCCAACCGCCGCGAAATGCTCGTGCTTCCATAGATACGCCAAGAGGACCTCCTCCAATGCCGCCCACTAGAGAAGTTCCTCGTGGCGGTGCTGAGGATGACGAGGAATACGATCCTTTCAACTATTCTGCTCCTCAACACGGGCTACCTTCTCCTTCTCTGCCTCCTCCCAGTGGACGCCCAGAAGCCCCACCCCCTCCTCCTCCGCAGCCCGTGAATGATGATTATGATGACATGTATGAGGCATCTCCAGTCCAAAGTCCATTAAACGAGCAGCCTCCTTCGTTCCACGAAAAGCGACCTTCTCTGGCCCCACCGCCTCCTCCTCAGAGCCAGGCTCCAGCCATGCCTTCACCTTCCGCCGCCCGAAGCGGGCGAGCATCTATGGATCTGATGCGTGCTCAGCGGCGATCAATGGATGTATCACGTCCCTCAATTGATCAAGGCTTCATTGCCGCTGACGTTGATCTTGGGGAGACTTCCCTGTGGTGGACTCAGCCCAACACACCTCCTCCAGTTTTCCGGAACCGCAAGGATATCCTCTTCGAGGTTGAGGAGTCTCCGTCCACGAAACGGGGTGGCAAGAATACCGTGTCCAAGGACGTTTATGTCCTTTTCATTGACTATTCACACACTGTGGTGACTGTCCACTTTGATGCAAAGAACCCGGTGGATGCCACCCTGGAGCAGCGTCATGAGCCTCCACCTCTCCAGCCCCGGCAGGATCAACTGGAGCAAGCACACCTTCAGCATGGAACCCGGATTTCAGAATCCGTTAACGCGATTCAAAACTCTACCGTGGGAGATGGTACTCCTTTCGCATTGATTCAGCACCTTCTAGACCCTCTGTCCGATGCGCTTCTCCCTGTAGGAACCCGTGCCTACGGTGCTTTGGTCTACTCGAACTTGGCCAACGCTTCCGTTACGCAGAACGATGAGATCCGCGCTGGTGACATTGTCAGCTTCCGAAATGCTCGGTTCCAGGGTCACCGTGGTACTATGCACCAGAAGTACAGTGCCGAGGTGGGCAAACCTGACCACGTCGGCATTGTCGTTGACTGGGATGGTACAAAGAAGAAGATCCGAGCCTGGGAACAGGGCCGCGAGAGCAAGAAGGTCAAGATGGAGAGCTTCAAGCTGAACGATCTCCGTAGTGGCGAGTGCAAGGTCTGGCGCGTCATGCCCCGCAGTTGGGTTGGCTGGGAGTCTGCCAAATAAGCTGAATGGGCTCGATACCTCCCCTGTCTCGAATCATTCATGTCGGTGCGATGCTCTTTCCGCTCTAGAACGGGCCAGCGCCATGTATGAGTTACGGCCGGATTCGTTCATTCACCCTTCCTATATTTTCCCCCCTCCCCATTCCCATACTTGATCTCGTTTCATGTCCTTTTTATTTGCGTTCAAAACCTTCCTGCCTGTGTGGTAATGAGGATAGCCGCAATGGTTATTTTTTTGTTGGAGAATTGAGCGAGCGTGCACACCCGTTTTCTTTACGTCCCCCTCTTGCCCTGTCCTCTGGTAAATTTTGCATGACCAATGTTTTCCGCTCTGCTATAGTCTTCATGTTCTCCATTGCCCTGTATCTATTTGCAATGTATTCATTTTGATTCGATTCAGACCAGTGTAAGGATTGAACCAGCGCTCCATTCTCGGTATTTGACCTTGACAAGATGAGGTGTATTGGATGGAGACTTGATATTATAGAAAATTGAACATTCTTCTTTTGAGCATTCAAAGCAACCAATACGTCCGTCCTCTGTGTAGAGTGGTGGGATCAGTTTAGGTCAAGACGCCTGCGACGGGAGCGGCAAGAAAAAAAAAGAAATGGGACAAGCCGGGATCGAACCGGCGACTTTACGATAGCAGAAACTGAAGTTGTTCTTCAGTCGTACACTCTCCCAGCTGAGTTATTATCCCAATCGATGAAGTTTGAGTTCCAGCTTGTTACTATGACCCCGGTGGCACTGGTGCACCCTTGCAGCATAGCCATGCAACTCCCACGTGATTTCGTGCCTCAGGCGGTACTACATGGAGAGTGGCTGGACATTTCCCCATTGGGCAGCCGCCTTCCAACCTCAATCTTCGCAACATCACTACTCTTTGCACCATCACCAAAATGGGTGGCGACCTGAATTTGAAGAAGTGAGTACCTGGAATATCCAACAAACATTATATGGCTTTCTTACTCCAGACGCCCAAAACTTGAGAGAAAACCAACGTTGCTAACCCCGTCACAGGTCATGGCACCCATCGCTGCTCCGCAACCAGGAGCGCGTATGGCAGCAGGAAAAGCGGGCTCTAGACGAGCGCAAGAAGACTGAACAACTGCGACGCGAACGCGAAGAAGAGCGCCAGATTCAGGAACTCCAGCGCCTGCAAGAAGCCTCCGGCAAGTCCGCACCACAATCCCGAGTGGACTGGATGTACCAGGCCCCCTCCAGCTCCACTGGCCACTACTCTGAAGAGATGGAAGGATACCTACTCGGCAAGCGACGTATCGATGGCATCCTGTTGAAAAACGACACCGACAACCAGAAGCTGGAGAAAGGTGCGGACGTGGTTGGGGCGAATGCGACAGCTGGCCCATCAGTCGGGTCTGCGCGCGACACCATGACGAAAGTTCTGAACGATCCGCTGCTCGAAGTCAAGAAGAGAGAACAGGCTGCATATGAGGCTGCGGTGATGGAGGCTGCTCGGCGCAAGGAGAGAGAGGCGCGCCGTAAGGGCGACAGTGGTCGGGACCGGGATCGTCGTCATCGCGATCATGATTCAAAGCGCCGGCGATACAGTGACGAAGGGGAGGATGATCGTCGGCACCGGTCTCATCGGAGCGAGCGTCGACATCGGTCTAGATCGCCCGCCTCACCTGAGCGATCTCACCGTAGACACCGAAGCGAACGGGACCGCGAGTACGACCGTGATCGCCGAGAGGATCGACGCCGAGGCGATAATACTCGTTCCCGTCGAGACGACCGCGACCGTGACCGCGATGGTGAACGTGATGGCCATGAAAACAAGGAGAGGAGGGATTCTTACACCAGCCAACCTCGAGAGCGAGACTCGGGTGCCAGACGTGATCGCGATCAGGACAACCACCGCGAGAGATCCCTACAACGTTCATCTCCTCGGAGGCGCTCTCCTTCCCCGCAGCACGCTCAACGCCGTAACGACCGCGGCAACGGTGACCGACAAGATAGTAATCGACGAGATGGTGACCGTCGTGATTACCCCCGCCGAGACTACAATAATCGCAACGACTCATACAACCGAAACCGTGGCCCACCCCCTCACCGTGCCGCGCCTAACAAGCCGGACCCCAAGCAACAAGAGGAAGAGCGCCTCCGCAAGCTCGCCGAAATGCAGTCAAATGCTAGCGAACTGGAAGCAGATCGACGCCAACGAATATCTGAGATCGATGCAAAAGAACACAAGGAGAAGGAATCCGATGACAAGCAACGCTCTGACCGCGGTCAATTCATGTCCAAGGTACATCAGCGTGTGCAGGAAGACAGCCTAGATGAGCGCATCCGGCGCAGTCGTGGTGGACTGTCCAAGATGGATGAGGATTAAGGGCTTCTGGTCCAGGATCCACTATGACCTGCCCTTCGAGCAGTCCTTTTATGTTTATGGTCAAATGGCTTCTAGGAGGGCACTTATTATGTTATGTATCAAGTATCATTAATCAACATTTTTAGCGAACGTTCCTCGGTTTGAACGATGCCAACAAGTGAAATATTTCCTCGATTATATGCTGACGCGCCCAGTATATCCTTCCTGTAACAGTTTGATCAAGGCTCTCATATTACCATCAAGTCCTCATCCCGTCCCCATGCTCAACTAGTGGTTTCCTTGTTGTAGATGTTGTTATATCGTTCCAATGCCTGGGTAGTGAGTACCTCAGCCTCAATCCCTTGGAAACGTTCCGGGTCCAAAGACTTAAGAACCTCTTCATCACCAGCAGAAATATCATCCTGACCTCCACGAAGGACTTCTCTCGCGATCAACTTAGCCGTCCCAGCAGCCGTAGTAACCCAGATTGCAGCGCAAAGCCACAAATTACTAACATCGGACACCCTCCCCGCCAGCGGTAGGTTATCCGGCGTCACCGAGAAAATTCCATTAAACGGCTCTCTTGCCTCGAAGGGGTCTGAATCATCGTCTCGCCCTTGAGCTAGGAAGTGCTTTCCGTTCTTCAAATGCGAGGTTGCTTCGGACAAGACTTGATCGAAGCTAGAGGGCCATGCCCCGATGGCCGTGTGGCCGGGATCTAGTTCAAGAGGGACATGGTCGTAACTACCCAGTCCATCGCGATCACCGTGGTCTCGAGCGTAGACATGGTGCTCTGGCCAGCGGACGAATGGGTATGGTTCCCCGGTGCGGGCTGGTCGAGGCGCAGTGAACGTGTATGGGTGTGCAACCGGAATGATAGGCACTGGGAACTTGGTAATCGATGCTTCCGTTTCATGGGTATGACATCCAGCCAAAGAGGATGTCCAGATTCCCGTTGCGAGGATGACAGTACTGCCTGCCAGGTTGATATCCCCATTTGCGGTATGTAAAGCAGCAATCTCGCCAGTCTTTTGGTCATTGCCGCCCTTCTTTGCGAAGCCAGTCACGGTGGTTTCTAGGAGATCCACACCTCGTGCACGAGCTTCCTGCGTAAAATAGGACGTAATGACCTGCGCATTCGCCGTGCCGTCCGACGGGAAATGCAAGCCCGTCGTCACAGTCTCGGGGTCGATAAAATCCGGCGCCAATGCAGCTGCGTCCTTGGGCGTGATCATCTCAGCGGATAATCCTGCAGCGTGTGCTTTCTCGCATCGAGACTGTAGTGTCTGCGCGCCGGCGGGTGTGGACGCGAGCTCCAACCCTCCGACGGTGTTGAATCCACCGGGGATGGAGACGTACTCGGCAACCGTATGCTGGGCGAGTCGGGTCAGGACTGGCGACTCATTGAGTTGACCAACAAAACCCGGTGCATGGCCCGTGGAACCTAGTAGTTTCTGGAGAGATCGGTCAAGGAGCACGATGTGGTGGTCGCTGTTTGCTTTGGAGAGGTAGAATGCTAAAGCGGCGCCGACTATGCCACCGCCAACGATAAAGATCCGTTGGGAAGATGGGTTGGCATTTATATTGGAGATAGAAACAGTTGATTCCATGGTAAAGCGCTTGGTTTATCGAACTATTCATAATGTGTTTGGTTCAAAAATAAGATACGATGGGTATAGCTCATCAACTATAAACAACTCCAAAGGGCGTGGCATGTACCCGATATCGGCCATGGCATCGCCATATATATCCGCCTTCAGCCGAGACTGTGCGGATGGATATCTAGGACACGACACTAGCTTATGATACCATCTGAGGCAGTGACGCCACGTGGTGAAAGGCCAATTTGTATCAACCCATTAGACTAGAGTGCCGGCCGAATCGGCATTTCAGCGGCCAAATATTCGGCGTCGAATAAGATGCCGATCAGATAGACCCACCTTGGAATTCAATGAAAGGCACATTGAAATTGATTGGAAACATATGAGAAGATCCTTTTTGAGCAATATGAATTAGATGTATGATATTGTGAACACCGCGTGTGAGCTTCGTGTTTGTTTAGGCAGCAGTCACATGATTACCCCTAACACCCGCTCTTAGCAAAATACCCATCCTGGTTCCGTCCACTTCAACTTTCCGATTGATTTGGATAAAATGGCAGCAAAGGACCCTTATGACAGTACTTTCGGAGAGGAATAGCATATTCTTCCCCTGTCGAACAATAGACAGCTAGCCTACGCCCACAACGGGCCCGCCACCTCTCGGACTGTGATTATATTCTTCCCTGGCCTCTTTGGCGTGGGCAGCGCACCAAGAGTATTTGAATCATGCCGCGAGCTCCAAGCACATTTCATCGCGCCGACCCTCCCAGGAATGGGCAAAACCAGTACCCGTGATAAATCAGTGCCCTACCACGTCTCACTCGCGAAAGACATATCCGCGCTCCTCTCCCACCTCTACCCGACAGATGCATTTGATACCCTGTACCTGTCTGGCGGATCTTACGGCACTGTTCCCGCACAGATGCTATATGGAGCATCGTATGAGTTATTCCCAGCTGGACGCAAGATCGCAGGTTGTCTCTTGATCTCTGGCTTCTCTCCACTCAAATAACACCAAGGCTATGCGAAGACGCTTAGCTGGCAAAACTGGTTCTCTTTCGGCCCACCTACGCAACTAATACCATTCCATCTTCTACAGTGGCTTTTCCGGAAGATTATTGGATCACGCATGAACACCCAAGACGGCGCAGAAGCGTTTCTGCGGCAACATATATTCAACAGGATGGACAACGATGAAAGGTCAAAATTCGGGCAATGGCTTGAAACAAACAGCTTGGGCGAGGATTCATTTATCGCAAATATGGCTCGCGATACTTTCAGATGTAACCAGAATTGGGATGGGTTTATGGAGGCATCGGATGTCATGCATTCGGATTGGGGATTTGAGCCCAAGGAGCTTGATGATGAGCATGCGTCGAAACCCTTGCTCATTGTCGGCTCCAGTGTTGATCAACTTGGAGGAACGAGTAACGATTGGCTTGCGGAGAATTACAGGTCTGCTAGGCCCAGATTGTTGCCCGGGGGTCATATTTCGTGCCTATACTATATGGATGAACTGTGGAAAGAGTTGTTTGGGATGGTTTTGTGAAATTGTCCCATGAGGCTTGCAGCAAGTGACTTCCAGACTTCAATAGTTCAAGATGTCAAAATCCGAGGGAAATATCAGAAATTGGGATAATAACTCAGCTGGGAGAGTGTACGACTGAAGAACAACTTCAGTTCCTGAAATCGTAAAGTCGCCGGTTCGATCCCGGCTTGTCCCATTTCTTTTTTCGCCCCCATGTTTTTGCCTCCGCCACACCAACAAATGCTAGAGATTCCTTTACTAGATCTTCTCTCCCTACGAACCACTTTTGTTCCCCAATTTACCATATGCTTTTCGTTCCTTTCTAACAAGCTCTTTCCATAAGACGCATGACCAGCACATGATATAGGATAGGTGTTGCGTGGACTTTCTATACATGCAGCGGTCTGATCACAGGGTGAAGTTGTATAACTTCGAGGGCAAGATCGCGCCCAAAATAGACGCGGGAATTCTACCGAGCATACATTATGTCGGTCGTGGAATACTCGTTGACTGTTGAGACAAGTCGTAAACAAAATATATCGCTTATTAAACAGATACCGATGCCTTCTATCTACAATTACACCTCAACAACTGAACCTACAGCAGCAACAACTCGCCCGTGGCGGCACCACCCGCATACTGCGGCTGGTACCCCTGCTGCTGGTTCTGCGTGACCACGAACTGCGTCTGAGGCGCGCCGCCACCGCCTGCTCCACCGTCTCCGCGTCCTCCCAGGTCCATCGCGGCCATTTGCTGCGAGCCGATACCATTGAAGTAGTTATCAGCCGCATTGATGGCATCTGCACCGGCCCCACCTCCAGTCGCATTAGGGTTGACCGGGAATGTTGGGGGAGGAGCAACGTTGACGGGGCTGATAGGGTTACCCGTTGTGGTGATTGTGGCAAGACCGCTGTTGCTGGTTGATGCGGAGGCCATGTTGGCGGTGGGCGGGTTGTATTCTAGCATGCTAGCGGTGCCGTCTTCAAATCGTGGCCGTTGCAAGGCTGGACTGGGTTGGAGTCTGCGAGGCCGTGCGGCGCGGAAGACCTGGTGAATGGGTTTGAGGTAGACAGTAGCGAGGGTACCGACATTGAGACAGAGTTCTTCCAAAGTGCGCGGATCGAGTTTCTCGCTTTCGGCTGTGATGGGAGGTTTTTGACCCATAACGACCTGCTTCGCAGTAGCCGGGTCCGTGGACAACAGACGCCAGTACATGTACCCTCGATCGCGGAGATCCGGATCGTCAGTCTCTTCCGTGCACCACTTAAGTACTTGCGGAACGAGCTGTTGACCCTTGGTAGGCCGTTGGATGAACAACTTCACGGTAGCCGTAAGCAGGGCCAGCTGCACTTCGATCGTTTCGTCGTGGAATGTGGCCAAGTAGTCCTGCAAAAGACCATCCGAGTTCTCAATACGATCTGCATACTGACCGATAATCCAGATGACAGCCGCCTTTGCCTCGGGCTCGTCGAGGTCGTCGATGTTGCGAATAACGTGGCTGATGATGCTCTCGTATTGGTTGGGATACTTGCGGAAGATGTTGCGGATCACAACCGTCGCCTCTTGGACGATGTATGGAATCTTGGCACCCACTAGCTCCAACAGTGTATCAATGCACTGCTTTGCTGCGGACTCGATCTTGATGGCCAGCTTGCCAATGGCGCGCACTGCCTTGCGAACAAAATGCACATCGATCTCCGTGGCATACCTGCGGTAGAACCATTAGTATGAGATTACAAAGAAGGTGGATTATAAAGAAGGTGGTGATCGTCACATACTCTCGAAGCTCTGCCAGGACAATGGAAATATTCTCCTTCGTCGTCAACATGAACATCAACTCCAGCTTCGTCACTTTGACATAGATTGGATCGTTGTAATTGCAGAAGAACACCCGAATATCATTGCGCAAAACTTCCGGTCTTTTCTGCAGAATAAGGATGGCATTTCGCAGTGCCAAATATTGTACCTCTGGCGGTTTGGAGAGCAGTGTAACGAGAGGCGGTGACAGTTTGCGGCATAACGAGGTGATATGCTTTTCGTCGGCGATATAGTTCATAAGATAGAGAATGACTCGGCAGGAAGTAAGAACGACAGCAGAATTTTGGTGAGAAAGGCGTGGGGCAACTCGCTCTGCCAGCAAAAGCGCCTCGGCGGTATCCTGGGGGACGTAGGACATCAAGGCCTCAAGAATATAAGTCTGACCCCATCTATTTCGTCTGTTAATATGCTTTCCATTGCCATTAGGCCAAGGGGATCATACTCAGAACAGTCGGGCAGGATCGAAACCAATTTGGAAGCACTGACGTAGTCAATGGTGAGAGAGATCGACTCACTGCGACCCCAGATGTCGCACAAGGAGGCCAGAACGCTGGAGACAACGGTCGGGTTCTCGTCTTTCAACATCCGATTGAGCCGGTCGATCAAATCAGAATTTTCGACCGTCTTCTTGTCATGCTCATACAGCTTTGCGACGCAAAAAGCGGCCGTTTTGCGAACATACGGATCGTTATCTTGCATCAGGCGCTTAAGCGGTTGGAACGTTGCTTCCACGAATTCGCGCACATGGACATATGAGATGGTCCTTAGGGCGAGTGCGCGCACGAGAGGGTTTGTGTCTTCCATGTCCTATATTCAATCGTCAGGGATCCGTCCTTCAAGGTTGTGTCGCACTTTCGGTATAGGAGGACCATACATCGACTAGAATCGGCAAGGCCTTCATCGCGACTTCGGGTTTCATTCTTGAGTAGTTGACCAAGAACAAGAAGCACCTAGCACACGTATTAGCAAGCGTCATCATCGTGCCATGCGGTTGCCCCGCAGGTCGGTATGCGCCTCCTCCATGCCAACATACATCTTCTTGATCTCCAAGCTCGGTAGGTTCATGCACTCGATCACATCGGGAAACAGCGCAACCATATCATTATTGCTCATGGTCATGTTGGCGACGATCTTCTTCAAGGCGATCTTTTTGGCGGAATAGTTCTTATCTTTTTTGCCGCCGCTATGAAGCTCTTGTCGCAACTCGGCGACCTTGCCCTGTGATGTTCGCGCGAATCGTGAGCCAAGTGGAGGAGCATATGGGGCGAAAGAGAGAAACATGGGAAAAAACAAGCGCTAGGGTGTAACCGTGTAGAAAGGCAAGAGTGGGTATACCACAGTCACAAAAGAAAGGGAGTTGGGCAAGGCTATCTCGGCGCCCTGTCACATTTAAGACGAGCAGCGCATATGACAGGATGCGGGGAAGGGGGTAAAGCCACACTGGGCATCGGACGACCAAGCCGATTGGAATTAAATAGAGCTTATCACGTACCCTAGCGAACAGCTTCGCATCACCTCCGGAACTCATGGTTGCTGTGTAGTCGAATCACACGGACTTGTCCACGACTCCTGCTCTTCGGGGATTTCGGGCGACTCTGGCAGCCACCCGATCAATCACGGGCGACAGACAAGCAAGAAAGCTGTCGATAAACAGTCGATTTCAGTCGGGACTCAGCTTTGGATCGGTGCGAATATTGATCGTATTGGGACGTTTCGGGGATCGCGGGTCTGGAGGGGACGTGGTCTGGATGTTGAGAACAGGGCGAGTGACTTTCACTACACCACGACTGTGGCCCGGTCGGGGGATTCGTAGACAGCGAGGATCATTGACAGGACATAATTCAAGAACCACGGGCAATTGACAGGCGTGGGATGAAGCGAAAAAGCGAGTGAGACAGGGACGCGGAGGGAAAGGAGAATCGAGGCGTAAGGCGGAGTGGCAGTGGAGGAGCTGCGGAGGGAACCTCCTGGCGGGACCCGTCATCTTTCCCACTTTGTGATCTCCTCCCCACAGCACCCATCGCAGTTGTTCTCCCTGCCAGTTCCAATCTAATCCTTCTCTGGCATTCTTTGATCATGTCTTCTGCTCTTCCACCGCCCCCTCCGCCGCAATGGGCGGTCGCGATGAACTCGCCGCTGCCGCGTCCCACCAAAGCCGCCTCCAGCATCCCGGATCCACCAGGGTTCTCCAGCAGCCGTGGAGGTAAACAGGTGAGTGCTCCGGATTCTGCTATGAAGCTTGAAATTCCCTAGTGCGATACGGTTAGAGTACTAACCTGTACAAGCGCCAGCAACAGCAGCAGCAACCGACCGCCAAGAAACCCGAAGAGACCGACGCCCTCAAGATGAAGAAGGCCTGGGAAATCGCCATCGCCCCGTCCAAGCAACTCCCCATGAACGGAATCATGATGTATATGTCTGGCAACAGCCTTCAGATCTTCAGCATTATGATGGTTTTCATGCTGTTCAAGGGCCCCATCCAAGGCTTGATCAACACCAATGCGGCGTTCGCCAAATACGAGACCCCCTCGACTCGCGGACGTCTGGTGGCCGTGAAGCTGGTCTATGTGCTGATGCAGTTCCTGCTGCTGGCATTGGGTATCTGGAAAGTCAACGCGATGGGACTGTTGCCGTATGTTTTGATGTTTTCTCTGTCGGTGATGTACACTGACATTTTCGGGCAGGACTACGAGATCGGATTGGCTCGCATGGGAGTCAGAGAGGGTACCTCTCGAGCGCGCGTACTTTGCTTTCAAGTGATACCCGTTGATGAAGTGATTGATTGTAGTATAAGCAAGAAGGCACCTTTTTGAGTTTAGATTGTTGGTTGTATTATGATTGATATTCAAATTTTTCTAAGAGCAAGCAAGCAAACAGTCAATGCAGAATACCTGATACTTTCATATGGGTATCGGTTTAGTTCTATGCAAATGATTCATTCTGTCATAACGGCATCGCCAATGACGGGAAGGACATAGAATGCTGTTCCCATCTCAATACACTTGGCGTCGAAGTTCACTTCTCGCTCGTAGGGCTCGTCGCTGTTTCGAGCTTCTTAGCCTCCTCCTTCAGGCGGCGCTCTTCGCGCCATTTGGGCCCCTTGTAGATGACTAGTAGAAGCAACGGAGATGTGGCCAACATCACCAGGGACACGAAAGTAAAGCACCAGCCACGACCCATGGCTGCGAGCATAGGATCAATCAGAGCCGTTGCGCCAGCTCCGAGCAAGCATCGCACAATATTGTTGGCCGCTGTGGCTTTAGCCGCCTGTGTCGGATAAAAGTCTACAAGAATGGTGCTGATAGTGTTGAAAGCCCCAGTCAGGGTAAGGCCCATCAGAAACAGAATGGTGGTCGGGGCAGCCAGGTGAACCCCGAAGTTCAAGCACCAGCCAAAAGCCAGAATGGAGAGACTTCCAATGGTAAGCATCGGGAAGGCAAGCTGGAGGCGAGCTTTCTCAATTGGAAAATTCCTCAGATCCGTATGGCGATTCTTGGCAAGAGGAAATCCCATTTGCTTCGCTATGCGGCGGTAGTTGTAATCCAAGAACTTTCCGTTCAGGATGGACGCGATGGAGGCCCCAAGTCCGAATGGAATATAGCACAATCCAATTTGGAGATCGTCCAGACCGTATAGCTCGTTGAAAATTGAAGGGATCGTGGCACTGACATCGTAGAAACCAGCGAAAAGAATGGCATTACAGAAGAGGACAATGCTGGTATCCTTTTGAGCAACAATAGCCAGTGTTTGGAAAGGGTTGGGAAATCGTAGTTTCTGTGTGGATGGGCTGACGGGAGCTTCGGTGCCCTCTTCACGAGCTTTCCGGGATTTGAGATAATTCATCAAAGACATATTCCACTTTTGGGGAGGCAGTGAACCATCACCAACGACACCTCGTGCAGTCTCTGGGAAGAAAACCAAGAATGGAATCATGAAAGCACCCGAGAAAACCACGAGGAACCAAAAGATGGCCCGCCAGCCGAGATACTGCGAGAGCAGACCCCCAATGACCGGGCCAACCGACGGTCCTAAGAGGGAACCCGCCGTAACGAAGCCCATGTAGGATCCACGTTCAGACGCGGTGGCCACATCGGAAACGACTCCCGACGATAGGGCAATCGTAGTACTACTTCCTGCACTCTGAAGACATCGCAGGACGAAAAGGGCTGCATAGTTATTCTGCAGGGCTAGCCCGATGTTGGCGGCGATATAGATGGTAAAACACACGATATACGCAGGCCGTCTTCCAGCTTTGTCGGCAAAGTCCCCAATGAACATAGGCGACAGGCCTTGGAAAATCTGTTGCATTACAGTCAGCTCCAAAACATAGATCGAAGCAGGGCACACGAGCAACTCACCATATAACTTGTGAGAGTCAGGTTGATCAGCGAGTTCGAGACATGAAGATCTTGAGCCAGTGTGTTCAGAGCTGGGAAGTAGATCTGCGAAGAAACAGGCGAGAAGAAACCAGCCCACGACGCCATGAAAACGATAAACCGTCGCTGGCTAATCGTGAATGCCGAGTAATCGACATCGGCGACATCGCCGCTCTGCATTCCCACATGGCTGCTGGTACCTCTCGCGGTTTCGACATCCGTCGAAGCCACATCAATCACACTTGAGGGTGGTGGAGTGCCCATATTCCGTGTCGCTCAGCAATGGCCGTCTCAGGGACGAGTGCGGGCCAGCGTACTGGGCCAAATATTTGATAACGGACATACTGGGTCAGCGAATAAAACCTGACTCGAGTTCAATGTGACTAACCCCGGTATGGAAGGTATCGAATCAAGGCGCTGTTCAAGATTTGCTGTGGTCCCGTCCTGTGTGGAGAAGAACGGACCAGTGCCGAGATGCCGAACAGCTTAGTTACTCCGTACTCCGTTCTGTAGTGCTTATTCCGCAAAAAGACGTCTTATCGAGGTATCGGCGGGTAACTCCGACAAACGAGCCACGGCAGAATCTAAGACTGGTTAGAAAGCTCGGCGTGGCTTGTAAGTCGCCGAGCCTATAAGCATGTTTTTAATGTAGTACGATAAAAATTGGCTGCAGTAGTTCGTATCTGCAACCATATCGATACAAATCCCATTCGTCCGTACTCGCTTGCCAGCTTTTGTCTTTTCCATCTTGTGGCCAGTACAAAATTCGGAGAGTATGAACATCGACTCATGAGTGAAATAAGAAACGTGGAGACTTCTAGCACCTGGATGATCGTTGAAAGAGGTCAAACTCGGACCAAACGCCTGTCTTACTCCAGAGAAGCCTACGTAGTCAGGGACGGCTGTACCAAATGCCGCTAACTGCACTATGGCATACTTCACGGCTATCTGTCTCACGGTGTCTGTAAAAGTAAAGGGCTTTTAACATTTTCAGTAGATATACACCCCTCAACCCCGAGCCTTGACAGCCTCCCGACAAGCCTGCAAGAAAATCTGACAAAACTCCCACACATCTGCATATGAATTGTACAATGGCGCCGGAGCCACCCGAATAACATCAGGTTTCCTTTCATCGATAACTACACCGTGTTCCTCCAGGAAGTGCAAGACATGGTCTAGCAGTCCAGGCTGGAGTCGCAAGCTAAGCTGGGCGCCTCGCTCCGCTGGGTTAGACGGTGTGATTAGAGTGAAAGGCTTATCCTCTGCGGGAGCATCCAAGGGATACTTTAGCAATAGATGCTCGAGATATCCAGTAATTCGGAGAGACTTTTCCCGAATTGACTTCATCGTGGCACGGTTGAAGAGCTCGAGGGAGGCGACGACCGCATTGATATCTAGGACGGACGGGTTGGACAGCTGGAAGCCAGCAGCCCCGGATTGCGGGATGAATGCTAACGATAGTTAGTGGTCATTCTGCTAGGAATTGTGTCATATGGGAATCTCACTGTTATTCATTTGGAACCGTGTCTGGAGGTCACTACCCCACCAGCCTGAAAGCCGAGGTCGGAAGGACTCCTCGTTGTCGACCTGGCCATGACGTTCGTGGACAAATAGTGCGGCCATGCCACCCGGACCGCTGTTAAGATACTTGTAACTGCACCATGCTGCAAAATCGACGTCCCAGTCGTGGAGACGTAGATCCACATTACCCGCGGCATGGGCGCAATCCCAACCGATCAAGATACCCTTGGAGTGGGCATGGTCTGTAATTCGTTTCATGTCAAAGTATTGTCCAGTATAAAACTGAATGGCAGAAAGCAAAATCAGAGCAGTGCTCGAGGCATTCTCATCGATCACCTTGATGATTTGCTCCATAGTGAGGATTGGACAATCGAGATTCTCTGGCTCAATCAACACCATAGCCTGCTTTGGGTCAAAGTTGTGATGCCGGACTTGAGACTCAATTGCGTACTAATGTTGTCTTTCATGAGTATGAAATGAATCCCGTCTCTATGTTGAAAGTGTATCACATACATGGTCACTGGGGAATGCCTTGCCTTCCAGGATAATCTTGTACTTCTCGCTCGTAGGCTGATAGAAACTAGCCATGAGGAAGTGGAGATTAGCAGTGAGAGTTCCCATCACTGCCACTTCTTTTTGAGAAGCACCCATAATCGGCGCCATCAGCTTGGACGCGGCAGTGTCGACGTCGACAAATGGAGGTAGCAATTCATCTTCGTGCGGCACAAAGTGACCTGTTACACCCTTGGTTGCCCATGTTCGCAGATATTGCTCGATGTATCGCCGAGTACTCCGAGGCTGAACACCAAGAGAGTTACCACAGAGATAAATGCACCTAGGATCGGAAGCTTCATCATGGTCTGTTGGAAGCAAGGTAAGTATAGGTGGTATGGTGGGGCTGAGGAATCAGGTATTACTAATTATACATACTCGGATCTTCCGCCAGGGTCTTCCGCTTCAGGTCTTGCTTGGAGGGGATGATGAATTCATCTCGAAATTGTCGTAGAGGATCTTCTGCATCCAATGCTTCGGCGTAATCCCGGCTGTAAGCTCTGATATCATCCTGGTAGGGAAGTGGGGGACCGGATTTGATATCACGGAGATGCTGCCGTGAACCCATTTTGAAATGATCCACTCGTGTGACAAGCCGTCTGATCGTAAGATAGATAATCAATCTTTCAAAAGAGAGGCAATCCAGGAACCTGACGACTCACAAGCCAAAAGAAATCACCTTTCTTCCCCGCCAACTCCGATCCCTTTCCCTTTTCAGTATTCTGCCGCGACTCCCCGCCAGAGCTGACCAATCGCGCCACTGCCGAACTGACTAACCCGCGGCCATCGGATGGAACGATGCGATAATTGATAATCCAGGTTTCCTTTCGTCATCTCTCGAGCTGCGCGACTCTTGCACATACACAGCCATGTCGCGACCACTCTTCACATCCACAGCTGCGCGGCGGTTGTTCCAGCAGCACGGCCGACTCCTCTCGACTTCCCAATCCGCTTTGCGCCTCTCCGCATCCTCCTCCGCCGGCCAACTCGCTGCCCGCCGATTTACAGCTGCTTCGGCAGGCGCATCTGTCTACAGGCCGTTCGTACGGGGATGTCTGCTCAGATCACCTACCCGTCAATCCGTCGCCACATTTTCCAGCTCGTCCACTCGTCTCGCCACCAAGGTCACGCAAAACCCGAGAACCGGAGACGATGGAGAGACTCTCATGATCAGTATCTCTCCTCGCGCAGTGTCGGTACGTGTATAATGGTTTTGATTTGGTTGCCTGGCTTTTGCGGATCCCCCTTCATGGCCGAAAGTATGCGCTGTGTTGTGTGGCAAGTTTGCGAATTGTTCGAGACCTGGGGACTGAACGTCAGGCTGCTGTCGGCATTGGGTTCTCCATGAAAATGGATGGATACCATCGAGCAGCACGGATTGAGTCAGTTGCCGGAGAGAACTAGCACATACGACCATAGGGTGTGGAGAACAGGGCTTCCCGTCCGCTCAGCCGTACTTAAGCCACACGCCGGCCAGTTAGTAGTATGGTGGGTGACCACATGCGAATCCTGGCTGTTGTATGTTTTTTTTTTTTGGTTCTATTCTCTCCGCTGGGATTGCCTTTTTTGCCCTTTATTTCTAGCCTTACTTCCGAGATCTACTCTGAAGCCCGAGCTAACGTGGATATAATAGCGTCTCCGCGAAATCACCGACCCAACCTCCTCACCCTCCGCTACCAAAGAAGAAAACCCCTACCACCATCTTCGCATTACCGTGACCAGTGGCGGCTGCCATGGTTTCCAATACTTGATGTCTCTCGAATCAGCGGCCAAGATTGACGCAGAAGAGGATACTATCTTCGAAGGCGAGGCAGACCCATCCGAAGCTTCAACGAACGCCGCCGGTACGGCAAAGGTCATCATGGATGAGCCCTCGCTAGAATTGCTGTCTGGCAGCACGGTCGATTACACCACCGAGCTGATCGGTAGCCAATTTAAGATCGTGGACAACCCGCGGGCAACGAGTAACTGCGGCTGTGGCACGAGCTTTGACGTGATGGACTGAGTCGGAATAGATTTCCTACCAGTATAGTCCATGGATGCTTTTCTCTCTTGCGTGTACAGATATGGCATATCCCAAATGGGAAGATAGATAGATAAATTTGCATTGTATACCCCTCTTCTCTCTACGCGTCCATCTTCCTTACAGTAGAGTCGAAATGATCCCAGAGAGGAATCTAACAGTGTCATTGTCAACAGTGCTGGTCCACAACTAGTCCGGTGACGTGTATCTCATTCAGTTCATTGGAAGGATACTCATGTAATCATTATAATACAAAGAATCATATTAAACAGACCTCCTCGCAATAACCGCAACCTCATACGGCGCTAACCCAACCTCCTCCAAAACCTCCAACTCGGCAAACGACGACCGCTGAAAACAAGGCTCATGATCAGACCAGTCTACCTTCGGCCCAAGCCATACAATAATCTCCACATCTCCCTCCTCATACATCTCCATATACCTAGAGACTAACTTCGGTTCTCGGGGGTAAACAAACATCCAACCCTTCGCCTCCTGAGCCCTTGAATAAAGATCCCAAGCACCAGCAGCGACATGCATATCTTCCTCGGCGATGTACCGATTCACGGTCGAGGCTACCTCGACTCCCTCCACGGAAACAGCTGCATTGGAGTGTGAAAGGAGGCTTTCTAAGAGGCCGGATCCGCTGCCGATTGAGAGCGTGAATGCGGGCTTTTTGGGGAGGAGATTTGTCAGGGTTGTGAGGAGGGTGGTGGATATGGAGAGACAACAGTCTGGGAAACGGGTGGGTGATGAGGAGAGTTGGGATGAAATATGTGAGAGGGAATCCATGCTGGACTTTGAAGTTCGGATTTTAGTATGTATTATGGTATATGTGAGAGAAGTGAAGGAGATATCAAAGTCAGGAACAAGTAAGGTATTCGGACGCGGATTTACTGAGGGCCCGGTATTTGGATGGAGCATTCGTTGATATCCAATATCGGTTGAGAATCCGAAAGAGCCACAGGCTGATCTATGTGTTTAAATGACTACTAGATATGTACCGTAGAGGATATAGTTATAATCGTTGATCTATGCATTTCATCAAGTCTCTTTTTTTTCTCTACCTCAACACATACACTCACCGCGAATGTATCGTCTCCCTGAAAAAGAAAGCAGAACCGCAGACCGGGGCAAATGAGAATCGTACGCCCTCCAAAGATATCGCGATAGCCCGACTTGATTTAAATCCACATGGACGAGGCGTCTGAGCCGATGAGGGACCAGGGACAAATAAACCAAGGAAACAATAATGGAAAAAAGGCGTATAAAACCAGCAACAGGTGGAAACAATGAGGATAATATGGGGGAAAAGAAATCAAGGAGGGGGGAGCGGTTTAAAGAATATGAAAGAAAAAATTCATCTCGAGTCATGTACCGTTCTTTCTTGCATGTAGAGTCAGTCCATTTCTCTACCTTTTCACTCTCTCCCGGAACCTGTTTACCAGGTTATGGCTTGGAAGAGAAACCAAATACCGGAGGGGTTATTTTGGGGAGGCGCACCGCTTAGTAGACGCGGGCAAGGTTGCGCAAGTACCAGTCCACCAAGCGGCGGCCGGCCTTGGTCTCGCTAACGTGGATAAGATCATCCTCAAGAGCGTAGTCGAGGTCGTTGGAGATGACGGGCTCTCCATCAAGCAGACCACCCTCAACCCAACGAATCTGGCGACTGCGCTGCTTGTTGACCAGCAGCCACGAGCGGAGCTGCTCGGGCTCCACCTCGAGGAAGCCAGCCAGCTTCTTCAGGTCCATGGTGGTGTAGAGCTTCAGGTAAGAGCGGATGGTAGGGTTGAACAGAGTGTTCTTGACCTCATCCATGAAGATGGCGGTGTGGTGGTCGACCGGGTCGACGTTCAGGGCAGGGTTGTCGAAGTCGGGAGGAGTAGGGCTGATGAACTTGGGGCAGGCAGAGCGGAACAGCTCCTCGAAGACGGGAAGAGCCTCGGGGCCACCCTGCTGCATACGGTGGAACTGCTCGCCGTACTTCTCGCGGACGGCGGAGTGGATGGTGTCGTCCAGGCGAGTGGGGTGGAGAGCGACACAGATGGCGATCAGAGCGTACATCTGGTCGTTCTTCTTGGCAATAGCATCGTAGCTGTTGCCGCCCTTCTGGAAGTTCTTCGTCCGGGAGACGTAGACCAGAATGTGGCTGAACATGCGGATGGCATCGGCATAGCGACGCATCATCATGTAGGAGAATCCCACGTAGTAGTAGGTGGTGAAGTGAGCGGCCATCACACGGGCGAACATGGCCTTCTTGTTCATCTCGATATCGTCGAGGGTCTTGATGGCGAGGCTGAAATCACCGAGCAGACAGTGCACACGCAGCAGGCCGATGATCGAGAAGTAGCCGAGCATCTTGTACAGAGGGCGGTTGCCGTACTCGCCGGCGAAGGCAATGGGGTCCTCACCGCGCTTGATAGCAGCGAGCTGCTCGTTGATCTGGGAGCGCTGGATGAGGGAGTAGAGCACATTCAGCACGGAGTAACAACCCCAAGTGTTGGGGTTCTCGCGGAGCAGCTGAGACTCTTCCTCAGAGGAACCGCTACGGGCGACCCGGTTGCGATAGCGGCAGAACGACTCGAATTGGTAGATGAACTCGTCAATAACATCCCAGGCCCAGTAGTACTAAAATGAAAGCATTGGATGTTAGTTTTCTGTCCTACGTTATTCCGTAGCAGATAGATGACTTGATGAATGCCAAGCATTGGGTTTTCATTCATTGTTTTGTCCATCCACCGGGATTGAGATAACACAACGGAGCACCTACCGAGGGAACTTCGAGATCCACGGGACCCTCCGAGTTCAGAATGTAGTGGAAGAGACTGCAGTAGTTGTCGTAGCTGGCGAACTTGGTCTCGAGAGTCGCCTGGTATTCCAGCGGGGTAGCGGCGGCAGTCAGCTGTGCCTGGAGGTCCTGGGCCTGCGAGCCCCCAAGGGATGTCGTCCGGTCCAGATCGCTCATTCCATCTTCAAAGTTGACCTGCTCACGGTAGTCGTTGACCAGAGCCTCCTCCTCAACATCGGACTCATCGTTCAGGTTGGGGCGCGCATTGACGCGGTCGTCGTAGGACATTGTGGGCGTTAAAGGGTAGTCGAGGAGAAAAGGAAAGGATAGAGTGATTTTTTTTCTCGCGCCGAGGGAGGACGGCAAGGGCGGAGGGAAGGGCGTTGGGTGGTGGTGGTGGGGGGTTCACGTCCGTCGGCGGCCTGTGCGATTTGCCAAAGAAGTTGAATTTTGAGGGTTTTCGCTTCGGTGTTGTGCTTATCTTATCTGCGCATAAAGTCGGTGCTGACTCATCTTATGCTGGAATAATTTTACTAACACATTTTGGGTAATTAGTTTTTGTATACCTCTCGAGTCGTCGACATTCGATTAGATAAAAACCTCGTACTTTTATGATACAGGATGAAGTGACACTCCCTATCCACTTTGTTGTAAGCAATTACAGGAAGACTTAATCACGGGAAGATGGTGGGAGCAAGACAAGATCTGTTCGTCGTTCTGTAATCTACAATCCAAGCAGGTTAGAATTCAAAAATAATCTTACAGATTACTATTCCGAGTAATGGAAACACCTTGTGAGAACGAATAGTTTCTACGTAGGCCCTACCATTATCACATTGTGCACTAAGGAACATATTCAACGCAATGATGCCTCAACACTCGTGAAATCATTGATTGACGGGCAGTATGTGGTGCGATGGTATAATTTAGGGGGGAAAGAAGCACGTATCCATTGGAAGGGGAATGTGGCTTGTGAAGGGGAGTCTATGTAATTGATTCGATGGACAAGATGTTGAGGCACCGACAGACCAAGATAGCACTTAGCTTATGACGTTCTTTCGCAGGACAGTCGTACAACGAGAATGTCGTATATCGTCACTACTGTACGCTAGAAGTCCAGGCTACCCATGCGTGGCGGTTTTTATCACGGCTAGGAAGACAGTGTGATCATTTAGTGTTGTTTTCGAAGATGGCACGTGAAATTGATTACGGATCCTGGAGTGAATTTCCCCTCCTTTTGTAGAACCAGCAGCCAAGTACTTTCTACCTGTAAAACACACAATTCCCGACTCTGTGCTCAAAACCAGTCGCTCAAGAAAATTTGGTGGCGTGAGGCTATGGAGGGCTGTTTGTCGTGGTCGACGAATGCTTTCCAATCTGAACCCTCGTTTTCTGAGACACGAAGGATGTGGAAAGATAGGTTCCCACGTAAATCTGATAAGGTGAGTCATATGGAAGCGAGTTTTTTCTCTGAATTGAGAAGGCAGACTTTAACCCCAACCCGACCCCAACCCGGGCTTCTCGCACCCGTAAGAACCCAGCCCTGACACTTTCGCCCTGACAGATTGCCCCCTCCTCCGCCACACAATACCACGCCCTTTGAGTCAACCGCCCCCTCAGCCATCCTGTCAACGATGAATCCATAATCTGGACAATCTTCCTCTCTATAGGGTGAAGGCACCACAAGTCAATCAAGTCCTTTTCACAGTTCAGACCCATCCAGAATCGCGATGGCCTCAGTAGGCAGTTTCACGACACCACGTTGTGCCAGCAACTGAATGGCGTGAATAGTATCTGCTGTAGGCTGGAACTTCTGACTGAGGGCAATACCGAACCGGCAGAGCTCAGTGAAAGCATTCCTCACGTCGTCAGAGTCATCCAGCTGATGCACCAGAACGGGTAGGACCGACTGAACAGCGTCAACCACTTGGCTGGGAACTTGCTTCAACCCATACGATTGACGATACAAGAGAAGACATTGAGCCATCTTCTCAGCTTGTTCACGCCAGGTTCGCCGTAATTGAGGCGTCATGGTGCATTCTTGATCTCGACTAATCAGCGTCTCGAGCAGATCCATAACCGCTTGGAGGCATTTGATACTTCGTGAACTGTCGTCAGTACCGTAGTGTGCTGTCGAAGAATAGTGCTCAGGGCTATCTTACCGCAGGATCAGGAGTTGAGGAATTGGCTCTGGTCCAATTTGAGACGGACTGGGCCACCTTGACAGCCACTGCTGCAATCGTTCATAAGGAACTTTAGCTTTGGTCATTGACTTATGAAAACTCCCACGCAACGCCTTATCATGCAATATTTCTTGAATATCAACCAAGATATCCGTCAGCTCGCCAAGACCTTGTCTGATTTGAGGGAGAAGCGCGGATTTCGTGGTGTAATTGATTTGATTTGATCGCGGATATGGAGTCCAATCAAAATCATCATCACCTCCCATATTCAACCTTGAGACAGGTCGAGCCAAGTTGGCTACCTTGTGGAGCTTCATTGAGAGCTGGCTATGGACAAATATATTAGTGGCTTTTATCTTTTTTCCAATTGGGTCGGATTTCACAGACAGATTTAAGCTGAAAACGCCCCAAGCTGTAATCGCACGAACTCGTTCCATCTCGGGTGACATCGCCTCTGTGGATGAATGCGCCACTTCTGGGAACGTGAACAGGCCCATGTCCTGAGCCATTTGAACGGCCCCTCGCAAAATCCACCAGGCTCGACTACTCTTTCCCTGTTGGGACAGCCTGTGAATCGTTCAGTTTCCTTCACCACAAGTACGAAAAGACACATGACACATCAAAAGACCAAAACTTCACATACACATGGCACATCATCAGGAGAGCCTGAATGTTTGTCAACGTTGCAAGCCCCTCTTGGGGCTTCAACAATCGCTCCGCTTCCTCAAAGAAACTTTGTCCCCGAGAGAATTCGTTTTCTGGATTCGAGAAAACATCAGGACTGTCAGAATACACCTGCTCGACCATCAATAACCAGGAGAAATGAGAGCGGGCGGAATTAGCTGGGAGCTCCATACGCTTGCTATTGATAAAAGAGTATTCACTAGGAGGGGCGAGCAATATTCAGAGGAAAGGTCGCCCCGCCTCATATGGTCCAAAAAGATACCTTGATCGACAAATTGCGCGCATGGATGGTCCCAGGTGAAGTATAGCGAAACCAAGTGCGACACAAGATCGCTGTCATCGGTAACTCCTGTCCATGGCCTTGCTGGTACCCTGAAAAGAGGAATGTCGCAGAGACTTTCCAAAGTCACCCGAGCATATGGATGAAGTGCCGCCCGAGGGGATTCAATGTTTGGTTCTGCTTCCGGCGAGGTTGACGATCCAATTGGTTCTGTCGTGCTGTGAGATATCGATGCGGAGCGCTCGTTTGACAACGAGTCGGCATGGTTCAAATCCTCTCCGTGAGCTTGATGCAACCGAGCTGTCTGACTGGAGTCAGGGAAGGTGGCATGGCTGCCTACAGCCTGCGCAATCTCCTGCATTGACCCATTGTTCTTGACTAATTCGACGATCCTCGACACCTCTTCTTGCGGAGACAATCGGATCGTGGTCAACAACGTGTTCAATAGGCTTTTATAGCCGGTGAGCTCTTGGATGGTCTTCTTCACGGCGATCTTTCGCCTGAGATCTCGGGTTGGGTCGAACCGGCATTCACATGCGGTGCCGGCGGTTCTGCAGGGGTTGCAGGGAGATGTCCCATCTCCGGAGCACTGTGGCCAGGAAATGATATTATTAGCTGTCCAATTTACGTCTCGCAATCCTCGAGCTTGCTTGGGGGCCATCGATCCAGACACGTGGTAGCCAGACAATGGTTGATAACGAACTTTTCTCTTTGCAGCTTTGCACGGCAAGCAAGCCGTTGAGTTCTTTTTGGACCGACTCGCGACCACCGATGACTGTCCGGCGTATATGCGTGGTGTTGGGCCAGGCGCCAGCGGAGGGAAGTGTTTGGAAGGGTCGGGAACGCTCATATTCTGGGCCAGAAATGGACGCAAACCCTGCAATTGCGACTGCCGAGCAATAAGATCCGGTCCAGATGATCTAAGATCCACCTCCATGGATTCGTGCTCGTTATGTGAGCTGTGAAAGGCGACTGGAATGAAAATCGCCGTGTGAACGGATTCCGGGTCGAATCCGAAACGAAAAGCGACACACGCAGGTGGCGACTCGTCACAACGCTGTCTGTCTCATGAAATAGAGATGCATGGAAGAAGCTTAGCTCAACTTCCTCACAGTGTTTTCGAGTCGGCGTTTGAGAGGGATCGAGGACCTTCGCTAGGGCGCGATTTAGCGGCTTGGGAGCTGCGTTATGTATTCGCTCGCTGTCAGGACATGAAACGGGCTATTGAAACGAAACCGGTTGAAGCGATCGAAGCTAGCCTGCAGGTATGACTGAGGGCAGTCGCCAAGCTCAAGCAAACACCAGGGGAAAAGGGAGGTCGGCAGCTGTCACACACAATCATGGTAGCTCACTGGTCCAAGATTGAACTCCACGGTGATTGGGGAGAAGCGGAGTCAGCAGCCCGCTAATCTGGCCCAGTTGAAGGCATGGAAACAGACAGGGAAGGGGCGAGGCCTATCAGGGCAGGGCCAGTCCGGAATCCGTCAGCGCTTGATCATCTTGATGGGGGTGCACATCGTAAACGTGGGGCACCCACCCGCGAGAGCCTTTCCATGAGGGAACGTGACCGAATTCTGGCCAAATAGAGTGGACCTGGTCCATTGACTACTGTACCAGAACAGGTAAGACCAGAATACGAATGTGGTTTTCGTGCCTTCTCCTTGGCCAGGATGAAAAAGAAAACATGACAAGGAATTATGAAATATTGCTACCTCATACGTGTCTACATAGGCAGCCTGCCCACGATTTTGGGGCATGATACAAAAATTCACCAATGCGAGATTTTGTACTCGAAAAGTTTGAGCCATAACCCTGCCTGAATATGGCACTTGCTTTGTCCCGAGGACAAAGCGACCGACGATCATTCAAAGACTTTCATCCAAGCGCGACGTCCGCTGCAACGAATCAAGCTTACCATACAAGTTCACCGTCGGCTCGCCCCTTCCGAAGGCACCTCTATCATTTGCCGTGTAACTGACAAATGGGACTCGATCTAGAACGAGGGATGCTGCACGTACTGCAGATGATTTGTACAATACTACAAACCGACTTTGTCCTTTACATGAAGTACCCCCAGTCGTTACACCGATTCGATGCACCAACCCGCCTGGTATCTGGGGAAAGCTTCCACCATTTGGGATATGTGGCCAAGGTTCCTCAAAGTCCGGGGTCATCGAATAGCCATGAGCCGTGTCGCTACACTAACGGCGTTACGCACTATTGTACGAGGTATAGCGGAAAAGGGACATGGCACTTGCTGCTCAAAAGGCAGATCTACGCGAAGCAATGGCTTGAGTTCCATTCGTTGCCGTACAATTGGATATTCTCGCCTCTCTCAGAAATCGAGACGAGATCGCTATACCCACTAAATCGGGTGGCTTGCGACTAAATTACTTTGTACGGTTCTCATTGGTCGCTGAATAGTGCCTTCCAATCGGGGAGCGCAGCTTCTGACATGGAAGGTCTTGGCACTGACTCGGCTCCGCTACGGGTACGGAAGGAAGCGCACCGCAGATGTGGAAGTACCGTGAATCCTGCAGAAGAAAGGCGATTCGACGGAACTTCCACGCGACTATTGAACTATTGACGTTGGACGTCAAGTTCCTAGACCTGTTCATAATCTAGTGGAGCGCTTGCTAGGTATGACGTCGAATTATAGTCATGGCTCCGCTCCTATGTACAGCTACTTACATCACCCGCAATACCTAGATCGTCGGGTTTGATATTCGGAAACATTTTCCATATTGGCTGTGCTGATCATCACCAGCCCGCAAGGCATGAACCGTACGGAGGGAGGTCACGGAATCTCCGGTCTGAAAAAAAACCGGATCTCAACATTTCTCACCCGCTGTGACCCTGGCCATTGCTGATCCCAAACTCCCAATGTGCATTGCCTCCATCGCGACTCAACAGCAACTGCGCCTTTGATTGGTGATATTCCTCGACTTGGGAGAGAGAACTACTTGAGAGAGAGAGAACTACCAGGGGGCTGACGTCACTTCCGACCACGCATTGGTCTGGAGACAACACCTGAGGATTTCAGTTTCTCATTGGTTTTCGGGAAAAGTATCCGCCTTCCCCCCCCGCATAATAACACCTGCACCTGATGGCACGCCGAAAAGAGTTTTTGGAGACCGGAAGAGCGGCTAAATGCATATAGTATTTTTTCGAAACAGTTACACCAACAACTCTGATGACTTCTTTCCCGGAAAAGTATCCAACGTTATCCAATAGTAATTCTAACAAAATGGCTCCAATGCTCTCTACCTCAAACTTCATTTCATACGTGATATCATCAAGAGCTAGCTATTGAATGTATCACAGATGGCTGAAGAAGCCGAATGCACTAAGCGTACACCAATCAACACCCAGAAGAATCCAGGCAATTTATGCACAATACTTCCTAGCGAAACCCCCTTCATTTACACGACCCCTTTCCGTTGTATTCTCCTTCCATTTCTGCATATGTCCACTTTCCCTTATTGGGTAGTCTTACGGGTGCCTTGGTGAGATGCATCGATCTTGAAACGGGGCTGTAATTTTTGGGGCTCATTCGTGGAAACAGGACTGAATATGCGCGTTGCTCTGCATCTGATGAAGGAGACTCCAATCTGAGTGTTGAAAATCCAGATCAACTTGGCCCTTTCGCTTTTTGCCCCAATCTTTACAATTGAGCTTTATCACTGATCCTACTCAATTTCAGACTAGCAATATGATTAAGTAGACTCGAACTTTGAAATTGTCACTCACTGTCACATCATTCTTGAATACTGGTTGTTTTCAATCGTCGCGACATTTGATCGCACAGCACATACCTCAACATCGACACTAGAGTTCTACCTTGGGAGGTACTCGTAACGAAACAGGCGCACTTCGGCTTCCATGCCAGGCTTATAAATGCCCAGTCATCGACTTACATTGCCGCTCCCAGTATGCGAACTGTTCCGGCATAAGCGTGGGATAGTATGTAGGCATATCCGACGGAAACGCCTTCTCCATCATCCCCCAGCAAAGATCCGCCCCGAATTCGGGGTGCGAACTCAGAAAGCAACACCCTTCCATCGGAGACATGAATATCGTTTGTCGCAAACCGGGCATGTTGTTCAGCATCAGCTCGAGCACCATTTCTCTCAACACGCCGTAATTCCCACGGCGGTTGTATAGCTCGTTAATGATTTTGCTGATGGCGAATTTAGCGGCGTACTCTTTTTTGAAAATTAGCTCGATTGTGAGTAGGTTTTCGAAGGATTGGCAGAACTCCGCTTCGGCTTTGACTTTCAGCTCATCGATCATGAAGTAGTCTGCTTCGGCGTACATGCGGAGATGGAAGTAGGCAGGACAGTGAAAAAGTCGGCCATCCAGGGCAGTGCGTTTCTTCGGTCTGGCACCCATGGTGAAGAAGTTTATCATCTTCCGGACGCCGAATCTTTTTCTTTTCTTCGGCACTCGTTTCCACTGGCGAAATGCAGGCTTGCCATCGAGGCTCGAATTTTCGGAATCTGGAGAGGAAAGATCAGAGTTAGTCGTTCTGAAATTTGAAGGTTCTTCTGTTCTGGGGGTATAAATTGATTATTGAGGTACCATCAGAGCTGATCTCTCCAGTCTCTTCCTTGTCTAAAAAAGGATGTTAGAATGCAATGCTGCTGAAGGATGATGATTCCATAATATCTCGACATACCTGGATCCACCGAGTAGTTTCCCGTATACAAGTACTGAAAAACCTTTTCCACCAGTATCGGATCTTTGTCGGTAAGTGTCAGGCATCCGCATGATTCCTAAATCAAACGTTCTTGTCAGCAGGAACTCCGTCCATGACTTTCGCACTGACAGCGATTCATACCCGGAATTTGCCATGAAAAGCTGCTTTGAAATAGCGCGACATGTGACAGATGATGATCTTATGTGTTGAAAAGACGGTATCTCCGCACATGATCCTGACGTCGCTATGTCGAGGGGAGAGGAAGGAGCTGGCAGATTTAATCATCACTGAGATCACTTGGTGACATGGTGCAGTCCAACACCTGTAAAGTACTTACTCTTCGACATGTTTCTGTATCATCCGCTCATTCATCGAATTCATGATTCTCCCATCTGCCAGCCTCTGGGCCCAGTTTCTCCCCCACGGAGAAGTCCCAGGCTGAGTCCACCACTGCCACGGAGGTGCTCTGATACCAGCAGAGACGGACGTCGGAAAGGGGAAAGTCCCGGATATGAATTGCGAAGGAGCGTATGAGCCCCTATTGTTTGAAATCCAGGCATCCGACCATGGTTGGCCGGTAGGTTGACCTTGGCGTGTGTGTCCGCGTAGGAAGAAGGACATATTCTCTTCGGTGAAGAGGTGCTCGGAAGACAGGGATCGGAATGAATAAGAAAGAAATGCGAGCGGGAAGCTGAGCGAGGTGTAAGCGAAGACACTTTGAGAGATATCAAAACATTCAACACGAGCAGGAGATGGGAGGCGCGTCGCGCCTTCTCAGGCACCACACATTTGGAAACTGCCACTGTGCAAACAATGACCAAGACATTGTTTACAACTAGAATCCGAGGACCCTTAGAATCGACGCCTAAAATGACAGCCTCTGGCGCCAGAAACGGCTACCTTTCCACTCATCACTTCAGACGAGGAGCCACCCCGCCGCCCTACATCGCGCTTCGATTCTGTGTCTAACCAGCACTGTGAGTTATCCTCTACCTATTGCTACCGTTGAAGCATGAATCAATCTCGTTGTTTTGATTCCTATGATACCTGGTTGACAGACTACCTACTCTATTGGATCTGGATTCTCAGACCCTGGTCCCCAAAGCCGCTTCTCTGAACCGCTTCTCTCAAGCGTATGCCTAATTGCCAGAGGGCTTTCAAGTACAGTACATGTGCCCTCTATTGCAGATCGGTGGTCTCCTAACCAGTACCTTTATAGTCTCTGCCTCCGCCATGACGTCTGAATCCGACATAACCGATCCCATGGACGCGATCAAATGTTGCACCTGCAACCAAGAGAAGAGCTTCGTTCATGCAGACTGTGGCGCATGTTATTCCTGTTGCAATTGCTCCAAGAAAAAAGGGGGAATGATCGGAGACGGGAGGCGAATAACTGCAAGGGTAACAGTGAACTGTCACTGAAGCTGCTTGACCGGCAAACAGTCTTACGGATTCTCCTGAATAATGACCCCATGGGCTCTCCTGGAACGGTTTACCAAATTCACCGCAGCGTTTAAGGGATAGGAGAGACCAGGTAGCAGGAATTACACATATACAAAAGATTCCCGTTCCGAAATCCAATTCATATTTACGACAGTTTGAGGATCCACCTTCCCTAGATATAAGGTTCTGTGAACTCAGGCTCCTTACGATTCCAGGGGTTGCTGGCGCCTACAATATAAATGTAAATCCTTTCAATGCCGAGCGTATCTCACGGTCATCAGAATGGCTTGGAAGGCTATAGGCATCATAATCGCGCCACATCTGCCTGGTTCTCGGAGATTCAGCATCTGCAATGCCTTCGTGTGAAGTCCTATAGTTAGATAGATTCAAGGATCGATAGAAGCAAACCTCCTCTTTGCTATTAAAGACGTCAAAGCCGGCGGAGATAATGAGCACAGGCCGAGCAAGCTTGGCGATAATCTGCTTGACTGGGGCGGCCTAAAAGGGTGATATTATGATCGAGTCCTCGTCAATTTCCGCAAATCCTCCTGCACCGTGAGTCCAATCGCCTTTAGCTCTGCAACCATCAGTGATCTGGCCCAGCACAGCTCGGGCTATCTTACACTCAATTGACTCACTACGGGCTTGATTGAGCACAGCCCCCAGTCTGATCCCGATCAATACCATTGCAAACCCAATCTATTATGATTCATAACTTGAGCAGTATCTATCTCATCTGCCGTGCCTATTTCGGCTATCATCGGCGCGCTACCTTAAAGTGGAGCCCGGCCAATCCTTCGATTATCAGTTTCACCCCGCGGTTGTCATTTGAAGGGCGCGCAGCGTCCAGCCAGACTAACACGGGATATCGCACAAACTTCTACAAAAGGCATCGTGTGTGATAGATCAACATACATGACTTTCATTTGGTAGATAATTTACTACGAATTTATTTGCGGTAGAATTCAATTAGATGGATGCCGATAACAAAGTCTAAAGAACGTCCTTCCCGAGCGGCGAAAAAAAAAAACTTTTCCTTTCGGCCCGGACTGAACGGTTCCTGAATCAAGGCCCGGGGCAAACCGATAGACCATAAAACAACGGGGAGATCCCATCGATTTCCGTTCCAATTCTTCTCGTGTCATACACAAAAATATACTGATCCAATCCGTTGAGCGGCTTGCACACCGACTCTTACACTGCATTCTATAACCTTGTCTCCAAGTCGGGATTATCCATTGTCTCCCCGCCCTACGCCCTAATCTTGGTGACTCACATTCCAAGTCAAACCTAGACGTTTCCTTGTTCAAAAGCGAGGAAGTGTACCGATTGTCAACACGTCAACAGTCCTGTCCTATCATACCACTCACATTATATATTCACAATGGGTTCTATCGCCCCTAACGTGGCCGAGTTGGACGGCTCCAACTTCAAGATCACTCGCTCCACCAACCTCCGGGATGTGCCTCTGCCAGGCTCCCCCGAGGAGCTGAGCCACTCGTACTGCACTGACCACATGGTCACCGTGCGGTGGACTGTCAACAACGGCTGGGAAACCCCCGAGATCAAGCCCTACCAGAACCTGAGCATCCCGCCCACGGCTTCCTGCCTGCACTACGCCACCGAGTGCTTCGAGGGTATGAAGGTGTATCGCGGATACGATGGCAAGCTGCGTCTTTTCCGTCCTGACTTGAACGGCGAGCGTCTGAACACTTCCTCCCAGCGATCATCGCTGCCGGGCTTCAAGTTCGATGAGATGAAGAAGCTGGTTGCCAAGCTGATGCAGATTGATGGACCCCGTATGTGGCTATTCTGTTTTTAGTATAGAGCTCATATATGGATATTGACCAACTAACATGTCTCTAGGTTGGCTTCCCAAGGAACGTCCTGGCTCGTTCCTCTACATCCGCCCTACCGTCATCGGTAACGGTCCTCACCTGGGTGTTCAGGTGCCCAAGGAAGCCCTCCTCTTCATTATTGCCGTCCCCTGGCCCGACTTCACCAAGATGAAGAAGGAAGGCGAGACCGTCTCCAAGGGCCTCAAGCTCTTCGCCTCCAACCCCGACTCCATCCGGGCCTGGCCTGGCGGTTTCGGTTGGGCCAAGCTCGGTGCCAACTATGGCCCCTCTCTCCAGTCTCACGGTAAGGCCCAGGCCATGGGCTTTGACCAGATTCTCTGGCTGTTCGGCGAGGACCGCCAGGTTACCGAGGCGGGCGCGAGTAACTTCTTTATTATCTGGCACAATGCCGACACTGGTCGTCTAGAGCTTGTTACTGCTCCTTTGGACAGCCAGCTGATCTTGCCCGGTGTGACTCGTCGCAGTGTTTTGGAGCTGGTGCGCGAGCGTCTGTCGGAGCAGTTCGTGGGCAAGCTTGCCCCTCTGCAGGTCGCCGAGCGTACCTTGACTATCTCTGAGATTGAGAAGGCTGCCGAGGAGGGCCGTATCGTGGAGTCATTCGTTTCTGGCACTGCTGTAAGTTGATTAATGGTCCACTATCGTACGGTTCAAGGTCTGGTAACTAATGATGCTCGCATAGTACTTTATTACCCCCGTTGCTATGATCCGTAACAACGACAAGGATATTAGCACCATGGGCAAGGACGGCGAGCCTGCTGGTTACGCTTCCCAGATCAAGTCCTGGTTGGAGGCCATCATGTACGGCAAAGAGGAGCACGACTGGGCCTATCTTGTTGAGGAGGAGCAGTAAATACGAGTTTTGACAAAAATGGGACAGAGCAAGAGAAATGGATAAGGGAAAGTTGACAATTAGCGAGTGCGTGGATTTGTTTAACAGGAGAGCTCGAATCACCGGCGGTTACCTCCAGAGACCCCAAAAGTCATTCGGCTTTATCTAGATTCAGGTCACACCTAAGATGTTCTAACGTTTAACATAGAGTTATCAAACACTTCAGATTCATAGACACGATCCAGCTTCTTCTAGTACATCAATTATGCATCCACACTACACTTAACCAATTCCAAGCAAGATATCTCCCATATTCCGGAGACGCATGCCCACTTCCTCACGGCTATATCACGTAGCAGGCCCTGCGTCTTCAATACAGGAAGCTTTTAGCGGAGTTTAAAATCCCAATCGGTCATGCTCACCACTGAGTTCTCGATCGGTACGCACGCGAGCTTTGGACTGCAACTGCACCCGCAGACGAGCCAACGTCGGTGCGCCGGATATAACGGGCGCCTCGATTGGCCACTATGCCACAGTCAAGGATGATGTGGTCTAGGCTGGTGCCTTTATTTTTGTTCTGAGATTATAACTAAGATCCTGGCAACCAAGACTCGCTTTCAAAATCCACAGCGGACCGCAGCCCCATAGTTATAATGTATAGTAGAGCTGTGAAGTGGAAGACCTTGACACTATTTGTCTTCTATTTGGGGTACTTGGCAAAAAGGAAAAGAAGCTTCGTATGAAAACAGACGGGTATCAGGGAATCAAAGAATCGCTTTTGGGCAGATAGGCTCGGTGACTGACAAGTCTGTCAATCAATACCTCATATCTTCGAGATCTGAGGCCTGATCCTCTTCTATCTGCTCCTCCTCTGAAAGGTCATTATGCTCCTCCAGATCTACTACCAAGGGAGCATATTCTCCCGTTTCCTCGTCGGCATCATTATCCTCTATTTCCATCTCAATTTGCTCTCCATCCTCCAATTGAAGCATACCCCGCCTCACAATGGACTCGCGCCTGAGCTCCCAATCAAACTCCTCTTTGACCCATGCCTCCAACTTTTCAAGTTCGGTCTTAACCATTGATTCAGATCCCTTCGGAACCACTTCGTCAACGGACCGTCTGAACTGTGTGAGCAAATTGCGCAAGAACTTGCCCCCTTCGTCACCGTCGATCTCAAAGAGCCCGCCTTCGACATCGTCGCATCTTTCGAGTTGTCGTAGTAGTAGACACACCACCTCGCTCATAAACGCTTCTCTTTCAAGAATTGCTCGCCGAGATGTGAGGATGAGCTCTAGCAGTCTCTTCCATTGCTGAAGACAGGAAAAGTTCATCATGGTCAGTACCATGAGGAATGTAAATTGTAGCTCTCCAAGCACTTGCGCTTCTCCCGTTTGCTCATCGACGGTGATCTCTCCAGGTACACGGCTGGAGTATTTGAAGACTAAATCACCCAAGGCCCAGGACTTATCCTGCGCAGCTTCTGTTCTTTCACGCCCAATGGCACCTTCGCGCCACGTTCGCTTGAGCTCTATGGGAAGGAAGCCGAATTCTTTCTCTTGCTCCATAATCTTCCTTGAAACTCCCCCTTCTCCCACGGCCGGTGAGTCAACACCCGGAATATGATCGGCATCGCGGTTGGCCGTGCTAGCAGAAGTAACCAACCACCGCGGATGACCGTCTAAATCCACCTCCGGATCACCAATTATACGTGACAGAATCTCAGGGGACAAGCGATTCGTAAGCTGTCGCCAGTCTCTTCGACCATGCTCCTCAGTCTCCTCATCTTCTTCAGCCTGGCGTGCTTCCAGCGGCGCCGACCCCGGCTTGTTCGACAACATAGCGGGGGAAACGCGACTTCGATACCGGAACAAGCCCCCGCTGTGCAAGAGCGCACCAAGATTCGCCTTGTAGCGCATAGCCTCCTGGCGACCCGCATCGTTATCACTCGTCAACAACGATAGTGACTCCGTGTCCGTGTTCCATTTCCAAATATAGATCTCCGGAGCGAGGGTTTGTGGCGCCTGCGCGACCACGACCGCGGTCTCGTTGTCGCCTTGTCCCGCGGAGCTGATATCACCCACGTAGAACCATGCACCACATCGAAGCGAGTAGCTCTCTGTCGAACCGGTGTATAGGAAGTGCCAGCCTAGAGGTAGGTCTCGGATTCCGTGGAAGTTCGCGGTCGAGGAGAATGCGACGAGGTCGATGCCGACTAGGGTCTTTGGGGGAAGCTGGGGGAGCAGGATTGTCGGTGACGGCTGATGGGACGGAGGCATGGTTGATGACTAGGATTAGGGGAAAGCTCGGGTGTTGCGAGCTCGGCGTCTCCTGGGGGATGGTTGGGAGATGGAGCGGTAGAAGCAGGGTCGAGCTGGTCTGCTTAAAAAAATTGTCCGATTGGGAGGACGCGGCACGGCGCTGATGTCAGGCCGTGTGGGAAAGAAGTAGTGGAAGCTTCAAGTATGAGACATAGCACAGGATTCTGTGAAAGACAGATGGGTTATTGGTTTCTGGGTTATGAGAAAAGAAACTGGTAAATGTCTCGTTGGGAAGGGTGGTCAATCAAGAAGCGCATCATTCTGGCGCGGGGCGATAGCTCCCCGCACCTGATATCTGCGCCGAGCTCTCCCACCGACAGAATCTATATAAAACGCAATCTAGGGTCTAGTAGGAAAAACTGAAGGTTACAACTGTTTACAGGTGGAATGACGATAATCAAATATATATACTCAGACAAAGTCAATTGATTCAAGCTGTCGTAAAAGACTACCTAATCCAACCGCTAAAACCGAGAAGAACTTTTCAGGGCATGAAAATATCTGAAGACCAGGCAATAAGGGCCGTTCTTCGCGTGTATTCCATCCACAAGTGCAAGTAGACCCTGCAGGAAGCCTCCAGTCCAGCCACGCAATGAAGTCGCAGTCGGAGAAAGAAACGACCGCACACGTCTACAGACGACGACCACGGCGACCACCCTTGCGACGAGTAGAGTCGGAGGGGGTGGGGGTCACGTCCTCGATGCGGCCAATGCGCATGCCGGAACGGGCAAGGGCACGGAGAGCAGACTGGGCACCGGGACCGGGGGTCTTGGTGCCGTTACCACCGGTGGCACGGATCTTGATGTGGAGGGCGTTGATGCCGAGCTCCTTGCAGCGGACAGCGACGTCCTGAGCAGCCAGCATGGCGGCGTAGGGGGAGGACTCGTCACGATCAGCCTTGACCTTCATACCACCGGTAACACGGACGATGGTTTCACGGCCACTGTAGGATATTATGTTAGAATAAGCGTCTTCCATCATGTTGACCACATCATTGGGCTCAAGAGTTGCGTCCGTTGGCGGGTTTGGCCAGGCCGGGCGCAAAGCAATTTTGTGGAGGAATCGGAAGTGAGAGAAACGTACGAAAGATCAGTGACGTGAACGAAGGTGTCGTTGAAGGAGGCGAAGATGCGGGCAACACCGAAAACGAGCTTGCCTATTCCATGCGCAAAACTAGTCAGACTGACGATTCGATTGATCCGGTCGCACAAGTAAAAGTTCGAGTGTCAACGTACCATCACCAGCGAGGGGGCCGAGGGAGACGTTCTCCTTAGCGGCGGCGGGAGCCTTCTTGGGAGCCATTGCGAATTTGTGGATGGGGATTGTCGTGGATGGAATATGAAGGAGAGGAAAAGTCCAAAAGTGGCCGGGATCAAAGATCGAAAAAAGTGGGTGTGTGCCCTCGCGTGCTGCTTCACGGTGATTGGCCCGAGAACGCAGGCAAGCGAGTGGACCAAGCTTTAGAGGCCTAAGGCATTGACTGTGGCAGTAAAGCGGGTCTTGTGGGCGGTGAGGGTGTCCGTTTTGCTCGCCTATTTAAATTTTTCTTTTCCCTTTCCAACGTCAATCCTCGCCGTTGCCAATTGTTCGTCACACTCTCCATCCACTCAATGGAAAGCCGGAGTGTCAGACTGAGAAGACATATTGAGCTATTCTACTAACCTTCAGTGCACGTTTCGAGCGTTTCCAGCTCTGTTGTGTCGCGCCAACGCTGCAGGTGTGAGTCACTGCCAGAATGGGACGTACCAAGCAAGATGCCTCAATTGGCATCATCGGAATGGGCGATATGGGCAAGATGTATGCCCAGCGCTTGAGTGATGCAGGATGGAGGTAAATCCCCACCCTTTTCTCTCACCCGCCGTCTTGCTGCCACGGCGGGTGACCAGCTTGAATGGTAAGCTCCTACTCTTTTCTTCTCTTTCCCTCCTTCAATTCCTCTCTCCTTCGAATGATGACTTGAGTGCATTTGGCTCGAGCATGGTTCGGCGGGCCCTGCCACGCCATTCTGGTTGGCAGACGACTGCCGGGCCGTCGATGATGTAAATTACTCGCTACCTTAACTTTTTCTTGTCTGACAAACTTGGAACTTGTTTTCAATCTCTGCCTCACTCTTTGCTGTTTCTCATGAAGTCACGGTGCTAACGAGTGGTTATTGAATAGATCTTTCCATTATGGGAATTTTTGGTTCCTGCCTCTGCAGATCTTGTGATGCGACTCGAGGAGTACTTTTTGACTAACATAAAATACTATTATCTCTTTCAAAGAATCAATGCATGTGACAGACCTGAGAATTATGAATCTCTGCAACAAGAGTTCGCTTCTCAAGTACGTCTCCCGCTGGGACCATCATCCAGCCAGATACTCATCGTATATTAGCCCTTGGTTACCATCTTCCCGAATGGCCATCTCGTTTCCAGAATTAGCGACTTTATTCTTTACAGTGTAGAGGCCGGCGTCATCGACCGAGTCGTTGCACAGTACGGGCCATGTATGTCGACCCAGTTAAATCCCTTTCTGCAAATCCCCATGCCGTGTCCCCAAAAAGGAAAGAACTAGCTTCTCTGACTCGTCGATTTCAATCCAAAAGCTACTAAACAGGGTGCTATCGTTGGTGGTCAGACCTCCTGCAAGGCGCCTGAGCTTGCAGCGTTCGAAAAGCACTTGCCTGCAGATGTAGAGATCGTATCTTGCCATTCGCTGCATGGGCCCAAGGTGAATCCCAAGGGCCAGCCATTGGTAGGGATTTCCCCACGCCGCATTTCACTCCGGACTAGTCCCTTCATTAACACGGCGTCGACTATAGGTATTAATTCAACACCGGGCGTCTGACGAAAGCCTCCAATTCGTCGACGACATTCTCTCCTCGTTCGGATCCAAACATGTCTATCTCACCGGCGAGCTGCACGATCGTATCACTGCCGACACCCAAGCCGTTACCCACGCTGCCTTCTTGAGCATGGGAACCGCATGGCAAGCCAACAACCAATTCCCTTGGGAAATTTCGCGATGGGTTGGTGGTATCGAGAACGTCAAGATTAATATCACTCTCCGCATCTACTCAAACAAATGGCACGTCTATGCCGGTCTCGCTATTCTCAACCCGGCCGCCAAACAGCAGATTCGCCAGTATGCCGATTCCGTGACCGAACTATACAAGCTCATGATTGGGGGACACCGGGAAGAGCTTAAGCGCCGAGTGAAGGCTGCCGGTGCATCGGTGTTCAAGGAGGGCACGGAAGCACAAGATCTGCTGTTGAGTGATGAGGTTCTAGATCGCTTCTCGCTTTCCAACCAGACTCGGGAGAAGTCGCCCCCAAACAGCCATCTGAGTCTGCTTGCCATTGTTGACTGCTGGTCGAAACTTGACATTGTTCCCTATGACCATATGATTTGCTCCACGCCGGTATGTATCAAGCAGATGGTTAAAGCAGGCCTTTCGAGCTACGGTGACTAATTGCTCCGCAGCTCTTCCGTTTATGGCTGGGTGTGACTGAATACCTGTTTCGCAACCCTGAACTCCTGGACGAAGCCCTAGATACAGCCATTGATGATAATACTTTCCGCTCCGACGACTTGGAGTTCACATTTGCTGCACGGGTGAGTCTTGAAGATGATACTTAGGATCACCCTCTGTGATTGTGGTCTCGGATTGATGTGCTAATTTCCTCTAGGCATGGTCTGATTGCGTCTCCTTTGGAGACTTCGAGTCCTACCGGGACCGCTTCGAGCGGATTGCACAGTACTTCGCTCCCCAATTCCCCGAAGCTGCCAAGCTTGGAAACGAGATGATGAAGACGATATTGGAGAAGACTGAGAACAAATCTTAATTTCGTGGCGATGTAATATAGCACTAGGGACATACGGGGATCTTATGCCAGTGTATGATAGAAGCCAGTTGGCTTCGATTTAGCATTATGACAACGTAATACTTTCTTAATGCAACTGTCTCGAATTATTTTTGCCTGTAGTTTATCTCAAGTAAGCTTAAAGTATAACTCGTTCACCTGGATCTTCGCGATAAATCTACCAGTAGATGCCAGGTACCCCGGCTCTACGATAAGGACGCCTTAGTCATCCATGTGTTCCTCGCGATCGGGCTGAACCGAAGTGAGTGGGACATGTATCCGTGCAGATCGTCTGCACTGTCTCATGTTTCTTTCTCTTCGTTAACTGCGGGTCAGTTGTGATGGCAGCTGTTGTTCTCTGATTATCAGGACCTCGACCCGTGACACTGCGGAGCCCTTCCCCTCCACGTCTCCTCCCTTACGCTCTCCCCGTACAACTCGAAACGAGCCCTTGCTCCACCAACAACCTCCTTCCCCTCTCAACTTCAATGCGGCCTCTCGACCGTTCGGACATTTGCGACAGGTGATAGATAGCCTCAACGGCTAAATGGAGCTTCATGGCTTCCGGACACAACTCAGCGTTCTCCGCGTCCACCCAGCACCGCGCGTTTGGTGATGGTCGCTCCTCGTTCAGCCAGGACGGCGCTTCGGGGGACGGGAGTTGGAATGATGGACTCTCGAAAGTTGGACGAAATGGGCGATCAGGCTCTGGGGGAAGTGCTACGACTGGTACGAGAGGGGCCTCTTCGCTGGCGCCGTCCTTTGGCGGACCCGGGAGCTTCAGTGCGGAGCTCAAGAGCATGACCTCCCGAAGTGTCACACCACGACCCGACGGCACATACACGCGACGAGCTAGTAGGTCGATCGGCGAAGATGACCTTCCTACGACCGAAGAGCGCCAGGCCGTCATTCGAGACAAAATTGCGAAGGAGATGAAGATCAAGACCGGAACGGAGAACATGCTCGAGGCTCTGTTGGCAAAACCACCCAAGCAGACCAGGGAACAACGCCTGAAGGTGGAGTCGGAATTGAGCTCATCCAACCGCAAGCTGGTTGAGCTGCACCATGAGCTGGAAGAGGAGCTGCTTCGTGCGCAGGCGCCCTCTACGACTCCCCCTCGAAACCGGCTATCGAGTCTATTCCGAACTAGTCCCATGCGCTCGCCGTCCCGAAACCCCATAAATATCGGACCGGAGTCTTTGGAAGATGATGAGCAGGAAGAAGAAGATGGAGACATGGAGTCGCCCACTTATGTCCTTTCGGAAACACTTCAGGCGCTGGAGATCGAGGGCATGTCCCCTGATTTCTATGTCGAGCGCGCCAACAACTTAGTCGAGTTGTTCAAGCGGCATCCTACACTCAAGTATGATCTGGCGTGGCCTGTCTTTGGTTTGCGTGTACAGGTGATGCTCCTCAGTGACAGCAAGGAGGAGGTTGCAGCCGGGTACCGGCTGACCCGTTATGCTATTGCTGACCGCAAGTCACTCCAAACAATTCGAGCGCTTCACACCGATGAACTTGTGATTCTGTCTCTTGTCAAGGAAAGCAAGGCAAACATCGAGCGCGAGCAAGCTCTAAAGTTTGTGAGAGCTTTCCTCGATGTCAAGGATGGTGTGAAGGAAATATCTCGTGCCATCGTGCGCACAATAGTTTCCATTGCTGAACACCATGAAGACCGCCTACGGAACATATCGATCATGACTTTGGCAGAGATCCTGGTCAAAGACCCCGAGCTTGTTGCCTCGGCGGGTGGATTCGCCGCTCTGCATGATGCTCTCGCCGAAGGCACCTTTGGCGCTTCGGAGAGCTTGATTTCGAGCTTCTTACATGTCCTTGATACCCCACGGAGTCGAAAATACCTCCAAGGTTCGGAGCTAGAGGCTGTTCTGGCTCCTTTCACAGATTCCCTCGCCGACACATTGCGCAATGGGCGATTAAAATCGGCCGCGCGTGCGATCTCCGCCATGCTAAAGACCTGGCCTGGCCTGGTGATTCTTGCCAGACACGAAGCCAAGCCACTACATTCTCTTCTAGAATCGCTTCATTACCCTGATACACAAGCTCGAGATCTGATTCTGGAGCTATTGTTCGATGCTTTGCGGATCAAGCCACCATCATGGTCATCATCCTTCCTCGCAGGCAGAAGGCTCACGACTTATGGCCGTGTTTCAAATTTGCGGTCCGATACGGACTCCAAAAGCGCCCGGGCGTATCATGATAGTGGAACAAAGAAGTTCGACCTGACGGCACACTTTTCGACTCTGATCTTGGCGTCTTTGATCGCTGCTGGTCTACCTCAGGCGCTTTCAGATCTTATTGAAGATGAGACGGATGCCGCTCTCCGGCGCAAAGCCACTCTCCTTCTTACAGAAGTCCTCAAGATGGCACATCATTCCCTACCGACAACCATTAGCGCAAACCTGCAGGTTCTCGCCCACCTCCTTCCTCCTGCCATTCAATTCGACACAGAAAACCATGATGTTTCTACTTCAACGATTTTCCAGATCGAAAGCATCAACCGAACCTTAGCTCGCTCCGGCGGATATTCTGGTGGAGCGGGTCGATATAACTTGGATCCCGATCTGTCAGTCTCTTTGCTACCAGGGGAACAAGCCAAAGATAAACTCAGCCCATCCATGGACGAGCAAACGTTCCGAAATGCCATCCTGGAGACGCATGTGTTGAATTCTGTCAACTATATGAAATGGAAGTGGGACCTGATCCATCGCCTTGTCGAGGGTCCTCTCACAAATCCCAAACGAATGGATGAAGCGATCAAAGGCTCCAAGTTCATGAAGCGCCTCCTTGGCTTTTACCGTCCCTTCAAATACAGATTTGCCATGGTCCCAAACACGAAACCGAACCAACGATATGTCCGGACAGGCTGCGCCTTAATGCGGACTCTCGTCATGTCTGCTGAGGGTATTAAATACCTGGCTGAGAACAAGTTCTTGCGACAAGTTGCGGAGTGTTTGGCCCAGTTAGATCGCATGAGTGGCCTGACTTCTGCATCGCCCCTGTTCTCACGAGAGCAAATGGTCAATACGCTGAGCGGTGGCTATTTTGCGATTCTAGGGACGTTGAGCGCAGATGCAAGTGGCTTGCTTATGATGGAGAGGTGGCACATGCTCAACATGTTCTATCACATCATCGAGCTGCAGGATCGGAACGACTTGATCCAAACATTACTTGGGAACATGGACTACGGTCGTGCAAGTCACCTCCGAGTCATGCTTTCCAAAGCTTTGACTATTGGTTCAAAAGACATTCGGATTTTCGCTACCAAGCTCCTCCGAAAATATGCTGTCGGGGATGTCACCTTGTCACCGCAGATGGCTATTGGCAACGCAGAATGGGTTGTCAAGCTTCTTGTGACCCAACTGTACGATCCAGATGTGACGGTTTGTCAAATCGCCGTGAAGATTCTGGAAGAGGCGTGCAACCAGCGTGATTATCTTGAGTTTGTAGTCAAGTGTCGGCCATCGCTCGATCATCTTGGTGAGATTGGCGCCCCACTTCTCCTGCGCTTCTTGTCGACATCCGTCGGGTACCATTATCTAGACGGACTAGACTACATCACTCAAGAGATGGATGACTGGTTCCTCGGCCGAAACGACTCGTATGTTGGCCTCGTGGAAGCCGCTCTGTCTCGTGCCTATGTCGATCAGCCACGGCGTAACAGCTTCGCGCCGGAGGACTTGGTCGACCTGCAAGACGTCGGCGTTGTCCCACCGCACTTTTACCGCGAACTAGCGCGCACAGCTGAGGGATGCAAATTGCTAGAGCAATCGGGGCATTTCAATGAATTCGCCTGGACGATTCGCGACTTCCGCTTGGAGGAAGAAGACACTGAAGTGCTACTCAAAGTCAAAGGATGCCTTTGGGCCGTGGGTAATGTTGGGTCAATGGAGCTTGGGGCTCCGTTCTTAGAGCCAGAGATCGTGCAGCGTATCGTGGCGATTGCTCAACGAGCGGGTGTCTTGACTATGCGTGGAACTGCTTTCTTCGTTCTGGGTCTCATCTCAAGAAGCAAGCACGGATTAAGAGTGCTGCGAGATCTAGGTTGGGACTCGGCCATTGATCAAAACGGCGAGTCGCTGGGCTTCTGTCTCCCGACAGACTTCCGTCAGCTATTTTGGGTAAGATCGTTGCCTCATGTTCAGTCCATCACAGAGCTAACCAAATTAGATCTCTTTCCCTGGCTACAAATCAAACTCGCGACGTACTCCTCAGAATAAGCTCAAGGAAGCTACGACAGATATTGACCCTGTCAATCAAAAGATCCTCAAGCTCATCGTCGACATGGGAAACACCGTTCTATCCAAGCGATCGGCGACCGAGTTACACAGGTATACTACACCTCCATAACTTCTCCGCCCTTTCCAGGACAAGGTCTGATACGCATTTACTGTAGCCTCAAGTCCAAGCAACCCGATAAATTCCATCAAGTTCACCTCTTCCGCAAAGCCCTCTGCATCCTTGAGAGTCATCATTACCGGTTACCAGCCCGACGCTTTGCTATTGATCTTTTTGACAAGAGCGTGATGAGGCGAGTTGTCCTCGAAGAAGACTCCGAATCTGACTCCGATTCCGCCTCGTCCACATAGACCTGCCTCGGGTCTACTGCATAGACCAATATTTTCTTTTTCTTACCCATTTTCTGATCCTCTTAACTTTGTGGTGCTCCCATTCTGCACGGACACGCGTCCTTTTTCCATCGGCTACCCACTCATAGCACGACTTTGTCGTTTGTGAATCCTTTCCCACACGCGATTCAAGGATTTTAGCAATCCCAATCTCTGACCACACGATTTAGCATGGTGAACAGTTAGTTCCTTGCGTGATATGGCGTTTTCTCTTCTCCTGTTTTACTTCCTTGTGTGGATCTGTATCTGGCATGGCGGCGGTTCGGCCTTTGGAACGAGACACGAATTGATATCAAATGCATATTATACAAACTATCTTTTACGCTTTCGGCTGATTGGCCCATCGTTCGGCTCAGATACACAGATGGGATCGAAGTTGGGTTTGGTCGTCAAAAGCTGGTCACAAATACAGGTCACATCTAGGATCCTAGCAGTACATATAGGTTGTCTAACTCAAAAATAGGCCATATTGGCAACTAAATTGATAGAAGTGCGGAAACAATCAACTGAATCTGAGGCCTTTAGATTCAGTGAACCTCGGCCTATTTCCACGTGTGGCTGGCTTTCCTCCGCAAAAAGCTTCCTTCCACGGCACAGATTATCTAAAGTTGACCCGCTCTGATCGCCGATCCCCAACCTTCTAGTGACTCGCATCCCAACATCGCCCTCCACTCTCCTTCAACTACCGCCCCGAATGCATCGAGGACTTCAAACATTGGTATCACCCGCCTGACAGTTCATTCCTGGGGACCCAGAGCCATGGAGAATGTAGATGCGCCGTCCTCACCAACCCCGCAGGCGGCAGAAGCCGGTCCCGATCTGACTTCCGCCGCCAGCTCGGATGTGTCGAGCTCCGAAGAGCATCTCCCTCCTATCCTCGATTCTCCCCATCTTGTCGTACGCTTGATCCAATGCCAGCACTGTTCCCGCCCTCTGCACACTCCGCTCCGACTCCCGTGCGGCAACTCGATTTGTCGATCGTGTCTACCGGCAGTTCGTCCCCGCACGGGCATTACATATCCAGTGGCGGAGGGCAGAGAAGAAGGATTTACATGTTATTGGGCGGGAACTAGGAATTGTGTTGGCGAGCATTGTGTTGGCGATTGCGGTGTGGATGTCGTATTGTGCAATGTGTTGGGGCTCTTCCAAGAGGAATTAGCATTTCCCACGCCGGATGCCGAAACGCCAGGGAATACAGGTGACAACGGTCGGGTTGTGCGCTGGAAAGTCCATCAGAAGGAAACAAACTCGTCGGAGGCTCAGAGTGCTCATCTGAGTCAACGTGGGTGGCTATGGGGTCTATATCTCCTTGCCTGGGAAGGCCGGCTTCCATCTAACGCGACAGAGGTCATTTATGAATGCTCGCCAGATAGTGCAGAGGAGCAAATTCATCAACAAGATGACCAAGTTCGCTTCGAGAAGCTCAGGGACAGGCTCCGGGCTGAAGTAGATTGTCAGGTCTGTTACTCCCTTATACTGGACCCCCTGACGACTCCCTGCGGCCATACCTTTTGTCGAAAGTGCGTGGCGCGGGTTCTTGATCACACCGATCTATGTCCCGTCTGCCGACGAAAGGTTGGCATGCCGGCTGCTGTCCAGGCGGAACCCTTGAATCGCACCATCAGTCAGATCATCGATCACTTCTTCGCTGATCAGGTTGCGGCTCGGCGCGAAGCTGATGCAGAGGATGAGGTGGGAGGAGATCATGAGAAAGATCTACCCCTCTTTGTATGCACTCTGTCATTCCCGACCATGCCGACTTTCCTGCACATCTTCGAGCCGCGATATCGGCTGATGATTCGCCGTGTCGTGGAGAGCGGGAACGGTAAATTCGGCATGGTCATGTACAACAGACGGGGCCGAGATCAGGGAAATGGACTAGGCAGTACGACTTTCATGCAGTATGGCACCGTCCTGGTGGTCGAACGCTATGAATTGTTGCCGGACGGACGCAGTCTCGTGATTGCCACGGGCGTCTCACGATTCAAAGTCCTCGAGGCTGGGGAACTGGACGGCTATCACGTTGCAAAAACAGAGCGTGTCGATGACATTTCTCTCGCAGAGGAAGAGCGACTAGAAGCGATGGAAACAGCAGCTGCCGCGATACCGGACCCAACGGACGCAATTACATCCGAGCCTGCTTTGGATACCATGTCTACTCAAGAACTGCTCGACCTCTCGCGTGACTTCATTCGAAACCAGCGACAATCCGGCGCACCGTGGCTTCATCCACGTGTGATGCTAGCCTACGGGCCAGTCCCGACGGATGCGGCCCGATTCCCGTGGTGGTTTGCCAGTATCTTGCCCATCGCCGAAGAGGAAAAATATCCCATTCTTTCGGCCGTGAGTGTCAGAGAGCGGTTGAAGCTTTCCGCACGGTGGGCACGAGAGCTGGAATCTCGAGATTGGTAGGGATTCCCACGAGCGATTTACGATATGCGCAGCTAACGTCGCCTTGTCTAGGTCTACCCATTCATCCCTCAATTCCGTCTTATGACTAGCCGTCCCCCTTCTCATTCTTTGCATGATACCGTTTATCTTCAGACCGTTCTCGGCGCTTTTGACCGCGATCACACCCAGTATCTTTACATCATCTACACCGTTCTCTCTTTCGATCTCAGTGTCATTTGGTGGTTCCCAGCCTCTATCTCTGAACAGAAACCAAAACGAACAAACGAATACGCCTGCAACTCAATCATCAGAGACATATATACCGCAGAAACTTGTCATCGGCGCCTTCTTCGTGATATTCCTTGCGCAGGTGGGCGCCAACGTCTTGCAAACGATGCGAGGCAATCGACGGCGAAGGCAAGCGATGGAGCTGCAATTTCCACAACCTCTACCTCAGCTTAATAGAGGTCGAAACTGAAGGGAAAGGATCACTGCCACTCAAGAGCGAGGCACTTCCAATCAATATGTGGGGCTGGGCCCCGACTCTCGGCCTTGGGCACCTGATATGCTGTCGTACAGTGGTATGAAGTACTTTGGGGGCTGGGAGGTATTATGAACTTATCACGACTGTCCTTACTTATTACAATTTCCCGGGGCGTTCTCCTTCTTTCTATTTCGTGTATATTTCAAATCACTCTGGTTTCGCGAAACAGGGCTCGGACAAATATCCACAATTCCACTCAGGTGTATTTAGGCACAGACAATCCACCGCACAGAATCACGTCGTTCACATTGTATAATGCACTACTGAACACGAGTCGTTCTCTGATGATTTCAAATTTCAGCCTCTTGTGCTATTACCTGAAGGACCTGCCTTGATGCACGGTCTCGATGACAATAATCTCGTAGGATAATAAGTGGGAATACCATTTGGCTCCCAGAATTATATGATGGAGTGGAGAAAGCACACTAATATTCGCCTACTACCTATGGCTTTCATCGTTTGTCCCGTCTGCTGAGTTGATAGCTAGCATCCCTGGTAAAGCGGTTTCACACACATCCCACCGATATATATCTCTAGGTAGATGTCTCCCACAGAACGTTACTATCTTTCCAACAGGGATCTACCCTTTATTTAGTGCTGAAATTGAGTTTATATGACTAATAAAATTACAAAAAACTCGATTGATACCACAACCTTCTCGTACGCCCAATTTTACCCCAGCCACCCAACTGTGAGCAGTCCCCATATGCCACCCACCTGGATCGAAGAAATAAAAAACTCCAAAAAAGAAAGGATCTCAGGTTTTTCTTAGGAATAGCCGAACGCGGGGGTCGAACCCGCAACCTTGAGATTAAGAGTCTCACGCTCTACCGATTGAGCTAGCCCGGCAGGGCTGGTTGAAGAGCGAGGAGTTTTATGGATCTATGACCCTGTGTGTAGTGGAGACCAGCGGAGTTGATTTTTGTTCGGTTCCGAACTTTGAATTTCGCTTACATAACACAGGTTGGCAGAGTGCCTCAGGCAGCCAACAAACTATCAGGAGAGATTGATTTCTATTCACTCGGATGGTAGTAATAGAAAGTTGCAAGATCTTAATTAGGTCCATGAAAAGCAAGTATGTGGACATCTGGATCAAAACTATGTAGCAATACGAGAGAAGGAAGATGCATTTTGACGGACCATTGAAAAAATAAGTAAAGATTTGGTATCGAATGAAACTAGCTTGAAATGACCCCAAAAGATATGAAAAAACACTCTAATTAATCACATTTGCCTGTCTCTGTTCAACCGGTAGAGGTGCGGCCTTCTCGAAACCCTCGATCTTGTCCACCTTTTCTGTTTTCTCTTTGGAAAGGAATGCCGAACCCAGAAGATTAAGAGGATTGTTCACACGAAGGACCCAGCAATAGTACAACGTGAACCCAACAACCACAATCTCATCACGGGCAGCCTCCTCGAGCGCTTTGGATCCGAGTAACTCAATCTTTCCAACCTTCCTTATAGCCCACATATTGGCGGAGAACCTAGCCACAGGCTGTTGCTGTTCGTCAACACAGATAAAGTCCCAGGTCTTGAAACCGCTCTTGCTCATCCATGTCATTTTGGCCGGAGCACCCGTAGTCGAGAAGGTGGTAGACATGTGGGTGTAGACAGTGCGTAGGCGTTTCTGGGCTTTGAGAGTTCCCTTGACACCATGGAGCTGATAGTCTGGACTAATGCTGATGGCATGCACATCGCCAGTTCCGATGATCTGGTCATTCTGAGGCGTCTTGAAGGTCAAGTTGTTTGTGATGATGTTGCAATCGACGGTATATAGTGGCATGGGGTTTGACTCGTTGGTGTCCGTGATGAGGGTCCTGAGCTTTCGCCATGTAAAGTCTACCGCCAGGGTGCGGGATTGAGAAGTTACCGCGTGAGGGAGGGAGGTCGCATTTGTTTGATCCATTTTGCGTTTTGAGATATTGTTGGCACTTGTAGGCTAAGACGAGGAAGTCGTAGAATTTGTTGATAATAATGTTAAGTCTGTTCCGAGGAGAACGAAGTCAAATTATATATCAATTGCAGTTGCCATCACTTTGAAGTACAGCTCTACTACGATACTAAGGAACTAACCGGATTCGGTCCTACGCACCGCTCCGTTATAAGCTGGATGCTGATCTCACCACTTCAAACGTTAAATCAGTGGGGGCTGAGGCATCTTGGCGAGTGAAGATATGCAATTAAATCAGCCCTGCCACAGACGCCGAGCCATGGCGCGCTGTTGGAAGAGAAAAGATCGACTCGTATGTCCAATCAACGAGAGAGAACGTTGATTGATTATGCTAAATGGCGACACTGCCAAGAGACACGCGATCGCCTTAAGCCGATTAGGCGGGACACGCCGCTTGAGCCAATGATCGTGCGAGACTTGATTGAATGATGTCATTCCTTTTGACAGGGTCCAAGAGCGATGGCTTAAGGAGATGTCCGAATTGAGCTTATGGTTGTTCCTAGTAAAAAGTGTCCCTGAGCTCTGAAAGGAGGTTTTAAGATGCTTGAGCGGAGATATTGCCACTGCTAAACCTTCCCATTTTCTTCTTTGAGCCTCTCGCATCCACAATCTCGCCCAACTATTCCTTGAGATGCATAAAATGATAAGTGTTTGCCATGAGCCCCTTTCGGGCTTTTCAATGCATATACGAGCTACTTGGCACCGTGATAAGAGGCTCTAGACAACCATCGGGTACAAAATCAATATGACGTATGAAGACTGCTGTGCTTTCTATAGTTCCTACGAGACCATGGCATGATCAAAATAGAACACTGTTCCCACACAGAACAATTCACTTCTAATTTAGCTACATACTGCCAACCGAATTGAAAGATAAAGAATCAAACCCCATATCTATGGTTCAGGCACTCAAGCCGAGGTCCATCTCTGGCAATGGGATTTTTTATTATCGAGAGATCCATTTTTACTAGATACGCAAGTCAATCCGTTCCAGACAATGACCGCCAGATGATGTTTATGAAGCGGTCAATTGGTCTATTTTGATGATGTCCTCGACCAACTGCAGCGCGACTGAGGTACCCGCATTGCTACCGATGCTCTGAAGGCGTTGGATGATCCACTTCCGGGTCTCCTTGGTCGTGACTGCGCACTTTCCTACCATGTAGAGACCCCAAGTCAGCATGTAGCCACCCGAGATGTTACCGCGGAAGGAGAGATCGAGAGAAGGGCGAGGATCAGATGGCGAAGATGATATTTCCAAAGCTTGGGGAATGGTGGCGAGGAAGTCGTTTCCCAGCCTGGACAACGTCTGTAGCGTCTCCTGGAGTCTATAATTCATACTGCTGTGAAGACTCGATGCAGGATTTTGACCAAGAATTCGATTCAAGAGGTAACATATCATCTCGCAGAGAATCATGTGCAGGTTCCGTGAGTTGTTCCAGACTCTGATCGCCCAGATGTCTTGATAGCGGTCAACCCGGCCGTTGAGAATAATGCTTGGATCTCCGCTGGGCTCCTGGGTGGTCGTGTAAGGCTCTTCTATGGCAAGGCTTTCAACATTACGTTGAAGGTCACGCTCAATCGATGTGGCTTCTTTCAGAAATTCAGCCGAACGGCGTCCCCCTGTACTTTCTCTCAGAGCAAAAAGAAGATTGGCACAGCGAGTGCCCAAGATCCCTATTTGCCAGAACGCGCTAGCGGTATCGGTATGCTTGGCCGCTTCTTCCTGTAGTTCAAGCATGTCTCTCGAAATTGGCTTAGTGCCATGGAGACTGGCTATCACCAGGTCGGCGCGTACTTGATTGAACATGCGAATTGTGACTGGGCTAGAGAATTGGCTCTTACCCCGGGCAACTACTAGCGCTGCAGCACCTTCCACGTGTTGAACCCAGGTCTCAAACCCGGAGACTTGCTCAAACATTCCCAACGAAATCACAGACATCAGCGTGCTGTCTTTGATAGACTCGGAAGGTGATGCGAGCGCGTTGTTAACATTGTGTATTGCCTCCATGTATTTGGCGCGCGCATGAGTAACCAGCTCTGGCTGTTGAGTTGAATTAGCCAACGCCACAAGGCCTACGGCGGCCAAGCTAGCCACTAGAGTTGGATGCTCGCCATCATTCACATAAACGGACGGAATATAGTTCAAATATCCACGTGAAGAAGACGGGCCGCCAAGAACGAAATTGCTGAGAAAATAATTGATCCCTATCTGGTCAGGATTGGGGCTCAGCTCACGGGCTGGGGCCGGCACATCATTGGCCCCAGCTGTGGCCGCACTCCTTGCCCTTTTCTCGTTAGTACGTTTGATGGTTTGATTGGTCTGGTCGCGGAAAACCAAATCCCACTCATCGCGGTACCCCGGGCATGTTTCACGCATGCGAACGCACTGTCCGCAATGGGGGAGCTGCTGATCGCACTGCGAGACGGGACACGGTCAGTATGAACGTCGTAGACTGGGGAACATGCAACGAAAAAAAGAAACCAGGAAGACCCACGCGTCTCTTGACAGCCCGGCAATTGCCACAACTCCTGGAGGTTCTTGCGCGGACCGGCTTAGGCGGCGACATGGCTTCAACCTCTGAGCAGAGAAGTCTGATAAGAGACAATCGAATCTCGAAAGTGACAATCAAACAACAGCTCAAGCTTGTATGATAACTCAATACCAATCAGCGCTCCCTGAACCTTAGAATGATGTGATGAACAGCAGATGCTTGTCTGAAGCTCAATCGTGGTCGGTTCGACCTCAGAGTATGGCCCCCAACAGATTCAATTGGCCCCCAAGCCACGTCAGTACATCAGGGGTGGGGTGGGGTGGGGGCCAATCGAGAATTCACCGCTGCGACCATTGTTGAATCAAGTTGCCGTTGGCTGCACAAGTACCCAGCCTAGAAGGATCAGCAAAGAATTTACCTAGGGCGATAGGCGCTCATGCATAGCCTCCTAAGGCTGACTCTGATGGAAGGAGTGAGCAAAGGAGCGGGGCAATTCTCGAGTGCCCGCTACAGTATGTACTCGCAAGATGACGCTAGTCTTCATCGGGTATCTGAGATGTTCGGCCAGTCAAGCATCGAAATATCGTCGATCTTGTGGATTTAAACTATCTCGACATGAAGTTTGTGTTGCTATCGACAGGATGCCTTGAAGAGATCTGGAAAACATAAAAGGAGGGCATTAGCCCTGCTCCTGAACGTACACATTACAAGATCTTCACCACTCTACACCACCACCACACCTTCTTTACCTATACTGCTTGGGCTTTTCTGCTCATACCGAATTCATACGACCTATACTTAAACTGCTCACGACACCCCAAAAGCAACAATGGGTATCGTGACTTATCGGGACGGCATCGCAATCCTCCAGCTTATCGTGTTCCCCGTGCTGCTCGTTAGTGCACTTTTTATATGGAAGCGAACAGGCTGGAAGGCTGCGGGCAAGACATGGCGCTTCGTCATTTCGCTCTCCCTCATTCGAATCATCGGTAGCATTTGCACGTTATTGACAATCAACAATGCCAACGAAAACATTTACATTGCCGAGGCAGTATGCGAGCTTATCGGCATAGCACCTCTGATGTTGATCTATGTGGGACTCTTGCGACAAATGTGAGTGTGCCAATTTGTACCAATTTCCTAGACTTTAAGGATGTGGACTAAAACATGTTTCCTTTGACAGCGATTCCGAACAGAAAATGCATCCCAAATTCCTCTCCTTGGTGGCCCTCGCCTGTTTCGTTGGCCTCATCCTCGGTATTGCAGGAATCAGTATCTCTGATGACAACTCTGGGGGCACATTCCACGCAAATGCTATCGTCAAGGCTGCCATGGCAATCTTCCTGGTTGTTTTTGTCGTGGATATTGCGATCACGAGCTGGCTATACTCACACCTGCGATTGAGATTGACTGTCTTCCAAAAGAAGCTGTTCCTCGCCATCGTTCTTTCCTGGCCTTTCCTGTTGGTCCGCCTGATATACTCGGCGATCAGCGATTTCACGGATAATTCGCGATTTGCTATCCTGGTAGGCGACCCGACCATTTACCTGTGCATGGATGTCCTGGAGGAGATTATCGCCGTGTCGCTGTGTGTGGCATTTGGAATGTCGGCCGTGCTTGATTTGCAGCCAAAGGTACAAGTTTACAACGAAGCAAAGCCAGAATTGAGGCCTGGCGAGGTGTAAGGTGGTTGTTTATTGATGAGGTTTGTGTTAATGCAATCATATGATGAGCGCTTTTATATGTCTTGAATTCCATATACTAGGTTAGACCTTGCTTTTTTCATTCAAATAGATTCAATCAGTTTGATGTGGTAACAGCATTCACAGGAGACTGTATGCTCGACTATAAATCTCGAGAATCAGGAACGGGTTCTCAAGTATTGACTATATCAACAGTATTAAGTCATGTCTAACAATTCTACAATACACTACATCATTCCAGCTCTTCATTGCTTCTGAGTATCATATTCAGCGGGACAGGCCAAGACTGTCACCATCTTTGTCACTCGAACAGTCTCAACTGGAGCAACCACATCACCTCGGGTGTTGGTCTCCATATCCGTGATGGCGGCAGTAGGGGCCGCTCTTTCAATTGGAACCCGAATCGTAGTAGTGTAAGCCTCGTGCGTCTCAGTGGTCACAGAGGTGGTCATTTCGGACGGCTGACACTTGCTTTTCCACGGCGGGCACGCACTAACAGTGTGGCTCCGGGTTTCATAGACAGTAGAAGTGGTGACCGAATACACAGAGGTTGCAGTTGGAATTGTGTGTGTGACTGGAGAGGGAGTTTGCTCAGAGAAAGGGCAATCATTCACTGTTGAAGCGCACTTATAGATGGTCGAAACGACGGTGGTATAGATGGTTTCAGTAGTGATACCCTCGCTCGCTGTCACGCGCGCAGAAGGATTTCCTGGAACAACTGTAGTCCGTGTATCATCTAAAGTGCTGGCTGTAGTGTCGAGTGACTGAGTACTGACGGATTGAGTGGAAGAGGAAGACAGAGACTCCGAGGAGGTTGAGAAAGGGCGTGAAGAGACGGATCCCGGAAGAGTCAGGAAGCCGGATGGAGATGACTGTGGTATCGGCGAAGATACTGGTGATAGTTGCGAGCTCTCCGAAGGTATGCCAGATGACGATACGACTGCAGTGGAAGAAGAGAAAACACCCGCCGAGCTTGAGGATGAAATTGAGCTTGGGACTGGATGCAGGGTTGAGCTGTGTGCGCTCTGGGATGCGCTCTGTGATGCACTTCGGGATGCACTTCGGGATGCACTTCGGGATGCGCTGTGGGATGCACCCTGGGATATGCTCTGGGATGCGCTAGAGGATGCACTTCGGGATGCACTTCGGGATGCGCTCTGGGACGCGCTCTGAGATGTACTTTGGAAATGAATGAGCGACGACGAGGGCGAGCGGGCGGAAGAGGACTTGAAGGGAGCCGAAGAAGATGCGACAGTCACAGAACTGGACGGAGAAGCATTCGGAGTGGATGAAGACTGAACTGCGCTGGATAGAGCAGACGATAGCGGCCTAGAAGATGACACCAGCGTCTGAGAAGAAGTGAATGTGGAGGTCGGTGTCGGAGTTGGGGTCAAGATAACGAGGGTCGAGACTGAAGTTGTGGTATAGTCGATGGTCAACACCACAGTTTCGGTAGTGCTGAATGTCGACGTTGCAATACAGGGATTGGTCGTGAAGATTTCTACCGCCGTCATCGACGATGAGGCTGCCACCATTGTCGGCGTGCCGCTGACCAGGAAGCATTCTGAGACCGCGCCGATTGTGTAAAAGTTGACTCCAGCACAGCTGGCAATCGCGTCGCAGTATTGGTTGCACCTCGAAAAAGGAAGCTGTACATAGGCACGAATGGTCGCCGCACTGGTTAGAGACGCGCCTCCACATTGCACGGAGTAGTATTTCGAGCCCGATGTCCAGATTCCGTTTGAGCAGGACGAGGGCAAAGCACTGCTCTCCAACGAGCAGGTGCTTGTGGTGATGGTGGCCACGCCAGTGTTGGTCTGGGTTACAGTGCTCTGGCTGGTCTCGGTGACCGTTAGTAGGGAAGTGGACGCATCGGTGGAGCCCAAAAGGCTCAAGAGAAGGAAGGGAATCCAGCTTCGGAGGCCTTTCATTGTGAAGAGGAAGAACGAGTGACGACAGGTAGGAATGATAGGGCAATGATGGCTCGAAGAAGGTGAGCAAATGTGCCTTTCATATGGTCTCTTCCCCAGAATGTCCACAGTCACCCCTGAACAGATCGACTAGTATCGCCACCATTTTTTTTTCCTTTTTTTTTTTTTTCCCCTGTCGTCGATGCTGGACGGGAGCGCCGAGAAACTATCCAGACCCAATCAGGGCGATTCCTCTTCGAGACTAAACCGACGCCGCCCCAACATCTAGTTGACCCACTGTTCGAAGCAAGTTGGCGAATTTTGCCGGGGGTGGATCCCCAAGTGTAAATAGCTCGAATTACTCGGCTAAAGAAGCCACAAGAAAGGGAAACCAGCTTCAAAACAAGGAAGTATTTCAAAGCTAGATAGTCCATGGTCAACTTTGCAAATACTGATCGGGTACACCGGGATAAGTAAAGAAGAGAAAACCGATCCGTTGACAAGAACGAGTCAAATGATCCACAACCTATCGTTTGAAGCGAGTTGGAGATTCAACGAGCTGACATGTATACAAGTGGAATGGTGTTTCAAGCCATACGATAGGGTGCGGGCAGCTCACAAAGAAGGCGAGTAGTTTAAAGTTACAAAGAACCTCCGAACGAAGAGTGGACATCGTACAATGTGTGACAGCCAGTCCAATCAAAAGGATTCGGTGCATTCAACGAAACAGCTACATCTAGAAAGAAAAGAAGAGGAAGAAGTTCTATCTGTCGCTAGCGACAGGAACCTTCCGCCAAACACCAGTTGACCAGTTAGCTACTGGACCCTTTACACTCCAGTTCGTCCTCAACTGTAACACAAAGCGATAGATCATTCAAAATGACCATTTAGTTCACAGTGTGTTGGAGTGTTTACACTCACCAGGCTTCAACCAATCAGAGAAGCGCCTGATGATTACGTAATAAAAAGCCGGGTTTCTGTCGGGCCCGACTTACCGCGCCTTACCCGACTTGAAGCGAGTTTGGACGACGACGACTTCCGTAGATGATGATGCTTATCCCGTGTCTTCAATAACAATGACCTCTAAAAAACCTCCTAAGAAGGTATATCCAATCACAACGTTTATCTCAGACCTACCGACCAGTCTCATCCCACAAGCTTATCCCTCATCTGTGGAAAATGGCTCTCAGAGCCGACGTTTGGTTATTGTGGGTGACGTACATGGAATGAGAAAGTCCCTAGAAAATCTCCTTGACAAAGTAGGCTTTAACAAAGCAAATGGAGATCATCTTGTTTTGGCTGGCGACATTACCAACAAAGGGCCCGACAGCTCTGGTGTTGTTGATTTAGCGATCAAGCTAGGCGCCAGCGCAGTAAGAGGCAATCACGACAATGCAGTTCTCGATGCGGCAGCCGAGATCGCCGCTAATGGTGGTCTTGAACAATTCAAAAGCTTGATTGAGACATTGGCTACACCTGATACTCCTCGAGAAGATCTGCCCAAGGACAATGTCTCTACCCAAGGCTCGGAGAAGAGCGGACCTGCTACAACCGACATTACTCTGCGACATGGTGCAAAAACATATAGAACGGCACTCCAGCTTTCTCCCCATCAAATTGAATGGCTTGCCAAGTTGCCGTTGATCTTGCGCATCCAGCTACCTCGGGATGTATCATCCTCCCTCGGTAGCAACCTTGTTGTGGCGCATGCGGGCCTCGTTCCAGGTGTCCCACTTGAAGAGCAGGACCCTCACGCTGTACTGCATATGAGAAGTCTGACTCGCAAATCGGACAAGGAAGATGAATTCATGCCAGAAGAATCCGCTGGAGAAGAAGGCTGGGCTTCGGAATGGGACCGATGGCAAGACAAGCTTACATCACGGACTACTGTGGTATTTGGACACGACGCAAAGCGCCGGTTGCAGCTTGGCAGATGTACCATTGGGCTGGATACGGCATGCGTATACGGGAATCAACTCAGTGCGCTTGTGATCTCGTTCAACGACGCCAAAATCAAGCATCAGATTATCTCAGTCGATTATGCTGATATACCTGTGGCCCCAGCAGCACCAATCAAGGAAGAAAACAAGACGGCGATTGATAAGTAGCGTGGGCATATAAAATAGCTGTCCTGACATTCAATTCTCGGAAGAATGATAATTCATGTCTTTTAGAAGCTGTTTCTCTATTTGGAATGATATGCGCTCTGGTCTCGCTGTGATCATCCAGGATTTACTCGGATGCCAATTGCCAGTCTACATACCGTCAAGTGTAACTTGCATCAGATAATGGAATACCAGTCCTGTGATAAACCTTGAAAAACTCAATGTGAACAAGTATCCATTTATCGAATATAACAAATTAAAAAAAAGGAAAGAATCCATTTTCAGATTGTATGACTTTTACGGAGCAAAAACGTACTTCCCAAAAGGGTGAAATTGAAACTGCTTATGTAATCGGCAGCTGTCACGTCCCGGGTCTGATCCAACAGATCGAGGTCGCGTCTCTCACTGACCAAGTTAGCTGTCACTGTGCCCCGACTCAAATTTGCTGAACCAATGACGACCATTTCTCTTTCACTAGCCCCACCGGCATTAGTTCGACTCCATGACGTGCTCATATGCCTGTCTAAATTCAGCGACACAGTGGCCATTGAGGCAGAGCATGATCTGGTAAACAGCTGTCTGCAAAATGTGAATCCAAGAAGTTTGACTGACGAGATGTACTCAGCTTCGATTGAGTGCGCTAAACTCCACAAAAACGGCGTTTGCGTCGTTTGCGTGTGAGAGGGAGGTCTTTTTCGAGACGTACTCGTTTGAGGTGCGGCGGAGTATAGCCGGTAATGGAGGTGATCGATTCTATTGTCAAATTCTTATCAAGGTGAGTACGATTGATAATTTGTTGCTTAAATTCCTTTCTGACTTGCCTGGAAGGCCCTCTTGTCGATCTTCCGCGGAAGAGTTGACCGCAATAAGGATACTGCGGTTGAGCGCTGTGATATGGAGCTTCACGAAGATCCACAGCAGACAGAGTGTCGCTTGACAGTGAAGATGATCTGCGGGCTTGGTTAGTCCCCTCGTTCGCCCCGTTGCATTATTTTTCTGATCAATCTCCTTAGGTGTAATCAAATCATACAAGCTCACCTACGAGCCTGCGTCCATTCAACACGCCGTCTTCGATAGAAGCAGAGCCACTAATCAGTGGACTGCGGACCCGCGATTCCTCAAGCAGGTCATTGAGCATTTCAGCCTATCTGCGGAGCAGCTTGATATGTACTCTGACTCTGGCAAGGCGGTATTCACCAGCTTTACGACTAAGATCATGGAAGGAAAAGGTATGACGATGACCCTAGTCTATCTATAGCTTCTATTCACATTCAAAGTTCTCATGGACATGGCTGACTTGACAAAGAGGTACTCAAATACCCCGTGCATACCTCCGTCGCCACTGATAAGCGCGATTTTGAAGAATTCCTCGTCGAGGACAACTTGCATATCGCCATTAATCTCAAAGACTTCAAAGCCGCGGTGGCCCATGCCGAGACCGCGAATGCAACGATAACAGCCCGTTACACCCGCCCCTGCAAACCGCTGCAACTTGCATACGAGTGTGAAGGTATGGCGGCCGAATTTACCATTATGACCCGCGGCGAGCTTGACGGTGAGACTGCACCGACCTCCTCACGTACAGCGATTCGAGAACTCTCACAGCGGCAAACGCCCGCGGCGCCAATCTCAGTACGCCGACACGAAACACCCCGTGACACAACCCAGAATACTCAAATGCCACCACCGCCGCCCCGGGCGCGGTCTATCAAGCCATTGAACGGGACATCAACGCAGGAGCACTTGTCGCGATCGACGGCGAGTGAGAGGCCGAGTGCGTCGGCGCTTTCTATGGAGTATGATAGTTTATTTGTACCGGCAGATGATGACCGTCAGTGGGACGAGATGAACGAGGAAGAAGAAGAACCGCAAGATATCTTGGGCTGGGATGCGAGTGGACGACCCGATGCGTCGGAGGCCACGCTCAGAGATGAGGAGCCTGACTTCTCGAGGGCGGGAACCAAGATCAATCAAGAGCCGAAGGACGAGATGGGTATCCCGCCAACGCAGCGGATTTCACAGGTTTGTTTCTATGAGTTGACCCTGCTCGCGAATTGCAATTGACACACCATAGGTCCGTGGATTTGGCCTCTTCGACTGAGACGCCCTGCAGAGCACTGTTCAATCAAACACTTGCGCCAATCCGGGTGTAATGAATATTTGGAACTAGACCGGCGATAACGTCGATAGCCGGTCACTCTGCAACAAGCCAGCTTGTCGCACACCCCGCACCGAGGCTAATGACTCGCCCACCACTAGTCAGAACAGCCTCCAGTGGGATCAAGCCATACCGCCCTGCAACATTCCCGCACTCATCGGTATCAGGTCCACAATTTCCATGCTCGCCCCATCCAAATGAGGCCACCGTGCCATCACGCATCAGCACCAGCACATGTTCGCTTCCAACGGCCATTTCAGCGGGATATGGCAAACTGTCAGGCGGGAGTTGACCACGATCGTTGCGACCCCATGCAATAATATGAGCAGATTCGAGTTCAGCAGAGCTCTGAGAGGTAGCATGGATATAAACACCATGCCAGCTTGCTCCAACGTCCGAGAACCCCGAAATTTTTCCATCTAAGCCCGTACTCCGTAGAGATGCTGGAACGTTCAAAATACCCCATCGATTGGCCTTATCTCCAAGAACAACAAACTCGCCTCGTCTCCGATCTCCGCACACAACACTAAATTCACGTCCACACACCGCACTCTGTGCCGCAAAGGGAATTCCTGTGACCTTGGCCGGAGCCCAGACGATCTTCTGCGCTTTTAGAGTCTCGCCTAATTGACCCTTCCGCGAACCGCCCCAGCCGTAGACATCGCCATTCGATAAAACAGCGATCGTATGACCCATACCACTAGCTAGTGCAATGACACTCGTATTTTGCGGTGGAAAATCCGAAATATACGACCCAGGCTGGACCGCATTGTCACCAGGAGTGGATGTTGATTGAAGCTGGAGACCCAATTCACCCTTTGGATTTGACCCCAGAACGAACACTCTCTCCTCGTGTACATCCGAATCAACCAGTTTCCGCACGCTTGCAGCCAGGATACTCCCCTCCCACGTTGCAGACACGCACTTGAAAGTATCAATGCGCGAGCCCGTTGCAGCATCAGTCAGAACAACCCGTCGAAAGCGTAGCAGATTCTCTCCGGAATCAGATGTGCGAGGACCACATCGGCCATCGGTGTTGCAGCCGGCTGCATACACACAGCCGCTCTTTGTTAATAAGAGGGTATGATTCCCACCAGCGGCGATGTGAATGATTGCATCGTCGGTTGCTGGAGTTTCGTCGAAGAGGCATTGTGTTGGGGTAGAGACATCTTCTGTGTGGCCGAGGGCTAGTTGGCCAGAGCCATTGGACCCGAAAGCGAAGAGCTTCATTATTTTCCATTCCCCTCTGTCAGTTCTTGAATATCTGCCAACATTGAAGTAGATAGAAGTAAATGAAAATAGTAGCGGGGCATTGTCAAATGTCCTGCCTTTTGGGTCACCGCCGATGATACCGCCTGCCGTATCGAGATGCCGAGTTTGAGCCGAGGCTCTTTGGCATTTGACTTTGTGGAGCTTTTGGTTTGATGTTTACCTGAAGTATAACTGTCAAATGAATAGTCTAACCTTGAAGACAGAGCCCTTTCTTGCGATAATGTGATCAATTGCAATATTGAAAAGGCATCATTTTTATGTTCTTCGCAATGCCTGTGACCTTATCAATGTTACCTTGGCGCCTAATCCCTGCAATATGGCGCCAGCCTCGCGCAACGTCAGAAAGCTTCCGTTCCAGAAATGTTCACGGAGAGCAACAACCTTGACTTCCCATGGCCGACCTCCTCAAGAAACCAGCGATGGAGAAGGAGCCTCTCCATTCTGAGTGCCGACGTCCAAAATGGTCTTGGGTGACCATATTCTGGTCAGTAGCAGGCGCAGGCCTCCTGGGGCTTACTGGGTTCCGTGGGTTGCTTACCCCGGCACACCCCTGGGTCACTCCAGACAATCACAACCCCCTCCCGCATGAGACTCAACTCCAAGTACAAGACTCGCCCTATGGATTATACCCTCAAGAGAACGATCCATTTCATTTCCTCCCCTGTACTGGCGCCAGTCGTCTGCCACCGCTTGACGACCCGACCCCTCAGCAGTCATGGGCCAGTCTTTTCGATCCAAACCCCAGCCATTGGAACTGGGGTAGCAATGGCCGGGGAATCTACCTTTGTGGATACTTGGATCTCCCAATTGACTATCACAACCACTCGGATACTCGTATAGTCCGCATTGCGGTGACCAAATTCCAGGTTGCGGGCCTGCCTCTGAAGAATGACTCTGATTCTGTCACGAACAGCTACAAGAGCAAGCGTACACTTATCATCGAGCCCGGAGGTCCAGGCGGCAGTGGAACGTCTTACCTGTGGGAGACTGCGGAGGAAATGACCAACCGCCTTGGCGACGGGCAACTCGATGTACTCGGCTGGGATCCACGGGGTGTCAACACTTCCCTCCCCTCTGCAGCATGCTACCCTCAGGATGCCCACCGGGATCGCTGGTCACTCCTCGCGCTTCGGTATCGCGAAGAAGCTCCAGCAGCGCAACTCGAAATGATGGATGCCATGAACAACGCTACATTCTTTGCCTGCCACCAACGCCTCGGTGATTTTGGTCGCTTCGTCAGCACGGCCTTTGTGGCACGCGATCTCGACGAGATTCGTAAAGCCCTTGGGGAAGAAGAAGTCACTGGATACTTTCTCAGTTATGGGACGGGTATCGGTCAGACGTATGTCAATATGTTTCCCGACCGTGCGGGCCGATTGATTCTCGACGGGACGGAGTACGTCAAGGATCACCGCCTCCTGGGTGGCTTCGGTTGGACCTCCCTCGACAATGCAACGGATGCGTGGCGTGATGGGTTCTTGGGCGAGTGCATCAGTGCTGGACCGGAAGCGTGTGCGCTGGCCAAACCAATCTCCGACAAGGACGGTCCCGTCACATTAGAACAGTTGGAAGGACGCATGGCCCGACTACTCGCATCGCTTCAGATCCGGCCTCAATCCGCATACACGGAATCAGGGGGTCCGTCCTTGATCACGTACTCTGCGCTCGTGGAGAACCTGCTATACCCGGTCATGTACAGACCGGCAAACTGGCCAAGCATTGCACAACTCCTCTATGAACTGGAAGCAGGCAATGCAACACTAGCAGCAACCCAGCTAGAGACCTCATGGAGCGATCACTCGGAGAAACCCTCCTATCCGCATATACCATCATCCAGCGAACTAGAGCTCCTCGTAATCTGCTCCGATTCCTACGATGCACCCATGCCGGACGGCCTCGACTGGTGGGACCAGCTATGGGCGAACATGACTGCCCAAAGCTGGATGGCCGGTAACTCACGTTTCTTCGCCGTCCTACCTTGCCGACACTATAATACCTACTGGGGCCGTCCGTCGGAGGTATACCGCGGTGACCTCAACAACACTCTCAAGACTCCTACCCTTCTTATCGCCTCGACGTATGACCCTGCGACGCCGCTGCGCAATGGAAGGAGGCTTTTAGAGGAGATGGGTCAGAATGCCCGGTTAATTGTGCATCATGCGTACGGGCATAGTTCCAGACGGGACTCGTCGGAATGTACGGATCGTGTGGCGACGGCTTATATCATGGATGGCACTCTCCCCGAGGAACGGGAAACGGACTGCTATGCCGATAAGAAGCCTTTCTCTCAGTAGAGTGTGACATGAATCAACCATCCAAGGAGGGATCAAAGATAGAAGCTAGATTTGAGAGCTTAAAATTAGTAAATATGAATAATTTGATCCCTAGGGGTTGAGAGGTAGATTGGAAATCGTACTCTTTTGTGATGGCAGGGGATTTCTAGCTCAACAGCACCTCAAGAGACTCGGCAGTGTCGCATGCTTCTTTTGCGCTCACCCTTGATCACCCACAACGAGTGAATTCGTCAGGATCATGCTTTCGATACTCCGTGTGATTCAAACGCAGGAAAACCGTGAATTCAATATCATCAAGATATTCCCACAAGGTCATCTGCAGTGGCAGTATTCGGTGCTCAAGTCAAGAGTCGATCTGCATGTCCAGATGCAAGACATGATGATATGCTATAAGACATACACCTTCAATTACCTTGAGTTCTACTTTGAAGAGACAGAAAACAGATTCCAAAGCCATGTAAAGCCATGATCATTCCAAGTGGGTATGTGAGAGGTATCAACGTCTAATTACAAACAGGCAAAAAATGGGCCTGTATCATGCAACTCATGCAAGCTCATGCAATGTCCAGACAAGCAACGCAGCCAAGAGGTATATCCAAAAACAGGGGGTTTTTCCAAAAATCAACAAAAACAATCGTGGTCCCCAGCCAAAATGATCCAATGGAAATCGATAATAAAAGAACAAGCCAAAGAAAATGTATATCCGATCTGAGCTTCTCAAAAGCTAGAACGAACCAGCAAATGCAAACTACTTCTGCTCAGCAGTCTTTTCGTTGGAGAAGGTCTCCTCGGAGCCGGACTCAGCAGCAGGGGGCAGACGGAAGGTGTCCTTGTCCTGCTTGTTGGTCGTGGGCTGTTCCATACCCTTGAACATGGGGCTAGTTCGGTGGAAGTAGGTGTGAACGTGACCCTCGAGCAGAGTATCGTCGGTATCGAAGATCTCATCGCTCTTCTCCTTCTCGGCCAAGCGCTGGGCCATGAGGGCCTCCCACTCAGCACGGTACTCCTCGACCTTTTGCTGGTAGTCCAGCTCAGCATCGTAGTAGCGGCCCTTGCGCAGGACGAAGCGCTCGTACCATGACAGGTGCTTGGGGTGGACAGCGGGACCGTGGTAGTCCTCCTCACGACCCTCACGGAGGCACTGCCAGCGACGCTCCTGCTCCTTCAAGTCGAGACCGGTAGTGTCGGGCAGGAAGGCCAGAGTCAGGACGACACCGGCCAGACCGAACCAAGGAACGACGTAGAACTTGGTCTGGGTGTCAATGTAGTTGTAGAGAACCGAGGCCAGCAGAGCGCCGGCCTTACCAGCAGCAGCGGAGAGACCGTGGGCAGTCGCACGGATAGGAGTAGGGAAGACCTCGGCGGCAACCAAGAAGCTGACGCAGTTGGGACCGAATTGGTTGAAGAAGGAGCTGAGGAAGTACATAGCCTGGAACTCCTTGATGTGTTCCGCGGATGTGTAGTACTCGTAGTGGAAAGCGGGGACGACGAAGAGAACGAAGCACATCAGGAAACCGACGGTCTGCATCCACTTACGACCGTACAGCTTGTTATCGATCAAGAAGGAGGCAAGGTAGTAACCGCACAAGGAGACACCGACGTTGACCAAGTTCCAGAGCCAGGTAGGCATAACGGAGCTAGTCTTGGGGGAGATGACGCTGATGAACTCGCTCTGGAAGAGCTTGTTACCATAGAAGAACACATCGTTGGCAAACCAACCACCGGCGGTGGCGAGCAGGCGAGGACCGAAGTACTTGAAAGTCAAGCGGAGAGACTCAACATCGTAACCGGTGACAGCAGCCTTCTTCTTAGCAGCAACCAACTGCTTGGAGGCAGCTTTCATGTGATAGGCACGGTAGTAGACCAGCCACAAGGTGCCCACAGCGGGGATGGCGAAAGAGACACGATAGGTCCACTGAACAGCAACGGGAGAATAGGGATTGTTGCCGCTACCGTGGTGGAAGCAGAGCAAGAGAATGATCAGCAGAACCTGGTTGAAGAATTGACCCCAACCCTGCATCAGGAAGGCACTGGTGACCTTACGGCCACGGTGAAGACGGTCCTCCTTGGTCGAAATCTTGCCAGAGCCGACGGCGTTCTCCATACCGGAGGTGGCAGTCATGGGATATTCACCGCCTGTGTGACCAAGTTAGACGCGCGGTTATTTCAAGCTAGGATACGGCGGGGGTAAAAAAAAAGAACGTACCAACACCAACAGAGTAGAAAAACAGGGACCAAGCGTAGCAAATGACCCAGCCGTTCTGGGTAACGCCCCAAGCGGCGGTAAGCATGAGCAAACCAATGAACATGATCGTAGCATCCTGAATCAGACCCCAGCGACGGCCAATCCTGTGGCGGACGTTAGTATATGCACGGTCTCTGTCTCGAGGGAATCCCATTGGACCCCGGGAGTTTGTGGAGGAGCTTGTTACTTACCAGTCACCGACGAAACCAACCAAGATCTGACCCACGATGATACCGATAATCTCCAGATAATCGACGGCGTCCAGCCACTGCTTGTCACAGATCTCGTGCTTACTCCAGCAGGCGGGGAAGGTCTTCTGGAACAGTGGCTTGATGTTGCCAATGGAGAACAGAACGTAACCCTCCAGACCGAGACCAGCACCGGGGAGGACCATGTTACGGAAGTAGTATGAGACTGGAGACAACGGGTCCTCCTTCATCATGGACCAGATGCTGGACAGCTCTCTGCGGGCTTCGCCCGCGTCATAGGAGCTGACGAACTTGATCTTCTCGCCCAGGGGCATATCGGCCCAGTAAACACCAGCCTCATTGTAGCTGTCTTCGGGACGGATCAGTTTGTCAAAGGCACCCTTCTCGTGGGCCTCCATATCCTCCAGCGGGTTGTGAGTTCCCGTCATGTCGGGCCCATGGGGGGCTCGAGGTCCAAAGTCGGTCATTGTGACGGCGTTGACGAGGAGATGCTCGCAATTGACTGCTCGTGGCTCTTCGTAGTGCTGCTTGGCGATGACCGGCGAGTATTGGCAACTCTGGACGAGAGCAAAGTAACGAATGGGGAGAGGCCGATGCCAGTCGTAATGACCACAATAAAGGACGTGGCTTAGAGCCAAGGATGGCGATCTCGAGAGTTTATATGCGAACCTGGAAGAGAGGGAGAGCGGCGGAAGAAGAAGAGACAACGAGAGACGAGACTGAGCAGGCGTGCGTGCAGGCTCGTTGCTGATAAGTCAAGTGGCGGACTCCACTGGAGGTCGCACTTTCCGTAGATGAAAAAAAAAAAGTCTGCCGGGGCTAGAAGCGGCCCACCAGGATGGGGCGGGGAATAGACCATTTTGGCCAACACCAGATCGAATCTGGAGAGTATTGAGTGATGGCGGAGACTCGACGGGCACGATGAGAGACGCTGATTGCACCAAAAGGGACTGCGGCGACGAAAACAGCGGAAGTGGGGAAAGAAGAAAAAAGAAGAAAATAAGGATAAAAAGAACGAAGCAAGAGCGGTTGCAGGGACAGCCGCCAGCCAATCAAGGACGCACGTGTTGGCAAAATGCAGTTCTGCTGGATGAGATCTGCTGGGCGAGGACCCACATCGACCAGATGCAGTCCCGTTCGGGCGGGTTTCGGTCGGGGTTCGACGGGTTCTTCCATCCTGACCGCCTGCTCAAATGGGCCCTTCCATGATCAGTGGGGGCAATGGGGATTTGACACGGTCGGTCAGTCCGTCATCTCATGAGATCTTCAAAGCACTATACTGTATGTACTGTAGTACAGAGTCTCCGTACTCCATACGGTCATCGCAATGGCCCCAATCCTGATCCGGAGGGAATGCCTCGCTTCCCACTGATGAGTAGGGCGCCAAGATAAAGCGCACTCTTTGGGGGGTTTCCCCTCGGTGGCACTTTGATGGCGCACTGGAGAGTTTGCCTCGGGTTGAGCGATCCAGCGGTCCAGCATCTCATCGCTTCGACATGCGCAAATGGGCACACGTGCCCTCTTACCAAGAGTAGCGAGGGCGGGTCGAGTTTGTGCATGACCCTCTCGGGATGGTCCAGTGGGATAGGCACGTCCGGACTGCTCGGAATGCCAAGGCAGCCAATCTCCATCTCACTAACGGTTCGCCTTCTCGTGGCTTCTGTACCAGTGGCACCCTGTGACATAAAGGACTAGGTTTTTTCCAACCGCGGCGGGGGTCTCAGAAAAGAAACAGGAGACACATTATGATCATGCACGTTGTAACCCGGAATGGTCTAGTTTCCCCTGACTCCGGGTGAACAGCCCGCCAGAGTGGAAACCAGATGGCTGTTTAACTTGACGCTAATATCCGGGGGCACTGATCACTGCTGTCCCCGCGGGCCAGTTAAATCCCCCGCTCTGCCCATGTGCGCGCTTCTTTGGACCTCTGCCGTTCCTGAATTGCCTATCGACCAACCACAACCCGCCGGGATCAACGACAACTCCCCAACTTGCCCGGTCAGCACCACGTTGTGTGCGACACGTACCGCAAGCTTCGAGTCTGGCCTTCCTTTCTGAGAGAGCTCATCCGATATTTCTCTGGGACCATGATGGAGTGCGAAGTCGGGCACTGCCGGTCCCTCGGATAGACCATGGAAGATAATGCCTCGTAATGTGCATTAACGATGCTTGGCGAAATCATCGCCGGACCGGTTTAATGCGAACTCCTATGACCACGCTTCGTTATCATGACACCCGCATACGATGCCTTGAGCCGCCGTATACGCCGAAAATCTATGGCAATTTGGAGATCGTGATTGATGGCGGCCTTGGTCGAGGCTTGCATTGCTAGACCACGCCTCCTCGCGCCGATGTGCCGTATCGAGCAACGCTCGGGCGATTCAAGCATCTACAAGCTTGGCCAAGCGAACGCCCTACGATCCCTTGCATTGCCCAGGGCTGTTGGGTCAGACAGTCCAGCACGTGGGCAGACTATCGGTTCTCGCTCGCCGGCCCCAGCTTGTCAGCTGGCCCCTGAGATATACCGGTCCAAGCTAGAGTGCATTCTCATGCCTCTCAAGTCCTGCCCTCGACAATGGCGAGACCAAGCATTCGATGCATCATGCAAGGATCACTCGCAGTGCCCGAATATGCCTCGCTGCCTTCTAGAAGGCGGTTCATTTCTTCGGCGCCACCGGAGCTTACTCCAAAGTTAGCTGGCGCATGGCACACGGTCCGCCTGCAGATTGACTTTGGACCCGTTGCCAATGACGAGGAACGGTCGATCATTATTATATTTTTGATTATTCTCAGGAGTTGGCGGCGTCATGGCGGGAATCTGCGGTGATCTCGGCTCGGCAGTAGTCCACTCCTGTCCCCTGCAGCTGCCCGGCCACCATCTTGCGGTTCGCGCATACGATCTACTAAATGAGGATTGGCGTGACAGGCTGGGCCGGACGGGTCACGTCAACTAGTAGCTCCGTCATATCTGGACTAGGGGGGGAAAGCGCCACGCTAACCCCCTGCATGCGCCGTGGTTTCGTCCTTTTCCTTTTTCAAAGCTTTAGAATCCTTCTAGAAGCTTGCCCGGCTGGGACGTTTCAGCTCAGCCTTCTTTGGAGAGCACTTTGCCACGAATAGCCATCGGCATGATTCAGATCTGATTTCAGAATCTGATCCTGATCCTGGTCCTGATCCTGATCCTGTCTAGGGCTGACAGAATCGTGCTTACCGTAGTCACCAAAGCGATACCTACGGATGAACCACGAGGCGAGAACACGACTACTCAGTGGCCCCCTCGAAATCGCACTATCTTTGATCATCGTCCGGTAAGCATTCGATTCTATCACGAGATCCGAATGGTCGCTCGTCTCGCTCGCACCTTGCAGTACAAATACCCATCCTGGAGGGCTGCGCCAGTCTCTCACAGAACCTGGATTCGTCTAGACCACGATCCTCGATGCCGCCTTGCCGATTGGGAGCACAGTCTCCGCTTGGGCAGTGGCTCCGAGGATGCTAGGCGTTGCCCGATGGTTGAGTGGCTTGATTATGATAATGTTTTTGTCTTTCCTGGGAAGAGTTATGAGATTGAGGATGACGATCCGTGGTGAGCCGCGCGTGCCGGGGTGGTATATACTAACTTTAGTAGATGGTGTAGGCCGGGAGATCTAATTGGGTAGGGCGTAATTGATATGAGTTCAATATATTTTCTAGTAGTCGATAGTACGAGGTAGTTCGTTAGTCGTATATCGCAAGGTCACCTGGCATGGCGGATAGTTTCGCTGGCGTTGCTGAGTCTCACATTCCAGAGTTCGGGACCGGCCAACTGCCCACTTCTTGCATCCGCCCAACCCTCAGCTCACTTTTCAACTATATCCATACTTATGAATTAACGACAACCAAATGAATTCTCATCTATGAACTCCTTTTACTCCTGATAAACAGTGTGAAAGATGGCAAGCTATTGTGCTTGAGCAACCACGTCTACGACCACCTTTCCAACGCGCTTCCTTAGGGCTCAGCGCAACGAGGAACGTCACGTAACGTTTGCACGACTGACTTCAACTGAATCAAGTCTTCAATTTGTAAACAACATTCAAAGAACAGAAAATTGATCTCTTATTACATCGTCAATCTGACCACGCAACCCCGCCCACCAAGGTCGCGACTCCCTTACATCGGGCATGCAAAGCCGAGGCTGGGACATCCAACATTCCACACGCAGGCTGGGGCCAGCCAGACAGCCCCAAAGCCCATTGAAATCCTCCTGCCAGAACAAATCCCAGCGTTTGCTGGCCCGTTCATCCACATATCGAGGCGCATATCGACGCGATAAGTAGGACCCCCGTCCCCCTCGACTATCCCAGGCAGAGGTATGGACATACCGCGGAGAATTCATCTCGTAATCGCGTCTTGATGCTGGACGGTGACGCATTATGCCTGGACAGAGTCACGGCAAGCCCTCGGTGGGAATGGGGGCTTGGATTTGGTATCTAGGTGTTGTTCTGGTGTTGGTCGTGTTGGGGATATAAGAGTTTCGGGCTGGGAGCTGGAGATATTTCCCCGGCGATCTGCAGAAGATTTGTCTGATATTATCGTTTGATCTGAATCTAGTTAGTATTCATGAACTTTATGAGGATTGTCGTCCGTGATCTGCTTGTACTCGTGCTGATCTTCGTCTTGCTAAATAGGATCCTCGACGATTGCAACTGGTTTCCAAGGTCTAGTTGGTGTCTGACCATTCATTGACCTAAGCCCGGACGACTGGTCTGGTCTATACGTACGCTTGTTCCGCACCGGAGACCTGCATCAGCGTCGGCACCAGCATCAGCATAGCATCAACCGTCCACCATGATCGACCTCAAAAGCATCTTCCCAACCATAACGGCCTTCATAGCATTCATCATCACGCTATGCTGCCTCTTTGCGGGAACCCAAAAGAACCTCCTCGACAGCGTAAACCTACTCACAGTACGTCCCTAAATGCATCCACATCTCTATCCACACCTCTATCTATGCCTACCTACACCAGACGCTACACTCGAATAACAACCAAAACTGACAACCTCAACTTCTACCAGCTCTACACACCCGAAGGATCCTCCCCCACTGCATCAACATCCACATCAATATCCCCAGCCCACACCTTCTACTCCGTCCACGTAATGTCCTACTGCCAAGGAACCCTCGGCCCCGTCCCCGCCGGCGCAACGGACCTCTACTCCTCCCGCAACGTTACGGACTGCTCCAACAGGACGATTCTCTTCGCCTTCAATCCGACAGCAGCCTGGCCGACGGAGATCACGCATGGACCCGCGTTGGAGTGGCCGCGGGTGATCAGCGATGATTTCCATGCGTTTCAGATGACCAGTCGGGCGATGGCGGTGTTGTATATTATTGGTGTCGGGGCTGTAGGGACGGTGTTGTTGGTCAAGGGAGTTTCGGTGGCGATGCCCAAGACTCAGTACGGTCTCTTGGAGTTTGGGTTTTTGGTGGTACGTTTTTTGCCTTTCTGCAATTTGCAACTTGCATCTTCTCCAACATGCAACTTTGGGTTCGGTATCTTATTGTCTGGTGTATCGCAAGGCATTCTGGATTCTGGATCCTGTTTTGCTTGTCTTCATGAACCCTTTTCAAAGATGCTACCGATCACTATCACAGTGATAGTCTATCATAATATGGGATGAAACAGACTTGCTAACGCCAGTATCCGATCTAGCTCGGCTCCCTGAGTATAAGCATCGCATCAATCATCGCCACGGTCCTTGCTTTTGAATTCGTGGCACTCATCAACGCACACGGCGATGGATCCTATGTCTCCGCCCGCTACGGTGATAAATTCCTCGGAATGACCTGGGCATCGACAGGACTGTTGTTGGTGGGCACTTTGGCCAGTTTCATGAACGTGTTTATTCGGGGCGCGTATGTACCGGAGGCACCCGTGCTAGCAAAGGATGAGGAGGAGGGTTGATGGGGAACGTGATGGAGAGTATGGATGTGGATGCGACAGCCAAATGCGAAGAAGAGAGGAGAGGAGGGAGGGGGGAGGGAAGAGTCAAGTTCCGGTCGTCCTGGTGGGACGAACGTCGGGTTCCAGCATCGGGATGGGGGACGAAGCAGGACTGGTATGGGAACCCGGTCTCCGTACAGAGGTGAATTTGTGGTTTTGTAATGAATGGTTTTCACCAAGCCAGGTATCTACGATCGGCTATGCCAGCAATGAGAAATATAATCCAGTCTAACGAAGGATTCTTGTGATATCGAGTCCAGTATCCAATAGTCGGGCTAGAAGAGGAAACGAGGGTCTGGAGGATGTTTCCGAGGCTTTTATTTGTCTGACATCGGGAAAGTAGAGACAATCGTGTCGTATACTGCAGATAAATCGCCTCGACCAACCAAGATGTTGCAATTGGATGCTATACTCCATAGTTGGGTTGGAGGGTGGGAGGGAATTTGGTGCCTGGATGCGCCGTGCAGCCCGACGAAGTTTCCGGATCGGATTGGCTTCTCTGCGTTAACTGGTCGTGTCCTCCGTGCTCATTCTAGTCTATTGTGTTAGCTTAGTTGCCTTGCCTGGTTTCCACGGAGTCTTCCGTAACTACTCGAACTAGACAGACCGTGAACACTAACCCGACTGGGGCGACGATGCTAAATGGACATAACTCTTTGCGAGTCCCCTTTCCGCGATCTGCGGACCGTCCGATGTTTCGACTACCGAAGTAGGGAAACTGTGCTAAGGCGTGTCCATCTCCCGCTCGAGCCATTCGGCAAGAAATGGCGCAAGCCAACACGCAAAATGGCGTCGCGGAAAACGGCCGGCGAGACCAGCCACTCACGACTTGACGCAGATTGTATAGCAGAGTTGACGCCATTCAGTCGACGATAGAGCCCGGAGCCCCGCCCGTGATTGTAGAAACCCCTAGCATCTGTATCATAATCCATATCCATAGTACCCACATCTACATTGTTTTTTTTACCATGCTGAGTCTCATGTCGCATCTCCATAGACCGAATCCAGACAGGGAACGGAGATTGAAGTGGAAATCGGAAGAAAGCCCTAGAAATCTCCCGTCCTGTCGTCCTGGGAAACTAGGGGAATAAACCTCGGCAGGGTGGGATCGCAGAACGTCCTCTTTCGTGGTTAGCGGGAAGAAAGAAGAGAAAAAAAACTGGGTCTTGCGACTATCAGCCGCTCATCCGACGTCACCAGGAGTGGGGAAGGCCATCCAGAGAATCAACTGGCCGATCCCCACTGGGGCCGCAATCAAGGGGGCTGCCGCTCTGCAAGTTCAAGCAGTTTCGAGGCATATGCGAATCATCAGATAGGGTGCATTCTCCCTCCGCTTGGCATGGACTATACCCGTTTGTGTTCTATCGGGAGGGATAGGGGACGTTTAGGGCTTGCGTCTAGGACCACAGTACTCCGGTTCCCGCTAGGATCGTTTTGGGGGGAGGGGGATGGTTTCGTGAGGCGTCCGCGATTGTTTCGGCGGGCGGCCACGGCCACGGGCGCGGGCATCCACGGGGGAAGAAGGGGAGGATGCTTGGGGCTTGGGGCTTGGGGCTTGGGCTTCACGTCAATGGTGGTGATGATGTTGATGATGCCTGCTTAGGGAGTGGGGTTCAGGGAACCGGCAATTGGCAAGTAGTCATTGGCTGGGATTCACACAGACTAATCTGCATCGAGACTCGCTCTGGCTGTGCAGCGTTGTGTTGACATCGTCCGTGCTTGGGCATGGGTATCATTTGTGGTAAGCGGTCTTCTTGGGTTGCCAGCCAAGGCAGACCGTGGCCCAAAAGGGCCTCCAGCGTCTGCTGGTCATCGTGGCTCGGCTTGTGAGCGAAGGAGACACGAGCGAGGTTCAAGCGCGGGAATGCGGAGAGAGAGAAAAAGAGAGAGAGAGAGAGAAGAGGTCTGGGCGGGATTTTCCGGGGCCTATGCGAAAGGTGACCTACAGAGTACGAGAAGTACAGTCAGACTCGACGAGTCATGGATAGTTAGTTGACCTCCAGTAGGTAATCGTTCCCTAAGGAACACCAAGTCTACAGTCATCACCCCCATTCAGCCTCTTGTCTGAGTACTCCTGGTCCATTTCCCGTGTCCGAATTCCAATTTAGTTCGCCGGTGAGGTTTTTATCGGATCGGAAGGGACGCCGGGGAGGGGGGGGGGGTTGTTGATTCTGAACGTGAAAGAGATCGTGATTACCACTTCCGTGTCGTGTCGCCGTGGTCCCTGGAGGGGGGCGCGAATACCATCGGGAAGTCAAAATGCCATGATGAGGGGATTCGGTGATTGGTCAAGAGGAAGGAGTGGGGCCTCGACTCAGATAGGTGGAAACGCGGTTAGAATAGGGAGTGGTGTACTCCGTTGGGAACAGTCTGGACTCTCGACTCGGAGAGCAAATCGTCTGGTCAGTGGGCTGTCGGGGGCGATGAGAGGGGATGGCGCATCGTGAGTGGTTCGGCGATGGGAAGCTGAGCTGAACCAGGGCTATACTTGGGCGATACCTGGACTATACCAGACGTGCCTGCCAAAGGTGCCAACGGTGCCAACGGCACGGGAATGTTGCACGGCCAAAGCGGGGGAGGGGTTACACTAGACATTAATGGAATTGTGAGTCGACGAGAAGAGCGAGATTCGAGAATGGTATCAACCCTCCCACCACGCCATGTTGGGTGGTAAAACCGAGTTCCAGAAATGGTCGATATCATGATGTTCTCATTCGACGGGTGGGAAACAAGGCGGAGGCTAGTTCCGTGCGCCTCCCGAGGTCGATGAAGTCATCCCGGTCAGAACTGGACCAGGGTGGGGTTTACGGTCGTAGTGCGAGTATAGTATAGTGGAGGAACGAGTAATCGAGTAATCGAGTAATCGGGTCGTCGTGGTAATACGCCATCTGGGTACGACTATAGTATACTATCCGTGTATACTGTGGTACTGTGGTACTGCTCGGTGATGATGTACCGTGAAAATGGAAACCGCCAGGCAAAACCATAATCGCGCTTTCCGTTCCAGCTGGAACCCAGTCCGAGCCAGGAGCCAGGAGCCAGGAGCCAGGAATCAGATACCCTGCCCCTCTCCTCGTTGCTCCTTCTGTTTCCTTTCTGGGGATCACTTAAATACTTCTTCATTTCCCCCCTCGTGTCCCTCTAGTCTCATATTCCTCACCATCAATCACCTGCCACTATCATCCCCCATCCCCCACTCTGCACGTTCAGCCACCCGCTCTTAGCACGTCACAAGACCTTTTCCCCAGATCCTCTTGATCGGATCTGCCTCTAGTCATCTTATCTGTGCTTCTTCCTACTTCACCCCCCCCCCCCACATCTTCACCCCCCTCTTCATACTTCCAGCCTTACCATCATCATCATCCTCATCATCATCATCCACCATGGGCATGAAGGCGATTCACTTTGGCGGTGGCAACATCGGCCGTGGCTTCGTTGCCGAGTTCCTGCACGCCGCGGGCTACGAGGTCGTCTTCGTTGATGTCATGGACAGCATCATCAACGAGCTACAAAATACAAAGTCCTACCAAGTCACCGAGGTCAGCGAAGGTGGTGAGACCACCAAGACCATCACCAATTACCGCGCCATCAACTCCAAGACGCATGAGCAAGACGTCGTTGAGGAGATCTCCACGGCCGATATCGTCACCTGTGCCGTGGGACCCAACATCCTCAAGTTCATTGCTCCCGTCATTGCCAAGGGCATTGATATCCGCTCGACCCCCAAGCCACTGGCCGTGATTGCCTGTGAGAATGCCATCGGTGCTACCGACACTCTCCGTGGCCACATCGAGTCCCACACGGATTCGGAGCGTCTCAAGACCATGGGCGAGCGTGCTCAGTATGCCAACTCGGCCATCGACCGCATTGTCCCGGCTCAGCCCCCCAACAGCGGCTTGAACGTGCGCATCGAGAAGTTCTACGAGTGGGTGGTCGAGAAGGGACCCTTCGGCCACGTGGGCCACCCAGACATCCCCGCCATCCACTGGGTCGAGCACTTGGAGCCCTACATTGAGCGCAAGCTCTTCACCGTGAACACCAGCCACGCCACTGCCGCCTACTATGGCCGCTACGCCGGCAAGAAGACCATCGCCGAAGCCATGCACGACTCCTACATCCGCGGCGTGGTCCGCGATGTGCTCAAGGAGACTTCCTCCCTCATCGTTGACAAGCACGAGATCGAGGCCCAGGAGCAACAGGACTACGTCGAGACCATCATCGCCCGGATCTCCAACCCTTACCTGGAAGACAGCGTCGAGCGTGTTGGCCGTGCACCCATGCGCAAGCTGGGCCGCAAGGAGCGTTTCATCGGACCCGCTGCTCAACTCGCCGAGCGCGGCTTGAAGTACGATTCTCTTTTGGGTTCCGTCGAGATGGCGTTGCGCTTCCAGAACGTCAAGGACGACCAGGAAAGTGTCGAACTCGCCCAGATCCTGAAGGAGAATGCGCCCGCCGATGCCACCGTCCAACTGACCGGATTGGAACGTACGCACCCACTCTTCTCGGCCGTTGTCAAGGTCGTGGACCAGGTGCAGTCCGAAGCCAAGTATGTACCCATTCACAACACGCACAACTCGCATCCCGGCGCATCTACTAACATACCGTTCTTTCTACAGGGAAACTGGTCAGCCCCGCATTTAGATGTGCTTGCACCATTTTAGCACGGACTTATTTTTTTTACCTTTTTGAAAGCATGATACTCGGCGAATACACGGCTGTACTATGGGATTATGGGAACGGGAATGAGCCTTTTTTTTTTTTGTTATTGTTCGGTTTCGATATGAATTATGACCACCGCCCCTGCTGTGCAGTATGGATTAGGAATGAACGTGTTTCAATATTTCTTACAGTGGATGATCTTGATTAGACTGTATTTGGTTAAGCGTAGTCCGTAGTCCCCCGAACCATGCATTAGTGCCTGATGTACGGATTACTCTGTCTGATGTACTCCGTACCTGATGCGCAAAACCGGGCTGGTGTTCCTGACGGGTTCGTAGTGACGGGATACCCCGGGCGTTCGGGGAAATGGGGAATCTCGGTAATATTTCACCCCGATAGTGGGGACGTAACCGCATCTCTTATCTATGAGTGACCGTCCTGGGAGTAATTGGCTTTGAGGGATTATCGTAGTCTGTGTAAATGGAGATCCACATTTTGTACTGTAGCGGCGTTTGTAGCGAATAGAGATACAAGGTTGAATTTACTGTCGGGGGTCTAGCCGTGATGGGTAGATTGGGGGGGGGATATTGAAGTCTTAGCCGGAGTGGACATTCTGGTATGATTTGTGGAATATCACACATGATGACTAGAGCTTACTGGATACCAGATGATAACCATTTGAAACATTACACCCTCTTCTGTATCGATGATAAATTCGTATCATTCATGGGCTTTAGAATATGTCTGCGCGTGGATATCAACTCCTGGCGAGGAGGTTGCCTACCGTAACTGCCCGGGTATGGACTGCGTAGTGCTGAGGTGTACGTCCTCCGCATGGCGGTCTCCATGGAAGATGCGGGGAATTTAGATTGCAGGGCCACGTTCTGGATGTATTGGTTCACACTGACTACTGGCTGATCAGTACTGTCCAGCTTGTGCTACGTGTAAGTGAATGTTATTGGTGGATGGAGGTCTACAAGGTGTTTATCACGATTGAGCTACCGTGCATCACGCCCGTGATAATGTACGTACAGTGTCCGAGGTTGACCCGGAAAGCTTGTGATATCACTATATTGAACACTAGATCGGACATATTTTATGAGATCCCCTCGGGCTCTCATCCTAACTTATACGATGTCGAACAAAACAATCCATTCCACCCAGAGTCCATTTCCCAACCAACCATATACGATTCCATACGTATTCCCTCTCACTTTCGTGCTCACTGCGGAAAGAAGCCCTCATAGTAATCCCTCTTCCCAATCTGCACCCCACTCATCCTCAGAATATCATACGCAGTCGTAACATGAAAATAAACATTCGGCAACACAATCCTATGCGCGTATGCACTGCCGCTCATGTCAATGACTGCCCCCGGCCCAACCTGCGTCGGACTAAGCACGTCAGCCTGCCCATTAACAAACTCCTTGTCTGCCTCGTCTAGCGCCTTCAGCACGGCGTTGATGCGCTCGTAGCTCTGCGCAAAGGTCGTGGGGCTACCGTCGAATTTGACGGGGTCCCGTGCTGTCAGGCGGGCGGCGAGGTTTTCGGCGAATTGGGTTGCGAGTCGGATTTGGTCGGGGAGGGGGTACATGTCCGGTGTGATGCGGGCGGCAAAGAGGATGGCCTCGAGCTCGGACGGGGCGGAGGAGGAGGAGGAGGTGGGGATGGTGGGGTTGGAGGCTTTTTGAAGGATGTGGGTGAGGGTGCGGAGGAGGGATTGGAGGACGGGGATTGTCCCGTCGTAGAAGGTGTGTGCCATTGCTATGGTTGATAGGTGGGATTGAGAAATAATACTTCGATAGCTGACTTTCAAACGTAGCGAATGCGTTTTGTTGGAGGGTTAAATAGGTTTCTTGCTTGATTTGTAACGCAAGGCCGGTGTTTAGCCGCGAGACACCGAAGACATCGTGACTGTGGGGGCCAAACTTAGTAGACGGGATGATGACGTGAACTGATATTCACTGAGTTTCTTCTATAGAATTGTTCTGAACTTTGTTTATACTTGAATACGAGGAGAGGAACTACGTTTGTATGCATCGTGTTTATTCATCTTTTGGCCAATAGGTCTAGGGGGGCTATACTCCCCCAAAGCCGCCGCCGGGCCGATTCAACGGGCCGCAACATCAGAGACACGACGCCCCACTCATCGCTTCCCGAGACAAGGCTCTCTCGTGTCCACTTTGAGATGACTCAATTCACCGGAACATTGCTCTAAAGTCCTATCACCGAGTCGAAGTAACATCTGAATATGACCCTCAAGCCCCTGTCCCTCAAAGACATGCAAAACAGCCTTCGTCCCTACAGTATTCAACGCCGCCACAAATTCAAGTCCCCGCCCAATGTTTGATCATCCTGGAACAGGATTGAGTCCTCACCCAGCGTCTTATCTTGAGGGGCTAGTTCATTGAAATGTAGTATCAACCTATATTGTAAACATCGGCACCTGTTTACGAAATATGCAGCCTATTAGTGTCAGACAACATAGGAAAAAAGGAAAAGCGTAATGGAGCCATCCCCAAGGCAGAAAGGATAGTACTGCTAGTATCACAACAGACAAGAGTCTACCATGGCGAGAAGTCGTTTCTGATGTATACTTCGGATGGTAACCATGCTTATGATTCTATAAGACAGGCTCAACAATGACCCGTTCTCGGCGTAACCACTCTCATGTAACTTCCTTGCCCAGTCTGGTTGGACTCTATTGTGATCTAATATATGAGACGAACGGGGAATAGAGAGCCGAAGCAAGACAAGCTGGATGGTTGGAGCGGCTCTCGTCCGATTCAAATATCCCGCTCTATGCATTGAAGCTAGCCTTGCCAGGTCTATAAACTGTTGGTCAGAACTCGTTTAAAGTTGCTTCGTCGGAGTCGTGCTAAACTCGACCTTGGTCTCTATACCAAGCTAGCTCAGGTATAGCCGGAGAGTAGGGGGACTTATCCTAGCTGGTATTATATGAGACCTTACAAGACTAGTGACACAAAAGGAACGACTTTGTGCAAGCCAAGTCTTCAACCGAGCAGATATCCCGAGCATTCGAGCCATTCATTAGACTAGTGCTACGCAGGGCCATGTGATTGTAGAGCATGGTCAAATAGATGTATATATTCAGTTGCCATATAGCTGTACCAGCTACCCTGATACCAGGGACCGATTTCAATGCAAAGCCTTATTTACAGCTTACTATCCTTCCAATCCGGCTTCCTCTTCTCGACAAAAGCCTTGAGTCCCTCCTTGATATTCTCCCCCTCATACAACCGCCGCACCCAAGTATCATTCAACATTACCGTCCCCTCCTCAGCCCCAATCCCCTCCCATCCCAACTTAATCCCCTCTCGGCTAACCAGCACTGCATCGGGGCTATTCGCCGCAATCTCAGAGGCAACCTGCACCGCCCGCTCAACCACCTTCTTCGACACTGCATCGTCATCGACCTTGCCCCCAGCCCCAACACAATCGTCCACATTAACAATCTCATTGATCAATCCCCACCGCTCAGCTTGCTCGGCGGTGTATGGCCGGCCCGTCAGAGCCATCTCCATGGCGCGCTGTTTGCCGACCGTTCGCACGAGACGGGGCAGGGCACCCGCGAGCGCGACGACTCCGCGCTTCACCTCGGGGAGACCCAGGGCGGCGCGAGAAGAGGCGATGACCATGTCAGAGTTGATCATCATTTCGGCGCCGCCGCCGAAGCAAAGCCCGTTAACAGCGCAGAGAACGGGCTTGCGGCCCTTGCGTCGGGATAGACCGCCAAAGCCGGAGTTTGGCATGGGGGATTTGGAGGTTGATGATTGGGTGCGGTCGTTCCATTCTAGAGTCGGTTAGCTATGCTTTACACTTGTAATTGTAGGATGTTGAATATATCGAATATATCGAATGTGTAGGGTGTAGGATAGTTGTCGTGATACACACCTTTCAGATCAGCTCCCGCGCAAAAAGCTCTCCCCTTGCCGGTCAGAATGCCGACTCTCAGACTGGGCTCATCGTCCATCCACTCCCACACTTCATGCAGCTCTGCATTGCCCTGTGAGTTGATGCAGTTCAGGTCTCGAGGCCGGTTGAGAGTTACTAGGAGGATGTGCGGAGCTGGGAAGGACAGCAGGGCATGTTGGGGGGTTGGTGGTGGACGGGCGAAACTCGGCATTGCCGCGGTTTGGAGGTTGTTCGAGTTTGGTTGATGTCAAAGGGTTGGTAGGTTTTGTGAATTACTTCAGAGGGATGAATGTTCAAGGTCGAAGTGAAAAGAGGATGCGTGGGAGCTTTGAGTGGGGTTTGGAAAGGACCCCGGCTGTTATTTGGTAATTGCGGAGAAGTGAGTTGGAGATGCCGAGGGCCGATGTGGAGATGAACCAGTGCTGACTGCAACTGGGAGCAGACTTGTTCAAGTTTATGTTGATTACTGATTATTATTTTGGTTGTTTACTATAGGATGCATTTCCCTCAGAGAGATGCCCACCGTACTAAGAGAGACTTTATGAATAATACTCTATTATTACTAACTCGTCGTGAGCACTAGTAATTCCCAGAAGCCGAGGTATATCGCCAAGTAGACTATATACCACCAATATGTACAAAGTAAGGCATCCCAAGGTCAACCAAGAATCCAGGGCGAAGACAAAGGCCACGACCAATGTTTAATAATACTCAAACGGTCGGTAGATTCTGCATTACCGTCCTGGTTCCCCTTCGATATAAGTAAAACAACACCTCCCGTCGTGCATACCCCAGCCGCCCCAAGTAAACGCCAAAGAAATCACAAACGCTCCCACAGCAAATCAGTGAAAGATATGGACATCAAGTTGGATGAAAAACAAAAAAGCAATGTATAGCCAGACAAACCAATATCTCTAGATTTGCATGACTACACCTTGTTGATCCATCCGCTGTGCACCATAAAGTCGTAGATGCGACTTGTTTTGGTGCCCTCAATCTAAGATTGGATTAGCAGGAGGTCAAAGGACAAGTAATAATCGAATCGGGGAAAAGGGGTAGCTCACCTTGCAAATTGCACGGGCGTCCTTTTTCTTCAGGTTACCGCCCTGCTTCATTGCCTCCTTCAAGAGCGTTTCTTTGACAACCAAATACGGCTTAGGCATGATATGTAGCACGTTGCACACTTCGATCTCTTCTGGGGTGAGCAGGTGAAGATCAGCGGCGCGGTCACTGTCCAATTTCCATGGCGGCACCCCGCTCAGTGGCTGCACGACAAACTTGGTCTTCGCAGGCGGTGCGGGCGCAGCGTCTCCATTTGTGGCAAACATAAGGTCAAAGTCATTCATGGGCATATTGGCTGGGTCAGGCTGCTTATGGGGATTGGCAGCCTTCTGGAGTCGGAGAGGCAACTCCGGGGTGGTGAGCAGATTTGCGGACGACGGGGGTTCAACGACTTGAGCTTGCTTAGGACGCGGGGTCGCAAACCGATCGAAAGATCCTTGAGGAACCATCCGTTGAGCACGCTGTTGCTTATCTTGCTCGTATTTCTCACCGGCTTTCAGATCACCGATGCCCATCTGCCGCCACTCTTGGAGCTGCGCGATTGCCAAGCGCAAATTGTGCTCATACTCTAACCCCTTATTCACCTCGTCAAAGTCCTTGTAGTTCATCATTCGTGCCAACGGCTTGGCTTTGTGCAGCAGTTCACGCTCCTCTTTCGTGCGTTTCTTCTCCAGCGCAATGTTCTTCCGGTATTCCAACAGGTTGTGTTCAAACAGCACCTTCTTGCGCTCCGTTCGTGCCGTCAGCCGGGAGTTGTAAATGTCGACCACCGTCATCTTCAATTCGGTCTCCGCATCAATCTCGCCGTTAGGGCCTATGCCAGCTCCGGGCTCGAAGGTCATGTGTTGCACCGCCTCTTCAGCATCGTTTAGAAACTCCGTCTCAAATTCCAGACGACCAGGCATATATCCTTGTACTTCGTGGCATGCCGGAACACTGGCGGTTGGCTTCTGCTTGGGGGTTGTTGGTGGCGCCGCTTTGGCAGCCTCCTTGCGCTCCTCGATCCGACGCTTCTTGCGCGTCTGGAATTCTTCTTTTGAGATTGCTTCCTGGAGACTCTTATCCTCGGGATCGGCTCGGTCTGGTAGCGGGAAGTTGGAGCTGTTTATGTATGTATCGATATAATGATCGCGAACCTCATCCTTGGTGCGGTAGCCACCAATGTGATCAGCGATGTCAGCCCACGACCCCAGACCGTAGATCTCGGCGCCCTCTAGCAATAGAAGCTCCTCGTCGGCACCCCAATCTGGCTGGAAGATTGGGACAGAGTTCTGTTCGATGACTTGGAAGGGATGGGTAGCCGGGTCATGGTTCTTGGAGCTTTCCCCAGCTGCGAAGCAGGGAACACAGAGGTCGTATTCATGGCAGGAGGGATGCGCACAGGAAATTCGGACCTAACACGACGCGACGTGACATAAGTCAGTTTTACGATCCACCACAATGTCGAGATAATCTCACCGTTGATGTGACGTCGACCGAGCACACGTCGCAATGGAACTTGGTGCCAGCCTCCGTGCCGCGCGAGGCGGTCTTTTTCCGTATTACACCCATCGATCCTTGGCCCTTTTCATCCTCCACAGAATCCGACGCCGTTGCGAAATCCCAAAATCGCCCTCCAGAGATCTGAGAGGGCAACCACCGATGTTGGTTGAGCTAAAGTGAGGTTGTGAGGGGGCGGTGTCCGGGTTGAGGTGAGATCCTGGGGTAGGGATCTCCGCAGACCGGGTGGGGAGATATTCCGAAGCAGCGATGGAAACACCAAGCAAAAAAGGTGTATTACCGGGATGAATCGGTAAAAGTTGCGATGGTTGAAGCTTGCAGCGCAATTGGTCGTGATCAAATGACTCGATGCCGTCTGGTATGGCGCGAGTGACTCCATTTTTGGAGTGAATCTCCCAAGGAAGGGTGTGGCGCCGGGCTGCACTGCCTCATTCGTGTGGCTGGTGCATGCCCCATTCAGGAGTCACTCGAGCCTTAGTCACCTTAGTCAGCCGTGCGCGGCCCCTCCCACAATACCAGTATTGTCATCAGCCACTGCCCTACGAGCGAGTCAATCAATCAGACGCCATCTGGCTGTAATTAATTGTAATTCCGATAACAGCCTTCCCGGCCTGAGGCCTCTGGCGGGCTTCCCCTCCCGACTCGCCCTCCTCTCTTACCTTTCCGATCACCCTGAAAGGTCGTGGATCTTCTCTCTCCTAGATCCTTCTCTCCCGTTCACTTTGTGCTTTTTTGCTTCAGTCTTTTCTCTCTTCTTCCCCGGTGTGTCCAGAAGGTAAGTTTGTGGTAAGCGGTGATCGTGGCTTCTCGGCTGCGTGGCGCTGATCTTGTGTGCTCCCGGCTCCATTATTTTGGGAACTTCGATGTTGACTTGTTGGTGGTTCAGGGCTGTCTTAACACAACACACTGCGGTCGACCTCTTGGATCTTGATATTCGTCTGCTGTGTGGTTCCCTGGCCTTGAAACCGCTACCATGTCCTGGAAGCTCACCAAAAGTATGTTCAGTTGGTCTCCCTATCTCTCCTTGTCCCTTTCCCCCCTCATCGGCCCCCCCTCAAAATGAGGGCCGCATGCCCCCTCCACGGGGCATGTGAGGCTGGTATAACCTCAGTGGCAATCGCTAATTTACGCCCTCTTACAGAACTTAAGGAGACGCATTTGGCACCCTTGACCAGCTCCTTTGGCCGCTCATCTTCCACTTCCACAATCAAGGGTGATTCAAATGGCGGTGGTGGTGACGAGACACCGGTGGCTCCCCATGCCCCCAGTGTGATCTCCGCTGCTTCGACAAATGGCATCGGTATGACATTCTGTTAGGGGGGAACTATGAATTGAGTTCTACGAGGCTAACAATATTTCCCTGCATTGGGAATTAATAATACAGCTGCCTCAGAGTCGCTAGTTTCTCCCCCCGTGGCGCCCGTGAAGCCAGGCATCCTCATTGTGACTCTTCACGAAGGCCAAGGATTCTCCCTGTCCCCTCATTACCAGCAAATCTTCAACTCTCATTTTCAAAACAACTCGTATGCGCCATCATCTTTGCGCCCCAGCACCTCCTCCTCTTCACACTCCTCTCATGGGCAAGCGGGCTCGTTCGTGCAGTCCACTCGGCCGCAGTCCACCAGTGGAGGCCTGAACGCTGCCCCGACCATCCACGGCCGTTACTCCACCAAATACCTTCCATACGCCCTTCTTGATTTCGAAAAGAACCAGGTCTTCGTCGATGCCGTGTCTGGTACTCCCGAGGCCCCCTTGTGGGCGGGCGACAGCACGGCGTTCAAGTTCGATGTGTCCCGGAAGACCGAACTGAACGTACAGTTGTACCTCCGTAACCCCACCGCCCGACCTGGTGCCGGTCGCAGTGAGGACATCTTCTTAGGTGCTACCAAGGTCAACCCACGCTTTGAGGAGGCCGGCCAACCATACGTGGAGGACCCCAAGCTTAGCAAGAAGGACAATCAAAAGGCTGCTGCTGCTCATGCGGAACAGGAACGTACCATGGGCCAACTGGGTGCTGAGTGGCTGGACCTCCAGTTCGGTAGTGGTTCTATCAAGATCGGTGTTTCCTTCGTTGAAAACAGACAACGCAGCCTCAAGATGGAGGACTTTGACTTGTTGAAAGTCGTCGGCAAGGGTAGTTTCGGCAAGGTCATGCAGGTCATGTACGTCACCCTTGGCACTCTCTTTGTTTCCTGCCAGTTTAACGGGGTTGCTAACTGTGTTTCTTTCAAAATACAGGAAGAAAGATACCGGCCGAATTTACGCCCTCAAGACCATCCGCAAGGCTCATATCATCTCCCGATCTGAAGTCACCCACACCCTTGCAGAACGATCCGTGCTGGCACAGATCAATAACCCTTTCATTGTCCCGTTGAAATTCTCGTTCCAGTCGCCCGAGAAGCTGTACCTTGTTCTCGCATTCGTCAATGGTGGAGAGCTGTTCCACCACCTGCAACGTGAGCAACGATTTGACATCAACCGCGCCCGGTTCTACACCGCCGAGCTGTTGTGTGCGCTCGAGTGCTTGCACGGTTTCAAGGTTATCTACCGTGATCTCAAGCCCGAGAATATCCTTCTCGACTATACCGGTCACATCGCCCTTTGCGATTTCGGTCTCTGCAAGTTGGATATGAAGGACGAGGACCGGACAAACAGTTAGTCTCAGTTTCATTATTTACTTCTCTTTCGGGCATTTTCGCTGACCAAGATGCAGCCTTCTGTGGTACTCCTGAGTACCTTGCCCCAGAGCTGTTGCTCGGCAATGGGTACACGAAGACTGTGGATTGGTGGACTCTGGGTGTCTTGCTCTATGAGATGTTGACGGGTCTGCCCCCCTTCTACGACGAGAACACGAACGAGATGTACCGCAAGATCTTGCAGGAGCCCTTGACCTTCCCCAGCAGTGATATCGTCCCCCCAGCTGCTCGGGATCTTCTCACGCGCCTGCTCGACCGCGATCCTCAGCGTCGTCTGGGTGCCAACGGTGCCGCAGAGATCAAGTCGCACCACTTCTTTGCCAACATCGATTGGCGTAAACTGCTTCAGCGGAAGTATGAGCCCAGTTTCCGTCCCAATGTGGTATGTAACTCCAATCTCAGGGGTCTTCTGAACAATCATTGCTCACTCTTTTTGTCTAGGTGGATGCTCGTGATACCGAAAACTTTGATAAGGAATTCACTGGAGAGATGCCCCAGGACTCCTACGTAGAAGGTCCCGCTCTGTCCTCCACCATGCAACAACAGTTTGCTGGATGGTCTTACAACCGTCCAGTGGCTGGTCTTGGCGATGCAGGCGGCAGTGTCAAGGATCCTTCTTTTGGCAGCATCCCGGAGTAAAAGCAGGATCTACTCCAGGCCACTAGCCTTAACAACTAGATCAAATATGACTGGTGCGTGAGAATTGATTCATAGATACGATTTTCCTTTGTACTGTGTTTTGTTCTTGATCCACATATCACCAATCTTGATCATTTGCCTTGTTTCGTCTCGACCTTTTATTCCTCCACGGCTTTCCTTGTTTCTTTCCCCTTTCATTCCTAAGGAGTCTGCGGCATTTTTTTGCTCGGTGGCTTTTGCCAGTTCCCGAGGCTGCAATGTTTTCCCTCTACCCTTCTCCTTGTCTCTCCAGTTCCCACCGAATCTCACCACCTCTGAGCGCTTGATTTGTTCCTCATCATTCCCATCTCAGTGTCCGCCAACCCCATCAACGCAAGCAGGTTCCTTTGCACCCTTGTTTTCGTTTGATGTTCTCAAGCGGTCATTACCTGTCTAGTGGAATCCCTTTCTCTGTGTATCCGGTCCGGTTTCCATGTGCGAGATGCTCTCTCTCTCCATATCCTTTGACAGAGCCTGGACGGACAATGCCAAGTCAAGTTTCCACTGGAATCCAGATCATTCATAGCGTAGAATATTACAGATCATCGTATACAGAGTCTACAATCGGCATCGATACTTGCTAATGATCGCAAAACATGTCCCCTCGCCTGCGCTTTCCCTGGCCACGATGCGCTCTATTAGTGTCCTTCGACATAGATGATAAGCATTACAGTTTGGAAAAGCTCCAAGGCTAGAGACCTCATCATTGTATCTATCATTCAATCCTAGGCAAAACCCGCCAAGAATTGAGACCTGTCACAGCGGGATTACAGCAATAAGAAAAACCTAGAAATAAAACACGAAGAAGAGTTTGAAAAAAGGGTAAAGAGGACAAACAAGAGATGTCGGACACACGTTAAGACGCCGCTCGCAATTCAAAATCTGGACATTCAAGCCCCTCGACTTGATCGAGTCGGGGAAACTGAAACAAAAATAGAAAAAAAAAGACAAATGCTCTATTCAACGCATCCTCGAGCCGTTAAACTGTCTTTGAATACAAACCAACTCCATTTGGTTTCCCTTTTTACTCTTCGTCCTCCGCTTCATCCTCAGCTTCGGGCTCGTCCTCCGCTTCGAGTTCGTCCTCGGCTTCGGCTTCCTCCGCGGCGGCGCCGTTCGTGGCGGTCTTCTTCTCGTCGTCACCGTTGATATCGATCAGAGACTCGGAGGAAGGGGGCTCGGGGACGACACCCTCCTTCTCAAGACGAATGTACTCATCCCACTCAGGGAACAGGTCGTCATCGGTGGAAATGATATCCGGGGCACCGGGGGGCACACCGACGAGGCGGGCGACCTTGGTCTTACCCGATGACTCAAGAGAGGCTTTCCACTGCACGACGAGTTCGGGAGCACGAGAGGGCTTGTAGGTCTGAGCGAAGAGAACGGACTCCGCAATGCGGTTAGTCTTAATGAGCAGGTCAATACAGGCATCCACGTCACCCAAGGACCAAAGTGTGGAGAAGGCAACGTTGTGCAGACCGGAGTCGGAGGCTTGAACGGCCAAAGCACGGAGGCCTTCCCGGTTGTTGGAGGCAGTGTGCAGCAACAACAAGGAACCCACGTCCTTGGCCTGGGTGAAGCATTCCTGGGCCAGAGCGAGATTCCAGCTGGCCAGAGCGGCGTCACCGATAAGCTTCCACTTGTGCTCGACGTTGGCGACGCGAGCAATCTCGAGAGCTGTCTCGAGATCATTGAGAGACAGAGCCAAGTCGAACCGGTGCTATATTTGACCCAAAGTTAGCGAATTCGTACTACATTGATCACGCAAAAGCTGCACTTACCTCTGGGTCGGTTGCTACTTCGAGAGCCTGCTCCTTGTACCCTTGTCCCTCAAGGAAGCGGGCGATCTTGTTCATCTGATCCTCAGGAACATCCTGAAGAACCTCGGCGGCCGCTTCGGTCTCGTTCCGAAGAATGAGTGTCTCGTATTGAAGCACAGCGAGGGACAAAGCGAAAGAAACGACGTTGACATCCTTGTCGGCCAGATAGATGCGGCCATCACGGGGCAGATAGCCGAGGACATACATGGGCTGGTCGAAGTGGGAGATGGTGTAGGTCTGATCACCAACAAGGTAATTAAGGCGGTTGGTAGAGTTGGTGTAGATGAAGCAGTCGCCAACCCACTCTCCGGTACGGACAGTCTCATTGACGGTAGCAACGAGCTCCATCGCAGCTTCAACACCGTCTTCATCGGCTTCTCCATTGTTCAAACCCTCAATGTAGGCCTCGCGGGAGTAGCGGAGAACGTAAAAGGCATCCTCGCAAGCAAGTGTCACCAACTCTCCAGACTCGGACCAGTGGACCTGCAGATACATATTAGTTGGCAGATCTTGAGTCCAGCCCGAGGAAACTTACAGATTTGGGATCAGCCTCGATACGGCGGACCAGGTTACCGGACTCCCAGTCGAACAGGCCAATGCCCCCTTGTCCCTTAACACCGAGCAACACACCATCGCTAAGTCCCTCGGCTTGGAATCCGACGTCGAGACCGCCAGGCTGTTCCTTGAAGTTCTTGAAGATCTTGACACTCGTTGCGGACTCGCGAATGGCGTAATCGTTGCTGTTGTCCTTGGAGCCCCAGGCGAAGTCAAGGGCGGAACCGAAAGCCTTGTTACGCCACGCGAGAGCGGTATAAATGATGTACTCTCCATCACCGCAGACCGAAACAAACCTGCCGTTAGGGTTGTGTGAGAGGGTCTGGGGGTAGACCTCGCATTGTCCGAGATCCTTAGTCGGGAGCGAAATGGGTTCTCCGTCCTTCACGCTGGCGTCGCCCTTGATAACGGTTGACACCACCTCGCTATGCCTGGCGTAAATAACCTTGCCCGATCCATCCATCGAGACAGCAGGCTCCTCACGACCCATCTTCACAACCACTGCACCATCGTCGAAACCCATAGCAATTCCTTGCCGGCCCTGCTGGTAGGAGACACACCATGCCCGCTCCAGACCATAACTGAGTGACTGCTCCAGGCGGTAGGTATTGGCGTGCCAGATCTTGATTGTGCCATCTTCGGAACCGGAGATGATGACGGGAAGCTCGGGGTGGTAGCAAGCAAAAGAAACATTACTGGTGTGGCCTTCAAGGGTTGCAATGAGGGCCTTGGTGGTGTAATCCCAGACCTAAAGGTATTCATGTCAGTACGCTTAGCCTTTGGACGAAGGATCCGACCCGAGCTTTTACTTACCTTGACAGTCTTGTCATCCGAGGTGGTCAGGAGATATGGCTTGTCCGAGCCCGGGTAGTAATCAACGTGGTTGACTCCTTTCGTTTCATGGGCCTCCAACGTGAAGTTGGCGTGAGGGGAACCGAGATTCCAGATCTTCACAGTTCGGTCCAAGCAGGCCGTGGCGAACGTATTGGTATCCTTGGGGTTGATCGCCATTCCCATCACATAGTGGCTGTGACCCTCAAAGACCTGAACACACTTCCAACCTTTCTCCCAGTCCCACAATCGCACGGTCATGTCATCACTTGCGGTCAAAACGTAGGGCTGGGTGGGGTGAACTGCGATTGAGCGAATGTAGTCCGGGTGCGCTTCGAAGGATGTGATCTTTTCGGAGGTGTTGTAGTTGTAGACACGGAGCTGGAAGTCATCTGAGCCGCAGACAATCCAGTTCTTCCGCGCAATGAATCGACCAGCACGGACAGGGACATCGGTGAGCTCGAATGTTTTGATAATGGACTAGGAAAGCTTCTTGTTAACTATGCCAGGATCGGAGCAGCGAAAAGACCAACCTGTGACTCGTATGACCAAATGTAGACATGACCTGTTGCGCAAGATTAGCACCACTAGCACATCGGGGGTCCCTCGAAGTCTATCATCCTAGACATACCGCTGTAAAGAGTAGTCAAAATCCACGGCTCTGTAGGATGGAAGTCTGCAATGCGAGATATAATTAGGTCTGTCTCATCCAGTGCCTCGCGCAAGAGAAAGTCGTGAGCTTACCGATTCCCTTTACCCGCTCCGAGCGGGCAAAGAGCTGCCTCTGTAGGACACCAACTCGTCAGCAATCTACTCAATTTGACAAAGCTTCATCTGGAATGCCATCGCATGTTCCGCCAGGAAGCAAAACCACCGCAATGTCTGTGTTCGCGTACCTTGACGTCGAGCCGCATGGTGTGTGGGGGATGAGACGACTGTTTGTGTGACGCGGTGTTGGGCCTAGGAGAGCGAGGGGCGATTCCACGAGCCGCTCAGACAGCCCGGGTATTGAGCGGCAAACGAGCCTCGAGTTCAAAAAAGAGTATTTCGAGAATCACAAAGATTTCTCGTCTGGAGGAGAGCTTGGGGTCGTTCAGGGACAATGTATGTGTCCACAAGGGATTCCCGCCGCTACTCACCGCCTTCCGGGCGTTTCCCGCATAGGCTGTTGACGACTTTGATGAGCACGAGCATGATCATCAGTAGACTAACTTAGAGGGTCAATGGCTGTGAATTTCAATGTGGTCCAATATACAGCTATTTCTTGTTCGTGGAGAATATATTCCTTTGCAATTGTCACCATATTTACAATGGCAGAGGCGATCTCAAAAAGCATACTAACACCGCGTAGGGGCTGGATTACATACTTCATCTGGACAGCCCCGAAATACCCCCGAGTCAAGCTATGTATTTCCAAATGAAAGATCTCTCGCAGACTCTGTGAATGCATTAATAACACCCCTGGTACTACTGGGCTTCCTGGCCAAGCATCAAGGGGCCTTCGGAATTAAAGAGGTTGGAACATAAGGAATAAATGTGTATTGGAACAACCTGCCCTCTAATAAGTACAGAAACGGGCTTCGGGCCCTTTTTCATAAATCGCTTCAGTTCCCGCGCTCAAAGTAAGTCCACTGGCCGGGGACTGGCTTCTCCTCCAGCTCCTCCCACCTGTATAATATGTAAGTATCCTAAAAAAGAAATGGAGAGTCGCTGTCTTGCTGGCACTTACACTTTGGCCTTGTACAGCTCATCGGTCAGCTTGAGCTCTGCCTCAGCAACCTGAATGATTTCCTCAATGAGACCGGCACCGATCTTCTGCTCGATCTGGGAGACCCTGGAGATCAATGTTAGTTTGCGATTGGGTCCTCTCCAACTGGGAAAGACTAGTCCACTTACTGCTCAGCCTCGAGAGCGGGCTCGTTCTCCCAAGTCATGTGAGACTCGTAGTGATCCGCCTCCACCTTGTCGGCGGTGGAGCTGGACTCCTTGAGAATCTTCTGCCACTCGGCCGTCTCTTGCGGGGTACGAGGACCCTCGGTCGAGCTGGTCAGGCTCTCACCATCCCATTCTTCACCGCGAGCGTTGTCACTGCCGTCGGGTTGCTGTGAGCCAACGTATGCGAATGTGCCGTCAGAGCGCTGGAGTTGGGCGAATCGCTCGGGCTCTGCGCCAACGGTCTTCTTCACGCGCTCCAACCACTGCTCGAAACCGGGGGGCTTCTGCGACTCAACGATCTGGAGACGGTGGCGAGTCAGGGCCTCGACGGACTGACGGTAGGCAGAGGACTCCGGGAAGTTGGAGAGCTTCTGGAGAGTGGTGGTGTAAAGGTAGATCAGAGTGGGACGGGGGCTCGGGTGGGTGGTGAGGCCAGTCAATCCGGTGGGAGCAAAGGGCTCCAGATACCGGGGCTTGACATTGGCCAAAAGCCGAAGTGTAGACCGCATTATGGCGTAGGGTAGACGGGGAATTGATGTTGGCAGCGCAAGATAGGCCCAGGGTGATGATGATGGAAAGGGAAGTCGAAGTCGGCCCGGAGCGGATAAACTTGAGATCCCTTCCTCCATGGCCAGGCCTAGCAGGGGGAGCCACCTTTTCCTCCCTAATCTACACACACGCGCGCAAACTTCTTACTTTTTCTGGACGCTGTGTTGTCTAATCTTGTTATTCTCAGGGCTCGGGGATTGGTCGTCCTTCCCTGCTGCTTCATTTTCTTTTTTGGCTGGTTGACCAGCGTTCAACTTACGCCAGTTTTCGCCCCCCGTCCGATGTGCCACCTGTGACATTCCCGCGATCCTCCCTTTTTCGACCAACGTCCCTCGTTTTCAACTCTTCTCCAGAGCCTCCGCCGGGGCTCACCTATACTCTCTCTTTGTTTTGTTTTTGGAGGTTTAGACCTCTTTTTCTTCGGTCACAATGAAGGTTTCCTGGTTAGGGTGGTCCCTCCTATCACTGGTGACCGTGCCTACATTAGCCGCGCCCTCGGAGTCGGAGACAAAGGTTGGCAATCGACTGGAAAAACGGCGGAATAACCGTGGTATCGATGCCGAGGAACCCTCAATCTTTAATGGACTCGACGTCCCACCGTTGCTCCAGTTGACGCCCGACAACTACGAGGAGTATCTCAAGGATGGAACTTGGTCAGTGTCCTCGGTTCTTCAAAATATCGCGAATTCGGAATTTCGACCGTACTGATTGTCTACAGGCTCGTGAAGCACTACTCACCAGCATGCGCGCACTGCAGAAAGGCAGCGCCTGCCTATCAGACCACTTATGAGTACTATTATGTACGGGACCAGCAAAAAGTGTATCAATTATGGGCGTCAGAGCTAACATACATTTATAGACTTCTAATCCCCTTTCTCCATCATCCGCCAAATCCCCCGACCCGAAGTCTCTCAACGGTTTCACCAAATACTACAACTTCCATTTCGCCTCCATGAACTGTCTGGCCCACGGAGACTTGTGCGAGAAACTTGGTATCGGCGCCTACCCCATCTTTGCATTCTACGAGGACGGTGTCCAAAAGGACAAACATGTTGGCGCCAAATCGGTCGCGGACCTGAGTAAGCTTATCGAGGAGAAGCTTGAGGCGATCAAGCCTGGTTCTCGTCCCCCGCAGGGCATCAAACTGCCCGAGGTCGGCGCACCTGGCGTCGACTCATCTGCCGAACCCGATTCTGCCGTTGCCAAAGACAAGGATCCTAAGGCTGGCGCTCTGGCCGGCGAGAAGCACAACGATCTGGTTGCTCAGAAGTCGACGGACGCGGCTGAGGCAACGGAGAGTGGCAAGCCCGGTAGCACTATCACTGTCAAGACGAAGCACAATGGGCCTCCCCCTAACCCGCAAGGTCTTTCCGTTCCACTTACTGCTGAGAGTTTCCAGAAGCTTGTGACTACGACTCGGGATCCGTGGTTTATCAAGTTCTACGCTCCCTGGTGTGGACACTGTCAAGCCATGGCTCCTAACTGGAAGGAGATGGCAAAGGAGATGAAGGACACTTTGAACATCGGTGAGGTGAACTGTGAAGTCGAGACTCGTCTGTGTGCGGACGCTCGAGTCAACGCTTACCCCACTATCTACTTCTTCCGTGGCGGTCAGAGAGTTGAGTACACTGGTCTTCGTGGCCTGGGTGACCTCCTCTCCTACACAAGGAAGGCTATCGGTACCGGTTCTGAGATTGAAGACGTCGATGCGGCCACTTTCAAGGAGCTGGAAGAGACCGAGGAGGTTCTATTCTTGTACTTCTATGACATTGCGACCACATCGGAGGACTTCCGTGCCATGGAGCGCCTGACTCTCAGCCTCGTGGGCCACGCTCGCATTGTCAAGACTAACAGCGGTGCTCTCGCGGAGCGATTTAAGATCTCTACTTGGCCCCGTCTTCTGGTCGTCCGTGATGGCCGACCCAACTACTACAATGCTCTTGCTCCCAAAGATATGCGCGACTTCCGCCAGATGCTGTCCTGGATGCAGACTGTCTGGCTGCCCATCGTTCCCGAGCTCACAGCTTCCAACGCTCGAGAGATCATGGATGGCAAGTTCGTCGTGCTTGGTATTCTCAGCCGCCGCCGCTCCGACGACTTCAAGCAATCCAAGCGAGAATTGAAGGAAGCTGCTTTCGAGTGGATGGATAAGCAGATTCAACTCTTCCGACTTGAGCGCTCGGAACTTCGTGATGCTAAGCAGCTCCGTATCGAGGAAGCCGATGACCGCAATGATCAGCGCGCGCTGCGGGCTGCGAAGAATATGCGCATCACCATCCGTGAGGATGAGAAGAAGCCTGTCGCATTTGCCTGGGTGGATGGCGACTTCTGGGAGCGTTGGCTGCGTACCACCTACGGTATTGATGTGGAACAAGGTGATCGTGTGATCATCAACGACGAAGATGTAAGCGTCTCTTAATTTGCCTTTGATACTGATCAAAACTAACTCCTGGCAGAACCGTCGTTACTGGGATACTGCTTCTAGCGGAGCTTCTATCATGGCCTCGCGTACCTCCATCCTCGAAACCATTCCTCTGGTCATCGCATCCCCGCCAAAATTGTCTCCCAAGTCCACTATCGGCACCGTGGAGACTTTCTTCTTTTTCACCCGCTCTTTCCTCAGCAGCCACCCCATTCTCTTCTTCATCTTCCTGGGTATCACCGTGGCCATTGTCACTATCATCGGGCGTGGACGTCTCATGCGTCGTGTCACCCGTGGAGGTATCATTGGCAATGCCAATGGCAGTGGTGGCTTCTTCCACCTGGACGGCAAGGAAGGGTTCCTGAACGGAGGCTCGACCGGCAAGGTCGATTAATGAGACGCATGTATAGTTCTGGTGTTTGGATACGTGATACTAATTTCTTCACCTGTATTTGATTGATTCCAGGCTGCGTTTTTCTTTTCCTGTGGTTTTTGTTTCCTCCTCCATACGGTTCTCCCATGAATCTTTTGCATGTCAACTTGGGGTGTTGAAGCACATATTTCTTAGTCTTGTTCTATTCCTTTCCAGCTTGAATCCACGAAATTCTAGAAGATGATTTGATCTATCTGTAGACGTAGTTCCGAGTGGGTTGCCCCCAATAACACCGTTGAACCAATTATGTGTCCTCCAATTGGTCAATCCCTCGTAAATCACGTGATCTTAACCCGGTTTTCGTCGACCACGACGTGCAGCTCCGGTCCTTTCCTCAAGCAATTGTCCCACCCGCCCGCATTCACAACAATGGTATGTCTGGTCTTGTTCATGGAATCTGAAGGCATCTGCAATCGTGTCTGCGTCGTGTGTTTGAGGTCTGCGGTCAGTGGTCGTGTTGCGGCCGCGCGCCGTTCATTGACCCTGACATGACCCTCCGAGAATCCTCGGGATGAGCGCGGATGCCGGAGTAGACTCTACAGAGTGAATCTATGCTAACCGTGCTCCTTCCCAAATCAATAGGTCTTCACTCCCACTCTCCGCCGCGCCGCGGCCCAGGCCTCCACCTCCGCCTTTGCGCCCAAGTGAGATCACCCCAGCCAGTACTCGGCTATAGCATATCCCCCTCGGACGTGGTTCGCACATATTGGATCTGCATCGGCTCGTATATACTCTCCAAGGGAATGGACGAGCTGGCTGTCCCATTTTGTGATTCCATGGCAGCTACGGTTGTACCTAGCTTGGTCTTTTTGACTGCCGGTGGCATCATGGGCAACCCCCCGGAGTCAAAGATCTCGCGTGCTCCGCCTCATATAAATGATGAAAAGCTGCAACTATATGCTTGGATCGCCCGACTAACATATATTTCCGCCGCTGCAGGTACACCATCCCCCGTCGGGTTGCTGGCTTCACCATCCCCGCCGCCGTCCAGGCGTAAGTCTTCTATATTTCCTTGGGCTAGGCTTCACCAGGAGCCCTCACATTGCCGTCTGTGGGTACTGACAATCGATGTTAGTGGTACCCTCGCCGCCAGCTTCGGTGTCTTCGCTGGTACCGCTGCCCTCTTCATGTTCGGCGACATTCCCCGTGTCAACCGCGACATCCTGCAGCAGATTCCCGGTCTGGACGCCTACTACAACCGGCCCATTGCCCCTGAGGACAACGTAAGTCCCGCTCGTGTCGACATATCTTGCCTCTGGCACCATGCTAACTCGTATCTCCAGCCCTTCTAAATTATCTGCGGTCTTACCTGGAGCGTCCTTGCTAGCGATTTCGATAATGGCAGTGCATAGGGTGGTTTCGGGGATGTGTGTAGAATAGGTGGTGAAGAGAGTCTTTCTTTGTTTTAATAGCACATAGAGGCAGCCGTTCCCAAACCAAGCTGTGGTGATTTTTCATTTGTGTCCTTTGAATCGGGCAGCACGAGTTGGCATCTTGACAGATACTACTACACCTCGGCTGTCCCTCTCAAACTTAAAAAGAGTAGGACAAATTAGAGAGATTACTGCCGTGTGTCCGACATGGCCGAACAAGTTGACATGGCCGGGGCACTTGACCTACTTGGGCAAGTCTACCCTCCATTGCAGATAAGCCTTTTGTTGGATGTCACCACTTGCGACTAGTCATGTCATCCGCCACCCCGACCAACAGCCTCTTATCTCCCTTTCTGCTATCAACCCCGATAAGACCGGCCACTAGAATGTACTCCAGACAAAATGAACGGCGCCTCTTTCCAGTTCACGCATGGACCTGCTCTGATGGGTTTGGAAGTCTTCGCCAAGTTCACCAGGGGTAGCACGGGTCCCAGCGGACTGCTCGAATGGAATCGCGTCCGCGTGTTCTTCGTCGAATCACAAGACTCGAGTGCGGAGAAGTCCCCCAAGAACGCTGATCAACGCGACGGAAGGTCTGGTACGGAGCAACCTGGCAAAGGTCAATTGACTCGCTTCTCTATGACTAAAAGTGGTCTATCGCAGGGGGGATTGAACTCTGATCAATGAAACGGTGATAGTCTCTCGTTATCAGCCACGGCTAGGCTCATATTGCGGAGAAAAGCATGGCAAATCCGCCCCTCTCTTTGGATCCCCTACCCCGTGTCCCACCCCCTCTTGCATCCCAGGGCACTTGTAGTGCCATTCCGTTCGTCCCACGGGATCAGATACGGAACTACTGGGTAGGCTCCAGATTCCCTTTAGATCTCTGATGGCGTTTCTAATCGTTTCTAATCATCATGGCCCCCGGGATAAGTGCCAATCTGCTACTTGCATCGTGCAGAGATAGGACTTGCCGAAGAGCATTGGCCTCCCCCTAGCTTAATGAGCTGATAGACCCCCGGCTCGTTTAAAAATGTGACGTCTCCCTCGCAGACATGCGAGCTCTGGCATAAACTACAACGGCCGTTATTGTTGAATGGTCCTCTGATTTGGGTTCATTGCTGGTTGCTATAGCCAGTGGTTTTCTTCTAATATTTAAAACAGTGTCCCCACAGGCGAATGGATATGACGAGCGCCGATATGGAGACTAAATCGTCCAAGCGTCACGTATACGCAGATGCCAGCCATGCCCCCGTCACATCTGTCCTCGCCGATGGCGACGTGCCATACGTGGACCATGAGATGGATGCCGATGAGCGGGTGATCGTGGCCCTAGGTTACAAGCAGGAGTTCAAGCGTGAATTCTCACTGTGGACGACGTTCTGTGTCAGTTTCGCCGTTCTCGGCCTGTTGCCATCATTCGCGAGTACATTGTACTATGGTATGTGCTCGTTACAACCGACCTATTGGTTGAGATTCCAACTAATTGTCTTCAAGGAATGGGCTATGCAGGTACGGCCGGTATGGTCTGGGGATGGATTGTTGCTATGGTGTTTATCCAGTGTGTTGCGATGTCGATGGCTGAGCTCTGTTCAGCCATGCCCACGAGGTAAATTGCTCTCCCTCGAGTGCAATCAGGCTGGTGGATCCAGACTAATGTATCGCTTCTCGCTTCTAGTGGCGGTCTCTATTACGCGGCAGCGGTTCTTGCACCTCCCGGATACGGTCCTCTCGCTGCTTGGTTGACTGGATGGTCCAACTGGATTGGACAAATTACGGCAGCGCCGTCGGTGGACTATGCACTATCTGCGATGATTCTGGCCGCCGTGTCTATCAGCAACCCGGACTATGTCCCAACCACATGGCAGACCTTCCTACTGACTACGCTGATCATGATCATCCACGCGGCGATCAGCAGCATGCCCACAAAGCGCGTAGCCCAATTCAACTCCTGGGGTTCAACCTTCAACATCATCGCACTCATTGCCACCATTATCGTCATTCCGGCCGCAACCAAGAACGAGCCCAAGTTCACCCCGTCAAAGGAAGTCTGGGGCACTATCACAAACCAGACCGACTTTCCTAGCGGCGTGGCCGTACTCATGACCTTTGTCGGCGTCATCTGGACCATGTCCGGCTACGACTCACCCTTCCACCTGAGCGAGGAATGCTCCAACGCCAACATCGCCTCCCCGCGCGCCATTGTCCTGACATCCGGCGTCGGCGGAGTAATGGGCTGGTTCCTCCAGCTCGTAGTAGCCTACACGGTCGTGGACATCAGCGCCGTCATCGACTCCGATCTAGGCCAACCCTGGGCATCCTATTTACTCCAGGTTCTGCCCCAAAGAGCAGCCCTGGGTATCCTCGGACTGACCATCGTCTGCGGCTTCTCCATGGGCCAGGGCTGCATGGTCGCCGCGTCACGGGTGACTTATGCCTACGCACGAGACGACTGCTTCCCATTCTCGCATATCTGGAAACAAGTCAACCCCTACACACAAACCCCCGTTAACGCGGTGATTCTAAACGCCGTGCTGGGAATATTAATGTGTCTGCTCATCCTGGCCGGCAGCGTCGCTATCGGCGCGTTATTCTCCATCGGCGCCATTGCGCAATTTGTCGCCTTTGCGATCCCCATTTCCATCCGTGTCTTTTTCGTTGGGCATCGTTTCCGTAAAGGTCCTTGGCATTTGGGTCCGTTTGGTCCGTATATTGGTGCGTTGGGCGTTGCCTTTGTTGCGCTCATGGTGCCTATCTTGTGTCTGCCGAGTGTTACGAAGGGTGATTTAACCCCCGACCTGATGAACTGGACCTGTTTGGTGTATGGTGCGCCGATGCTGGCTGTGTTGATTTGGTGGGTGGTCGATGCGCGTAAGTGGTTCACTGGGCCCAGGGTTAATGTTGAGCATTCCATTCATCCGGTTGTCAGTGAGGGTGTGGAGCCGGATGAGCATGCAGCGACAGAAGTTACAACGACATCGGCAAAATCTGCTGATGATAAGTTGTAGGTCTCTGGTCTGTATGCTATGGGCCTGTTGTGTATGTGTTTTGGAAGGGTTCTTTTCAATGGATGATAGTTCTACGATGTCTTTTTTAATTAGTACTGTGTACCCTATTGAATGATGCTGCTGTATATGAGGGGCATTGGATATATCACAATAGCCCTAGATGGTCTCCTTCGAGAATTCAATCCTACAAACAGTCTTTCTTCCAAATCTTGGAGATTCTTGGAACTTTTGTCCCGTATAGACCTTCTGTTTTCGGAAATATCCACTCCGGGAAGTACCTAATGGGTAGAAACCCCACCATATAAGCTGCAATCGTGGCGATCACAAGAATCCGGAGATCAACTGGGCCCCTCCTAGCTAGAGGCTGAGCGTATTATACGATTCTGGATCCAGACCCAGTGCCCCATCTTACCGCATATTTGGGTTCGCGATGTGGCTCCCGGGATGGGTTGTGGGCTTACTCCACTGGCCCCAGGTGCTTAAATCCTCTGGGTATGTGGATAGACGAGAGGTGACATGTGTGGAATCGAGAAAAGGTGCGAAGAAGTCAGTTGAGAGTAGATACAGAAGTGCATAAAATTGAAACATCGCGAACTGATGGAGTCCGCACCTATGCGGAAACCTAGGCATACGCACAACGCCGCTAAGATTCCGTGATATATATTTTTGTCTTCCGAGGAAGTGTTTATCGACATTATTTCTCTACGGCGAACGTATCCCTGACCGTTAACTAAAGTCAAAGCTTCTTAAGGAAAAAGAAAACATTCCCATACAGCCCACTTGACTAGGCACACTTGATCACCTCCAGAAGTACCAGGTACTCAAACCCCCCTCTATCGATAGCCCCGAAAAGCACCGAAATGAGACACTAATTAAACGTAGGGGGTAAGACAGCCCATTGGGGTCAAGAGAATGGATCATCTATCCCAGCCTTTTCTCCGTCTCCTAATTTAAGCCTATAGTTCTAACACGATGCCCATTACTACCACCACCTAGATATGTACTCTCCTGTGCCTGCAACGCTGGGACCTGATTTCCCGACGAATCCTGCGAGTCGATCCACCGATCCCCCTGGTCCCCACCAGCGGTGTGGTGGGCACTGGACATGGATGCAACGGAGAAATAAGTTCGATGGAACACAAGAGATATGCTTAATCTAACTCCAGCTGCACAGAGGGGGGGGATCCCTCTAGGCTTCTGCCCAGTGCCCGTAGGGTGGACATGGGTGCATCCACAACCCACCCAGTCCATTCCCACCTGCTGGGCGTTGCTCGCCCCCCCCTCCCCCTCCCCCTCCCCCTTACCCCTGTCCCCTTCCGACACGAGGTGCACGACACGAGTTAGGGGGGCTCCACTCGCCGAGTGAAGCTCATTCATTGATCCGTTTCATTTGCTCTTTATTTAGGATTTGGAGAGACTTGGAAGAAGAGGGGGTTGTTTTCGCGGGAACTTACCTTTTTTCGGCGATTGTCATGGCGTCTCTTACATGGTTGACAGCCTATAGGAGTGTACTACTGTGCTCAACTAACTTCTGTTACATAGCAGTGAGTTTAACTTGTCATTACGTTGTATGTACGGAGAACTCTGTCTATAACGATGGAATGAAATATCACGTTCAAACCCTTTATCGTGTCTGGATCCAGACGCACGTCGTGGAATTAACTCATATCGTGCACCCGGATCCCGAATCTTCGGGCGTAGGAAGTTTATTTTCAGCCATTGACTTTTTCCCTCTCCCTACTCGAGGTAGAAACAAAAAAGAAGACACACACAGCCCCCTCTGCGACCCGATTGAAAAAGCTGTCGCCATTCTCGGCACAGTTAGTAGTATGCCGATGTACCCATGTTCAAGGACCCTCACAGTCCGAGATTCTCTTTGTCTGTGACTTCATAGTAATGGCGACTATTGCTATATGATTACCCCTTTACTTTGAGCCCCAGCCAGATTATCCTTTTTTGTTACGTGCTTCAAAGCCACCCAGTCTAATACGTATAGCGCCGAAAAGGCGCAAATTCAATCCGCTGCCGTCCTCACGGGACCAAGCTGAATGGCGCATTGCGAGCCGCGACCGATCGACAGTATCAGGGGCTACTGCGACTGGAGAGTTCTGCCGAGGGATGATGTGTTGGTTCCTGAAAATACTGGGGCAGACCTCGCCACCACGATGTTCTACGTATGGGAATTTTTTGTTGGTTGTTCCTGATTCTATTACGTTAGCCCTGTCTGTTGTACCATAGGAAGGCCAATTAAGCGAAAAAAAGCAGGTTCGACATGAATCGAACCAGAGAAGAGGAACTTTGTAGAGGTGGTCCATGGGTTTAGGATAATGGATTTGCATCATCGTGTTATACATATTCTCGTTTCAAAGTGTCTCTCATGGAGATGTCCGAGTTGACAACTTCGGCATTGTACATTTGCCCTCGGGGAAAAGCCGATTTACAATATATGTATGGTGAATAATTACAATGACAAGTGATGGTTACAGTATTACCCGTCTACTGCGGTTTTACGGCGCGCCAGATTATGCAGAACAGGATCTCCCCGCCACCAACGCTCCCAACCGCCATGCTTTACCTTAAATTTCCCATCGTGTCCAAGGACACTCGATATTCTTGTACGGCTCCCTAGAAACCACCACAGCCGGACGAAGAATGGCAAGATGGTTCGATGGTCACTGTTTCGGGCTCCAATCACACATGCGAGGCGTGGCTATGGGGCGGCATGCACATTTCAGGCAGCCATGGATAGGTGTTGGTGTCCCTGGTTACAAGCGTTTGGAATCAACTGCATTAATGGAAACTGATGTCAGTTACGGAATTATACATGCTGTATGTACTTTACAAGCTCAGCCGATGTGTATGGAGTGTCCAAGGAGAGAAGGCGAGATGTTGTATTTTTGCAAATCAAAAATACGACCATCGCCGAAAATGGAAAACATCTGGCAACTCCTGCAAACAGCCCACCGTCCACGGTTAGCCATCGCTGTGAACCATTGCTCTGGCATCTGGAATTTTCCTGGTACGAGAAATCACATGGGATCGTTCACCAATGCCAGCCAGACATATTATTATAGATATTTAATGTATTATTGATCAGTAATGATTCGAGTCTTTGTGCTATCGGTGATCCGAACCTACATGACGCGGCTGGTATACAGGGGCGGAAAAGAGTTTTTGCATCCTCCGTATGGACAAGAATCTACTCATGTTTTTTGTGTCTATGAATATTTTCGGATTATTGCATTCAACGTCAACGATACCACGATACTCAAAATTCTAATAATCATAAATGATTCCCAACTTAATTCAAGGGCACGGTATACACTCAACAGAAGATAACTCTGATTTGCCTGATAGTCATTCCCGAGTCCATGGTTCGAGCGATTACGTGGTGGCACGCTCGAAGTAAACTACTCGAACCTACTTTTTGACCGTCTCCTTCGTAGACGGTGCCGATTATCATTGACAGGACTCGGTCCGCGGTGCGCCGTAAATCCGCGCTGACAAGGAACCTATTATGTTAGTTAGATTGTACTCCGTACTGCTACACTCCCATAATGCACGAGAGTTCCTCACAAACTCTTCCGTCCATCGCGGACTTGGCATTGCGCGGTGTACCACTCCTCCCCGACCGTATTGTTTTTCATTCCTTTCTGGCACTCCACTTCTTCACCGCGTACCTGGGGATTGGAGTGTCTCCGCCGTGCTGTCAGGTCCCGTCGCATCAGCCCCAGCCTACAAATGTCATGGTCTTAAGGTTTCCTTTGTGCTTTTTTTTGGCCCTCCTACCGAACATAGACCCCTTTTGGCTGAGTATTTATTTCTTTCAGCGAGTCCTCGTAACTCACTAAATAGTTACATACCGTCATCAACTCGGTACATATCCGAGGACCTTAGAGACCACGCGCAAAGCCGCTAACCGGTCCTGGCCCGGTTTCTCGACAAAAATCGAACTAGGCTCGAATGAACAATCACAGCGCCCAACCTATGAGGTGTGTGGCGCTCGCGATCCTCTCGTCCGGATGGAGCCATGATTGGCTGCAGGGGATCCTGAAACTCGGCGATCCGGACTTGGCTTTCCAAGTGCTTTCCGGCCTGTGCCGGGTAAAGCCTCTCTCTCTCTCTCTCTCTCTCTCTCTGTGTTTGGAGTCGGATGGGCCTTACTCGAGACGTTTTGCGGTTGGTTCCGTCGGAAGAGGGATTTTTGTACCAATATAAAGTATAATTTTCTTTGTATTTTTTTTTTTTTTTTTTTTTTTTTTTTTTTCAAACTCGCTACAGTAGTATGATGGTGTGTGTGTTGTCGCGTTGTCTTGCCTAGGAGGGCGAGCTACATATTCGAGGCTGCTGAATTATTATCCTATTAATTATTATTGTTAGTTACCGCTATTAATGATTGCCCTCGTGATGTCTTACTAGTTCGGCCGAGATAGATAAAGATTCTTCCGGCTGGCGGTGTAGTAGTCTTCGAGTAGGAGTAACTGGCTAGCTTTATACTCGGTTCCATGACTCCATAATGTGAACGCCAGATGGAGTATGTAGCTCAACAATTTCACCCGAACGAGACTGGCGGCGGTAGATGGAGAAACCAAACTAACATTACGGAAGGAGAGACAGAAAGAGGGGCATGATCGACACTGCGATCTGGCATCTAAGGCCGCTATTTAGCAGGTTTGCATTAATCGGCATGGACACGGAGGGGGCCTTTTGAAGCCGCCCGATGCTCACTAGCAGCCCGGCTATCATAGCTTAACCAGCCTTCTGAGGAGCCCTACTGGCGGGGAACTAGTCGGCAAATGAATGATCGATGGGGACAAGGGCAACCAAGGACCAAGCGTTGCGCGCAGCAAAACGCCTCGCAGTAGTGAACTGGCTGCTGATCCTACGGTGGGCTGGGGGAGATCTTGGGAGTCTTTGGAAGCGATGAGTTCTACATCCGACGAAGTAAAGCCGTTGGTATGGCATTGTATGCAAGTGAAGTATGCGAGGTATACGTACACGGGGATACTCCGGAGAACGAGAGTCGACATCGTCCATCATTTGGGTCAGTGCCAACTCACAGACATAACAAATACGATGTTTTTTTCCTGCACTACTACACGATAGTTCACCAACTATGGACGATGACGGCCCAAAAAAACGAAGAAACTCGGAACAGTCTCACCGTAGTTTGCGGGATGAGCCACTATCTCGTGGACCGAACCATCTTTAGCCCCTCTCTTCTTTTTCTTTTCTGCGCAATTGTTGATTGTTCTGGTGGCTTTCCCCCTTTGGGAGTGGACCGCCCCTCAACTCCCGGCACCGTTGCCGACCGACAAACGCTATAACTAATAACAAACCAAACTATGACTACGAAATGCTACTTCACGACGCCGCATTTATCAGTTCTCTGCGAGACTGCCTAAACTAGACGAAGTTTCTCACCTGCCAGATTCAACACACCGTGATCGTGCAGTAGTCCCCAGCCACGCGCCGAAATGTCTGTGCCGGAAACCGCCCGGCGTGTTCAGTTGGAAACATGTAGGCAGTGGATGAAGAAGGTTAAGCGAGGCCCTTCCGAAGGGGTTTGGCCCTGTACCATTTCCGTCGGTAACGGGCGGTAGTATGTAGTGTAGAGATTTGTCGATACAACAAGGCTCCAAAAAGAATTACTCCGGGCAGATAAATTCTTGATACCAATACGACTGTCTGGTTCAATTGCTCGGCAAACTTTTAATCAGAGCCATACGCTTATTTCCCGTGGCTCCTGTGGCTGCACGTTCAATAATCATGACAGAATTTAATAGTTTAGGAGCGCGGTTGTCATCGGCGTACGCCAAGGCCTTCCGATAGTTTGCCGGGAAAATTTGCAAAAGTCACGCGGTGGGGGGGGGGCCGATGGGTGGTCAGATCCGATCAAATTTGGATTTCTGCAGAACCCTGGTCGAAGCCTTTCGCCAGGTCCACTATCGAAGCGGGAGAAGCTCTTGCGAATTTCTTCGGTGGAGCATGGAGGGGCAGGGACTAGGGGGGGAAACCCAGAAACTGTACATACGAACCATAGAGTCATATATACAGACAACGACATAATTCACATATACAGCGGATTGTAGAAAGATGCAATCCGGATTGACCAGTACCGTCGGAACTGCCTGCCGGACCGAGACACCCTTCTCGAGTCACTTCCCGCCTTCCCCTCGGTTGAAATCATACCTGAAACTTTAGGTAAGAACCGAGGGTCGCGATTGTTCGGGGGCAAAAGTACCCTAACTGTCTTAAGCCACTTCCCCCAAAAGTGAAAAGGCCAACCCGCAATTAAATCCTCCAAACCTACATTTACTTGCCGGAATTGCAAAAAACACTAGCGAGTGTCGGAGCCTATGCCAGGCCACGGAAGTAGCCACGCCACCCAATGGCAGCGCCTCATTCGACGTGGCGGACAATTCCGTACATTCCTAGTCCTTTCATCCCTCGTCCCTATTTCATGCTCACTAGGGACGGCTAACGGGTTAAACTCAACCACAAGTACCCAGCGACTGTAGCTTGACACGCTATAATTTGCGGAACCCCCAAGCTCAAGCCCCTCCTCATCCCGGGCCCCGTTCTTATGCAGCAGCGCGAGATCCAGGTTGAGGGGTTCTTGGGGAGGGAAAGGTACGCAGTTCCCAGGGGGATTACCGGTAGTCGGAGGGTCACAATTGGGTTTAGCTTGGGGACTGTGCAAAGGCCGTGGGCGGCTACGGCGCATCCACGAAAGTATGTAGGGCGACGATGCAAAGCCGTTACGGCACCTATCACCCGGAAGTGCAAAAATGGTGAATAACGTTCTTGTTATCTTCAAAGCCCGAGGGGATATTTTATCTTTATGACACGGTTTGTCAGTGATACTTTGGGGGTTAGTATATATATCAACCTTTGCAGAGTAAATCATACCTAATCTCCATGTAAATACTACAATTCTCTTACAACGATAAAAACCGTCCGCATGCAGCAGAGTTTCGGCATGCAGGATCGCTGGGGAAGAGGGCTAGAATCGGTACAATGCGCCATGAGGTCTGCGCACCTCGAGCTAGCTTTCCTTCGGAAGGAATGACGTGCTTTCTCGGGAGATCAGTGCGAACCGCGACGAGGGACCAGTGATTCTTGTCAGTACGGACAGAATTTGGAGTACCATACGTAGGGCACTTCATCGTTAATCTGTCACTACAAAGTACGAACAGCTACATAGACCGACCTCCGACCAGTAAAAGTCCGCCTACGACCTAGACACTGCTCGAGCACCCTCCATCTCAACTCATCCCAGCCCAATCCTGGGCCAATCCCTGTCTAATCCCGATCCTAATCCCCCGTCCAGTCTCCCAGCTAGGCAACCCGCGCGGTTTCCCGTGCTGAACTCTTTCTTGATCGAGGATTTGGACTTTTGGAGGTTACCCGTGTAAGCGGAAGTGCATCTCCCTGCATGAGATGTGTGATCTGTTTACCTGCGGGGCTGTCAAGCCACTGCGGAGCCCGAAAGCAGGCGTTGAGGAGCCAGGGGTGAGCGACCAACCCACTTCTCCAACTTGGCTGGCAGGCTCCAGTGCGGGAGGGAGGGGGAAGTATAGATAATCAGATCACGGGTGTTTATGTTAGAAGGTTAGATTGAGCAGTATAGTTATTATTCAGCGCAGATAGCTAGTTAACTAACTAATGAATGTCAAAAGAATGCGTTGAAAACATAAGCAATAGCAAATTTGTAAATAACTGTATTATTCGAATCTGACGCCTTGAGGCGTAGAGGGCATGTCACTTAAATAAAACCATTGATTCCCTTCCGAGTTGAGTAATGTCCCACCAAGTTGACGATAGTGCTGAATGCAGGCTCCGGGATCGGGGTACACGGGTTGCGCGTTAGTTCGGCGATTATGTACGACCGCCCTGAACGTAGCATGTGGCAAAGGAAGTTCCGTTTTGGAGCCTGGTTTCCCTAATCCTCCTCGGGTTGGGATTAATGTCCGTTCTACAGTGTCGCTATGTAGCTGGTTCTAGACAAAAGGACAAAAAGACGGACTTTTAATAGTGTACACACGTACATAGTCGCGAGCGTACGTTGCTGCGCCAAATCGGATCAGATGATCTATCTTCCGATCGCCATTCGCCCACGAGTAGCTAATTATATTATCAATAATCCCCCCCTGTTCCGACCGGTACAGTCAGAGGCCGCCAATTGATAGAAATGACCTATCGACGGCAGAGAGACGGGATATGATCTCCCCCCTAGAGTCGGATAGAAAGGATGGTGAAGAGAAAGATCACGAATAGTTTGTATGGTGATCATAATAACTATCATACTTGCCATGAAGATCATTGATATTCAACAGTGAAATAAACATCGGAGAAGCTGCATTATTTCGGCAAGTGCCAGGACACGTAGACTTGCTGTTCGCGGCCATTCCTGGCCCGGGCTGTCTTCGGAAGGCTCCCGGGCATATCGTCATCACTGTCCGCGAAACCCGCCAACTCGCTAAGCCCGAGATCTTCCAGCTCTGACTGTATTCCGTAGTTACTCACAGTGAAGAGTTATCCTTTACTCATTCTCATGTTAGCAGTTTTATCTACACAGCATTATGTTCTCCTCACAACTCTGCCGAATTTGCCTAGGTAATATTGGGAATCCAATAACCAAGAGACGGTCTTTCCAGAAAGTCCCGGTATTTGGGTATGCTTATTTAGATTCGCCCTCGGCGTACGTACTAAGCCGTCGTACCCGAAATAACTAACTGTAATTTTGCAATTCTCGCTCGATTAGGTTCCTTGCCTCTTGCCTCCCCCAAAGAGTGGTCCACTGAGACGCGGGTTTTCATTACGTGGTTACCACTTTGTACGGACTGCACCAGTGTTCGGTCATAGGCGTCTTGAATTTTTTCATTATTCTATTTTCAGTTTTTTTTTCCCTTTCATTTTCTCTCTTTCTTTTTTTTGACCTTTTTTTTCGCTCTGCGTATTTTTTCTTACTGAACCTTGGCCGCCCCCCCAATTAATCCTTTCCCTTTCCCTTTCTCCCCCCCCCAATTTTCTCCCCGTCCACGATCGAACTGTCTTTCCAGAGATTTTTTCCCTCTTCCCTTTCTCACATCCTCCTCCCCTTCAACTCATCTTCTTCAACTCTCCCCGAATCGGTCCTTTTCGATCCACCTGATTTCTTCTTTTCATCCCAACTTTCCATTTAATCCCAGCCCATTGCCTTCTTCTTCCCGTCTTGACGCGCGAAGCAGATCTGACTAGTTGTTGTGCTGCGAGACCCACTTGCACGCCCGCTTCCCTGGTGGATACAGAACCCATCGACGGTGACAACGTGCGGATAAAACACCAAGTTCCCACACGACTCTGACCTGGTGGGTGACCGTGGGGAATCGACTCCGATCAAGCCTTTCTTTCTTCACTCCTCCAACCCTCTAACGCTCATATCTTCTTGGTGGAGTCAGATCTCTCTTGCCATTGAGGCCTACCTTCAAATCAACCTTCGCCCTTTCCGCCTCGGGAAAATTTCAGTTGGCATCCAACAAGGAGCTTCCTAGGTTTTTTCTTTGACGCCAAGAGAGAAAAAAAAATCGCGAAGGAAGTTAGGAACTACGAGACCGACGTGTTCGATGATTACTGCGTGATCTCAACGCCTCATAATCCAACCCATCTTCTTCCTCTCCCCCCTCTCTCGCGAAAACTACCTCCCACTACCCTCGTCGACCCGTTCGGACCGAAACTCATGATGGATCCTCGTTCGCACCCTTCGCGTCCCCCGTCCACCAGCATGCCCCAGGGCTCCACGCCCCTGTCATCGACACCCATCACCAGCATGCCGATGCCTCAGTACTCGATGCAGCCCCAGTATCCGGTCTCCCAGCCGCATACGCTGCCTCCTCTCCAGCCGCATCATACTCAGTCGCCCGCGCCGCACCCCTACATGGGTCAGCCGTACCGACCAGACCTGTCTCGGTTCCCCGCATCGACTCACGACGTGTACGGGGCTTCGACGGCCCCTATTATGCCGCACACGACTGTCGGTGGTCATTCGCCGTCGTTCCTTGCCCACCCTAACCATCAGACACAGAACCATCACACCCAGTCTTACCCTCCGCCTCCAAGTGTGTTGCCTCCCGCGTCTGCCGCGCAGAGCTACCCGCAGCCCATTGCTCCCGCTCCCCCGCGCGACCGTCGGGATTTCAATGGCATGCCTTCCGGTGCTTTCAGCTACTCCGATGGCAAGTCCTGGGGTATGACTCCCGACGTGAATGGCGCCAACGGCTCGCCGTACGGACCTCCTAAGGATCAGCCACGCACGCAGGTCGTGGGCTCTCAAGGCCGCCGTGGCATTCTGCCGAGTGTTCCGGGCCGCGCGACCCCGGTGACCAACGGTGTCAATGGCTCCGCAAAGAGCACCACCATTCCCGCCAAGGATGCCGATGGCAAGTTCCCTTGCCCGCACTGCAACAAAACCTACCTGCACGCGAAGCACCTGAAGCGTCATCTGCTGCGCCGTAAGTTTAGCCTCTTTCTGCCCTCCCCTCAAGCTCAAGATTGGTCCCCTCGGATCGTCATCAGTGACTAGAAGGAACGTTTTCATGACTAACGACGCGTCGCCTCTACTTTTACAGACACCGGTGATCGCCCTTACATGTGTGTTCTCTGCAAGGACACCTTCTCCCGCAGTGATATCTTGAAGCGTCACTTCCAGAAGTGCTCCATCCGTCGGGGTAACCCTACTGGCGCGACTCACCTGTCGCACCCCCACGCTCATCTCAAGCGTTCACAGCAACAGGCAGCCGCGGCGTCGGCGGCGGCGGCTAACACCGCTAAGCCTATTCAGGATGAAGTCAGTAATTCCGTCCCATCTTCCAATGGCGTTATGAGTGCGCAGTTCGGCGATGGGGCCGTGAATGGCAACGGGTTGGCCGGTGGCCGTCCCGGATTCACGGACCAGCAGCAGCATCTGGGATACGCGATGGCGCCGGTCAACGGCATGAACCGTGGTCCTGGTGACCACGCGTTCGCCGAACAGACCGCGGCACGAAACTCCTGGATGGCTGCCCCCAAGCAGAATCCGTATCTCATGCACCACCCCGGTGCCGAAGCCCATGGCCAGCAACTGAGTGTTGATCGTCCTCTTGAACAGGTAAAGCCCCTGGTCGTTCCTGACCACAAATACCCGGTGATGCCCGGTCACCACGCAAGTCAGCCCGGTGTTGACTGGACGACCTTCCAGCACGGTGCCGACAACGGTTACATGAACCCCGTCTTCCCTCACTCCATGGCTACCGGCCAGGAGTCGATCCACGCCCCTGTCGACGCCGACCGCAAGTTCTACCCCGCCACGACCGCGGGCGGCCCCGAGAACGGTATGAACGGTCTGTACCTGGCCTCGACCACTCTGGGCGGTGATGGTAAGTGATGGCATACTCGAGACACAGTTTGGTAAATCTCCGTGCTCATGAAATTCTGCAGGTACCGTCCAGGCCGCGAGACAGTAAGCGGGCCATCCGATCAGAATGCAACACGATGAAACGCTGGGAGAAACGAGAGGTGTCTCAGATACTTGGTTGCGAAGCATAAATGGTCTAGACATACCTGTCTCCACCCTGACGCGAAGCTTGCAAGTAGCTGGCGTGGCTTCCATGGGAGGCGCGCCCTTCTTTTCGCCTTTTCCCTTCCTCCCCTGATTTCATTATTTTTTTGTACCGTGCATCCTTGATGGGTCTATTCCTGATCATCCTTACACTTTTTCCATTCGCACTTTTTTTTTTTGTATCTCTCCACTTTTCTACTCTTGGGGTTTCCGATTTACCGATTTACCGATCCCATCCGGTGTGGGACCGCATCTCTTCTTCTGCTTCGGCGAGTTTGTTTTCCCTGGTGGTTGAATTGCGAGTCTTGGGTTGTTTCTTTATCTCCCTGATGAGTGGGGCAGATGGTATGGCGGGGTGGTTTCGTTCGGCGTCCACAAACTATAGACATGGGCATGTGCGTTGTTCCTTTTTGCGCGATATTGACAACAGAAAGAGAAAAAAGCTTTTTGGTGGGAAAAAAGGCTACTGTCGAAATTACCAGTTTTCATCCACATTGTTATTTTTTTTATTTTACATTGTTTTGGGACTGTGCCAGTGGTTTTTTTCCCCTCTTTTTTATCTGTGGTTGCTCGTTATTGCTGTGCTTTCGTTGATCTCGTTATGTTTCCTTTTTTTTTGTTTCATCCATTTCCTTTTCTCTCATTGTCGGGACTCGAGCTTTATCTCGTCCTTCTGGGATATAAAACTTGTCCCCGGTGCATCTGCATGGCCTCGTTCCTGTAAGTACCTTTGGCACGGCACGGACATATGTGCGCTTCGGGCTCCTGGAGGTGTGACTGAGGGCGATGTGCTTTCTTTTCCTTTTTTGTCATTCAGGAGGGATCCTGTTCTATACTTGAAAAGCATCTATTAGAAATAGACCCGATGACCGTTTTTGATACTCTACTATCTCTCTCCGTGTTGGTAACCTGTAACAGAGTATCTTGTAGCAGAGGATGATCAGGACGAGGAGCCGGAGTGTCGGACCAGGGACATGGTCAGCATGCAGAGCATTGTCTAGTCTGCAGGTGGGCTGCGGATTTTCGATCCCGAGATCTTCCTTATACCGGTGCATGCATATTAGCCGTGTCGATGAATATGGTGATACTCGATCTTCTAGAATGTGTCCAGCGCAGACTTGTACATCGTGACACCGAGGCTGAAGGCGGGAAACCATCACGAGAAAGAAAACCTCGAATCTCAAGTAACCTGGCCCCCTCCTATACCTACCCCTCACCCACTAAGTCTGACTAGTTCAACTTAGTCCCAAAACTCGAACTCAAACGCTAAAAAAAACCGAGCCAGACTCTCCGAAAACTCCCTGCTCGACGTCATCTCCATAATCCCCCGCGTCTGATTGGCCCCACGGGGTCTCCGGGGGATAAACTCGGGATCTTCCATCGAACTCTTTCCACCCCGCCCTCAAGACATCCTCCACACAACGCTCAACGCTTTCTTCTTGAGCCTCTCAGACTAAGGGAATTTACTCCGCCTTTGACCTTGTGAGAGGGGAATCAGACCTTGGTGGACAACCCTGCGGGTTCAGCCTGTTATTTAATTCTCGCCCGCTGCTCTGGTACCGAGCAGATCGATATCCGGTTCGAACTTCACCTCTTGCCTCTCTCTCTGCTTTTGCGAACCACCACCATCGCTACCACTTCTTCCTCCACCGATATCGCCTCTTACCGCAATCACAACAACAAGTCTACGAGCCACTGCCATCTCTAGCTCAATCATGAGTACCAATAGACCCTTCCTCGCCAACTTCCTGGCCGCCTTTCGCGCCCAGTCCACCATCAAAACCGCCTCCCAACAAACAACAACATCCTCCTCTCTCTCCTCAGCACAGATCTCCACGGGCGCCCGAACAATAGCCTCCAAATCAGGCCAACACCAACACCAACACCAACACGCCTCATCCTCACAACCCGCCCCCTCTTCCTCAACCTCAACATCCGCCTCCGCCCTCCCAACTGTATCAGCATCAACTGCTCAAACCCAAGCACAACAATACCACTCCCACCACTACCACACCACTGACCCCGCTACCTCTCAACCCCAAACTCCCTCGGCAACATCAACCTCCACACCAATCCCTATCTCCCGCGGTCCAGACCGCCAACGCCGCGGCAGTGACTCGTCGTCCGGTTCGGGCGGGTTTAGGGATGCCCTTGGCCCGGAGAAATGGTATATCGGGGGACGGACGCCTGCTGGGGAGGAGAGGTTTTACCGGTTGGGGATGGTCACGAAGGGGGGTGGGAGGCTTGGGGGCGGAGGGAGGGTGGGGAGCATTGANTGGGGGGGGGAGCAGGAGAAAGTTGGGAAGAAAAAGAAAATTCTAGATGGAAATCTGTGTTTGGATTTAGATGAGATGAGTGTTTTGATGGAAGACTGAAGGATGGGCTTGATGTTGGGATGATTTTCTATGGCTTGGCTTGGACTGGATTCCACGCAGGCGTTTGGGTATGCAATGATTTGGGAATGCGGCAAGAGTATGAGCAAAAATGATACACGCAGAGCGTGGAGACTAGTTTCTCTATTCTATGATTTGGAGTTATGTTTTGTTTTATAGATGCTAGCTTGTGGAATACTGGATGTGGCATGCGTCTTGTTATATCACTATCATTACGATCATCTTTGTGTTGGTGATGATACCCTGAATACTTATTCTGGTAGATACAACTTCGAGTGAAGGAAGAATATTAAGCTCTAGATGTATATCACATCGTCAGTGTACTGTCCGATTGTCCAGGTCTGGTACGATGACATTGGGTTTTGCGGAGGTGGATCCTCATCAGCCGCAAGTGGATCCTACATCCACTGTGGATGTCAAGGATTGAAGTGGAAGATTTGAAAGGTATCTTTCTCGTTACGGTATGAAGTTCTCACTGATCTGTCGCGCTCAGTCCGGCTGTGGAAGACCTGTGGTTCCCGTCTTCGGGTGAGGATACTGAAGGCTAGCAGGAAGCTTTGCTTAGTCTGGTAATTTATGTAGGGATTCACTTGCTTTGCCAAATTGCCTCCCTTCATATCGCTGACAATAATCAACATCCTACCTGTGAATTAATGAATCAGTGAATAGATATAATTTAGTGCACCTTCATGGATTGATACTTCCTCATGGTGGTTGTCTTTGCGAGTAGAACCTTTGATATTCGACTTTCTGGTCGGATAAGAGTAGATAAAGTTGCTATTGGTGTCTGTTTGACTCCAGGAAAAACCAACGATACGTGACTATAATAACTCCTATAGATCAGGCATCTCGCATCTCAGCAGCCTTCACTATCTAGCCAAATACATGCATAGTCTGTCATTTCCAGTTCTACTCCAAGAGGCACAGACTCTAATTCGCACCGGCATTGACAAAGCTAGTAAGCTAGTCGCACTTCAAACAGCCCTCTTCTTTCCATTTACAATTGATAATATAATTCTACCTCTGATACGGCCAGCGCAATCAACTTAGTCTAGTTATCTCTAGCTTCCAATCATTTACAAATTTCATGCCACAACCTAGGCCCTGTACAGCTAGCGTATATTTCTGCCTGAATTCTGCCTGACTTTCTGCCTGAAAGACCCTGCATAGCCGGCTGCATCTCGCAGATCTCCAACCCTCGACCCTAAAAACAGGATGCTGAGATGCCGATCGTTCCTAAGTCTAAGACTACAGCGGCGCACCTTCTGCGCCGGCAGAATCAGGACGAATGCCGTTGGTAACTGGTCGCTCCAGATGCCGGGGTTCAATCAGCCCCTGAACACCTTTCCCGATGTACGGAGAAGCGTCTTCACTCTGTAGTTATTTGGCTTGACTGAAGATTATTAGCCAAATGTGCTTTCCGGGTATTATTCGGGATTCCCGAATGCCCTGGACCCGGAACATCTTGAACCTGGTTATCTCAAGTAAGAAATGGATCAAATTCTGTCTTTTTGTATGATGCGAGTTGACGAAATGCTGTTGCAGTAAGCTTCTGACCAAGCGGGAGATTAACATGATGCGAATCATGAATATCATTACTGATAAACCTGAGTGGGAACGTAAGGTCTTTGATGAGCATATCATTGCTAAATGGAGCGAAGAGGTTGCGAAAAGTGGACAGGATGCGTCTCCCAAGATGATGGATTGGATCGTCAAGGAGTTACAGTGGAAGGCGGGGATTTTGCAGCAGTCGGGGTTTGTGGAAGTTTTTGATGCCGGAGTCGTCAAGTCTGATACCGCCGTCTCGAAGGAGTTACAGCGTGCGCTGAAAGAAGCGGTCCTTCCGTTTGAAAATGTGCCCAAGGAGGAGAAGGATTACCATCCTGGGTCGGATGACAAGGTGGTTGATCTTGTGCACCCGTCACTTTTCCCAGTGATTTATGGGCGCACGTACGTTCTTCCTGACCGGACGATTGGTCTCGACGATTGTATCGACAGCATGGGAGAAGGGGAATGGCTTGAACGCCCGAAGGAAGCTGAGGCTACTCCAGAGGCCGTCTATCCTTATTATATTCCTCAACGGCTGCACCCAGCCGTCCTGAGTACCAAGTTCCAGTGGCTGCCCTGTGACGTGAAGCTCATCGATGATGGCAGGTGTCAGATTCTGTCATATATCAATAACGCCCACCCCGTCAAACACCGCGCACTCTATGAGGTGGTGGAAAAGATTCTCGCACAGACAGTACCCCTCTGGGAACAATCATTGAGCGAGAAAGAATTCTTCAACGAACGAATCAAATTCACTAAAGTTGAGTACGAGGACGATGGCACGGATGAGCCGAAATATCCCGAGGGGCATGAAGAGACTGATTCTGAGGAGTACTACCGTTTATATGATGAGTATGAGGATCGCATGGTTGCTTGGTATAAAGCTCGGAAAATCATCCAGCCTGAACCGGGAGAGTTCAAGCCCAGAGAATCTAAGGAAAAGGCCAACTTTTTGAAACACTTCCCCGAGGGCAAGATACAGGTTATCGTGAAGCTGGCGAATATCGAGTTGACTCCCGAAAAGCCCGACTATGAAGGCGGATCCTGGCATATTGAGGGGCAATTAGTGAGTATTTGACCACCTCACTGAAATGACCGTCTCTTACCAATTCCTCCAGAACGAACGTATTGCCGCCTCTGCAATTTACTACTACGATTCCGAGAATATCACCCCCAGCTCACTCGCATTCCGCCACCGAGGAATGGACGATATGATGGACATCTCCTACGAGCAAAGTCAACATGAGTTCTTGCAACAGATTTACGGCTTCCATGAAGACTTCCGAAACCACAACATCGAGTTGATCACGCAAGAACTGGGCAGCGTCGTCTCCAAAGAAGGCCGCATTATCACATTCCCCAATACACTACAGCACCAGGTTTCTCCCTTCTCCCTAGCTGATCCATCTAAACCCGGTCACAGGAAGATTCTTGCACTTTTCCTCGTGGATCCGCACTTGCGGATCATTTCGTCTGCAAATGTACCGCCGCAGCGCGAGGATTGGAGACCGGAGACGCAGAAGCATGGTGAAGGTGCACAACAGGTGCTCGACGGGGAAGCCGTGAACTCGATTACCATGGAAGAAGCGAAAGCTTATCGAGTTGAGCTTATGGCAGAGCGAGGCCTCCAATCTCAGAAGAATAATGATGCATTCCAGACGGGCGAATTCTGTCTTTGCGAGCATTAGGTTGGGATTGTCATTCAGGAGAGGTCCATTTCCTATTCACCAAAAACAACTCTCTATAATTTAGATAATGTACAGCATCATCCACTTCCCGCAATCAGCCAGATTTCGATTTAATCTGTTTCCCAAACTTGGCCTCCACCCCCCGGATTAATTTATCCTCCATCAACTTTTGTATAATCGGCTGCGCATTATGTTCCTCAAATGCCCGTTTGCCCGTGTAGTGCTCGAAGAAATAGAATATACGGGGCTGCTCACTGTCCCGTGTAAGACAGTAGTATATCACGCCCGGTTCGAATTGCGCGAGACGCGTTGTCTCGGCGTAGACTGCTTCTAGGGCGTCGGCGTGTTCGGGGTATGCATGGACTGTCCCGTAAACGCAGAATTCGGTTTCTGGGAGAGGAGGGAGATCGGCGAGGAAAGATTCAGATTCTGAGTTGGACATTTTGGATGTTGGTATAGTGGTTGCTCGTTCCAGGATGTTGGAGTGTAATTTTGGGTTTTGAATATAGAGAGCTTCACAGGGCGGAGGGTGTTTGATGAATCGGTAGGGAGAGTATATTGGGTTGATTTATCGGATTGATTAGCGTGCAATTGAAGAGTATTCGAATGCCTTTTAACTCCCGTTACATGAACTATGCTCAATTACGTGTTGCCCCGCACTAACTTCGTGCTTAACTCCATGACAAAATGGGCATTAGTTAACTAGTTACTCTTCATGATTCAACGTGACTCACTCCGGGTTTAACCGCAATCGGACATGCCATGGACCAATTTTAGGATTTTTTAACGGATGATTACAGAATTTAGATGCCTTGTTATAGCTTTGTCTTCCGATTTTTCCCATTCGACGCAGATAGATCAAGGTATATGCCTTTTTATTGTCACTTCCTGCCAGTCGTACTATAACACTTGTATAGATGCAGAGAACCAATTACAAGAAAGACCAACGATGAGCTCTGCTTGCCAAATGCGACAGTCTATAGAATCCCTCACAGCACCTGCTGCGTCGTACAATGCAAGACACCTCCAGTCCGGGGTAGAGCATTAACATTGACCTGGCAAACCCGTCGCTCAGGCACCAACTTGCTCAAAGTCTCCAACGCCTTCGCATCGGTCACGGCATCTCCAAAAGCCGGAATCACGAGTCCGCCATTCGTGAAATAAAAGTTCACATATGAGGCCGCCGGCTCAACTTCCTCGCCAGGCACATCTCCCCTAACCAAATCCGGATCTGGCTCCTCAACATCATAGACCTGCAACTGGCGGCCCTGCGCATCAGTGGCGGTATCCAGGATCGCACGCATCTCATGATACACATCCCAAAAGACCTGTCCACACTTGGGATGCGGTCTCCCCACGACAACGACACCGGGCCGGATAAACCGCGCTTCGGCATCGATGTGGTAGTCGGTAATATCCAGACCCTCCCGACCGGGAATCCAAATGAACTTTCGAATCCCCAGCAGGCGGGATAATTCCTTCTCAATGTCCTCGCGAGATAAACCCTCGTTCCGCGATGCCACAGTCACACTACTCTCCATCGCCATAAAAGTCCCTTCCCCGTCCATCTCGATTCCACCCCCTTCAAGCCTCACCCCAGACACAACCCGCGCAACGGGCGATTCCGGATTAAGCTCATTCTCCAGCTCCAGCACTCGCTGCGCAAACGCGGTGTTCTCACTCCGCACCTGCTCGTCCATAATCGGCCAGTCGGATTCTTCTTCCTCGGCTTTCAATGCGGCGGCTTTATCCAAGCTACTATTGTAAATCCGCTCGCCGAGTTTATTGCCCCACTCGCAGAATCGGAAGTCAATCGCGTAGCGCTTGCCGTCGTCCGCACCGCGCACGTACACGGGTCCCGTATCTCGCACCCAGACGTGATTTGTCGGGGCGGCGATGAGTCTGATTCGGGCGCGATGTTCGGCCGGCGCGGTCTTCATGCGCTCATCGACTAGTTTCTGCGCCCGTGATTGATCTTCTGGTCGGACGTGTAGACGGACTGGCTCGAAGGAGGCGATTGTACCGGCTAGATCGACGATTTCGCTACATGTGCGGTCGTAGAGCGATGGGAAGGTAGAGCAGCGTGAGGGGAAGCTAAGGATCGTGGCGAGGTGAGGGGTCGTTTCGGCGAGGTAGGTGTATTTCTTGTTTGGATTTGTTTCGGTGTGGATGGTTGCCGTTGTTGAGGCTCGTTGGTTGGCGTGCCAGGAGTTGTTGGTGGCGAGCATGGTGAGGGAAGTCTTGGAGAAAATGCGACGCGGATGTTTAGTGTTGATGCCTCGGGCAAGAGGAATTGATAGCTTGGTTTGCTGGTGTGGATGGGTAGTATAGCCCTAAAATGGTGTTAGCTCTGCCTGGGCATGATTCTGAGCTTTGGGTGTCGCATGGCTAGAGCTACTCACGTCGATGAAAGCTCGCGGGGGCGTAAATAGGCTTCGTTTAAGTGCAACTGGACGCGCAAGAGAGCGAATCGTTGGATACAGAAACCTCGACATTGAAGAGTATAGACCTTACGATTGCTCGCGGGGGGTGATAGGTATTTATGACCTCGAGTCCAAGGGACATGTTCACAAGGTAATAGCCCGAAGGGGATGTTCCAAGCGACGATAAAGTTGCCAGAGCTTTCTAGTTCGGCCGTTGGTCCAATAGGGCTACGATCCACTTTCTCATCGAACTTCTCTAGTGGACTTCCCATATAGGCACTTGTTTCGCAGCGATCCAGTTACACCTCATGGCATAGGCTAATAGGGTGCCAACTATTTGATTAAGCTCTTTCGGTGGCTCGACCCTTCCCCTTTTTGTATCACGATTGATCAAGCGCTAGAAAGATAATGGACTTGCTTTCTCATGCTGTCTTCAATGACGATACGACGTTGAATATGCCCCACTGGCGATACTCCACAAATTTCCCCCAGAGGCGATCCAAGGAACACCCTGCAGACATTGACTGGGTCCCGGAGTCCGCGGGCCCGAGAGCTTCTTACATGCTATGCTACAACAAATAACTACGCGTAAGTCCTAGTCACTATACGTCCCTATGTTTTGATACGAAAGCCCTGATTAGGAAGCTCGATGGAATCAATAGTACCATAATAAGTTGACAAGTAAAACTTTCGATTCAATTTTCAAAACGTAGGAAATCGGATGGATGAGGTACATACAAAAGTCCGCGGACCCCGATACCGTCCCGTCCCCCGTCCTAAGCAGGAACCGTAGCCAAGTGGGAGGAAATCACTAGAAAAGTCAACTGTCTGTCTACTTCCATTTGCTGCAATGATTGTGATAAATCTGAGCCTGCAATTGGTTACGTTCCCTTACATGAAGCGGCTATTGTCACTGCCCTGCACCGTAATGCCTGAGGCAGCAGAGCACTCGTATCTATTTAAACATTCATTTCCCTCCGTTAACACCTCCATCTAATTATCCTCCATTCCGAGTGCTAATAACTCTTTAGATCACTGGAAGTTGATTTCCTTCAATGTGTCATCAGTTGATCGGCATGAGGCGCTGATATCAGCTGGCTCTATTCATATGATACCAGGCTGGGGCATTCAGTACTCTACGTGTCTTCTGCCTCGCTACTTACCCCCACGAACTACAGGAAAAGATTTTATTGGAGTGAAGACAGCATTGTTTAAGTTGAGCTATCGCAGAGATCCGACAACGAGAATTCCGACCGTGACATTAGAGGCCTGCCTGCTAAACCTCTAGTATATGCATATATGGACCATAGTATTCCCCTAACTTAACCTCTTTCAACATTTTCCCGAGAGGTAATAGCTTACTCAATATCGCCAGTGCGAGCAGACTGGCAACTAAAAACCCTCAGATACAGTCAATTCCCCATAAAAGACAACTCTCATCAAGCACTCGACTACCCAACCAAAGCCCGCTGCGCAATCAGCACCAAATCATCATTACTCAACGTATCCTTCTCAAACCCACCAACAACCTGATCCAGCATGGCAGCCGCAATATCCGGCAATTCAATGTGCGGGACACCCGGGACCTCACGCTTTTCCGCCCCTGGAGCATCAATGAGTCCCGGCTTCACGACGCAGGATTGAACTGCTCCTTGCGATCGTTCTGCGTAGTTTAGGATCAGCGTCTCCGCCTCTCCCTAGGCAGCGTTAGCATCGTATGTACCTCTCTCTCTCTCTCTCTCTCTCTCTCTCTCTCTCTTCGGAACGCGAATGAGCCTGGAAGGGCTTGGGCGAGAGGCTTAGTTTTGCTTGTACGTTGACGTACCCGTAGTAATGAGTAATCACTCAGGCCGCTATCCCGTAGGACAGCGGGGATTTGGGCTCGAGTACGCTGCGATAAATGTCCGCTCATATAGAGGAAGCGTAGTGGTTTCCCCCTGGGCTGGGGTTGGCGGAGGGTGTCCAGGGTTTTGACCGCAGTGGTTGCGTAGTCGCGTGAGATCTTGCATGTTTCTTCCCATGGGATTGTGCTGAGCCTTTTGGGCGTTATGGCGATGGTCCTTGTTAGTGGGTTGTTAGTCTGGTCATGGACTTGAAATGTCCTATCTCGTTACATAGCTCCTGTAAAGAGAGAACCCAAATTCAAGCAAGTCGGGATGGAGATCAAGGTCCTACCAGATACAAGCATCTGCATTCTCAAGTTCGCTCTTCACGTTGTCGGGATAATCCTCAAAGTTATCACAGACAATGATTTTCAGCTTTGCAGCGTCAGATCCAGTCTCTGGAGACAGTTGGGCCTCGCGTCGACCGAGGGCAACGATCGAGGTTATTGCAGGATTTTTAAGGGCCTGAGAAAGGACTTCTGTGGCGACGTAGCCAGTTGAACCGCCAATGACGAGCTTCATGGTGATCTAGTGACAATAGTGATGCTGAAATGCTGGATGATTAGGAGTGCGGGGTGGTTCGAGAGGTGAGATTCTGATGGTCAGCTTGAGGTAGAGGGAGAATGGGGCGCCTGAGGGGGTGGGATTTGGACCCTTGGACGCTTTTCGTGTCAGAATGGGCTTGGAGGGTGTCATTTGGTATATCTGCTTGGTTAGTCGTGGACAATAGACTGTCCATCAATATCACTGTGGTTCATCAGTATAGCATAGCATGGTAAATGTGTATAGCTCCGAGCTGAGGCCCTGGCAATCTCATCTGGGACAGATTGGATTAATGATAGATAGTTGGAACGTGGGAGTACATTCGACTTGAATTGATTCGTTCCATGAACTGGTCATGCAGTCGACTATGTCAACAGAGTCTGTTAGGGCCAAGAATGGGTATGAAGTAGAATGTAAAGATCAATATGTTGGATAACAGACAAAGTGTCGGGGAAGACTATTGGTCCATTTTGATCAACTTGTCCCGACGACTTTAAAAATCCTCCCCGCCCGTGCAACCACTGAGAGGCTACACCAGATACGTGACCTCGAACGCGAGCTGATCGCGTTTCCCCGCGACCATCAACCGGTGGAGATCGCCGACCGGAGGGAGTGCGGTGCCTGAATTCCAAGGGATTTGCTTTTCCAGCGGGATTCGCAGTCAAAGCCCGCAAGGCACGCTCAAAGCACACCCCAACTCTGTCAAATCAGCGCCCGCGGGTGGGCAGAGTGGGCTCGGGCGCCGGAAATTCGGTGGTCGGGAGTGGAAGATTGAGGCTGCTAGGGGGATCCACTGCATGTTTCTGCAACGGGAAAAGGTTCACCTCTTGGGAAACCGGGTAAGATCCGGAAGTCTGGGGAAACAAGAGAGAGCGATAGTTGGATTTCTTCCCCTCCTTTCGAGTTGGAGATGACGGTCCGCTCCCGTTAGTCATGGAGCTCAGCTAGGCCAACGGCCAGTCCAGGTATTTCTCCGTCTGGGTAAGTCCAGCACACAGAGCATGAAGCCCCCCAGACCAGGCCGTTGACAGGGCCGATAAGATTTCGGTGGGGATCGGCCACTCGCGGCCATCGGAGGTGCCCGATGCTTGGGGACTCGCTCACTTTCTTGTCGCATCAGCCCATTTGACCCGCGGTTGCGCAAAAAGATCGTCCCTAATAAATAGAACTCGTCCTGCGCTGTTTCTGAGATCCGACCAGACCTGCTTTGCCCTTCTTCCACTTCTCTCGCCCGTTCGCTATTTAGCCTGTCCGTGACAGCTCTACCAATCTCTTATCCTTCTTATCGGCCGACTATCTTCCCTAAACCACCATCATGAGCTCTCTCGCTGCTGCCCGTTACGGCAAGGACAATGTCCGCGTTTACAAGGTTCACCGCGATGAGAAGGCCGGTGTCCAGACCATCGTTGAGATGACCGTCTGCGTCCTGCTGGAGGGTGATATCGAGACCTCGTAAGTCCACGTTTCCGTTGAGCTCTCCACTCCACTATCGCACCCCCCNCTCCGACCGTCTCCGCGGGTCCAGATAGCTGGCGACAAATCGACTAACCTCGCAATTGCACCAAAACAGCTACACCAAGGCCGACAACAGCGTTGTCGTCGCCACCGACTCCATTAAGAACACCATCTACATCACTGCTAAGCAGCAGCCCGTGACTACCCCCGAGGTGTTCGGCTCCATCCTCGGCACACACTTCATCGAGAAGTACTCGCACATCCACGTTGCCCATGTCAACATCATCACCCACCGCTGGGTGCGCATGAGCATCGATGGCAAGGCCCACCCCCACTCTTTCATCAAGGACAGCCCCGAGACCCGCAACGTCCAGGTCGACGTGACCGAGGGCAAGGGTATCGATATTCACTCCTCCATTGACGGTCTGACCGTCCTCAAGAGCACCGGCTCCCAGTTCTGGGGCTTCGTCCGTGACGAGTTCACCACCCTCAAGGAGACCTGGGACCGTATTCTCAGCACCAAGGTTGCCGCTGGCTGGCAGTGGCGCCGTTTCGCTAGCCTGCAGGATGTCAAGGCTAACACTCAGAACTTTGACTATGCTTGGGAGACTGCTCGTAACACTACCCTTAAGACTTTCGCTGAGGACAACTCTGCCAGTGTGCAGGCTACCATGTACAAGATGGGTGAGCAGATTCTGGCTGCCGTGCCTCTGCTCGAGACTGTTGATTATGCCCTACCCAACATTCACTACTTTGAGATTGGTACGTATTCTCTACTCGATTGCGATTGTGGGTGAAATGACCTTTTCTAATCAGTTTTCGTGAACAGATCTCAGCTGGCACAAGGGTACCAAGAACACCGGCAAGGACGCCGAGGTGTACGCGCCTCAGTCCGGCCCCAATGGTCTCATCAAGTGCACCGTGGCCCGCTCCGGCCCGAAGGCCCGCCTGTAGATCGGGAATGCCCGAGTTTGGAGTTTCTAGCATGCTGCTTTTCTGTACATAATGTCATGTCTATATATCCCAATGGGCGTGCCGCGACACGACTCAATGTCACCTTGGAACACATTTTTTCTACTTCCAATATGATTTTGCTTTGCTATAAATACATGCCAGTGGGAATGAACATAGCGCAAGAAAGGTCAAGGTAGTTAGAACAGGGATGTCAGAAAACAAAAAAGATAGATAAAAAGGTCATTCCCAAATATTGGACTCCACACCCATGCGCTTGCGGTTTGGATCATAACGCAGAAAAATAATTTACAGTACACGGACAGATCCGGGCTGGAACCCGGTATTCAAGTTGTAGACGACGAGACAGAAGAGAGAAAGGGTAGGTGTCTATGCGGATGGCTTGGCCTCCTTGAAGGCAGCTTGGACCTCGGGCTGGCCCAAGATCGATTTGTTGCCGAACTTGACGATGTTCTCCTTGTAAGGATGCGCGAGGCCCTCGAAAGCTGTAACGAAATGCGTTAGATACCAATGTCATCCGAAGCTCTGCGCAGATATCAAAACTCACTCTTCAGACGAGCCAACCGCGGCTCCTGCAGCCGGTTCTTGGGCAACATGCCCTTGACTGCGCGGCGCAGAACTTCACCACCACCCCACTTCGCAAACATCTGATCCATAGTCATGCTCCTCAGGCTACCGGGGCGAGTCGTGTGGGTATAGTACATCTTCTGGAAACGCTTCTTGCCGGTTGTCCGGAGGTCGTGACAGCCGGCGACGACCACGTAGTCACCGCAATCTGTCGAGGGATCGTAGATCGGCTTGTGCTTGCCCATGAGAACGAGGGCAATCGATGAGGCCAGACGGCCGAGGGAGCGAGGGTCAGATCCGGCATCGACATAGTGCCATGCTCGAGAGTAGGCAAGACGGGTCTAGACAATGCATATAGGGTCAGATATAGGAGTTATATTGGAGGTATTGGACGGAGCTTGCGCCGCAATTGCTAGCACAGGATTGACTTGGCGCACCTTTCCGACCGTCTGCGACATCTTGAATAGAAACTAAATCAAGAAGCGTAGAGAAATTCCCGGAGTGATAATGATATAATCCAACAAAAACACGAGGTGACCGCAAAAGACCTGCCAACCCGCTCAACCCCGAACTTTCCTGCCGCTCATCTCCGCCCGAACCTGGAACCTGGCACGTGACTCAAGCCCTAAGCCAATTCTTGCACTAACCATACTGGGACTAGCTCCCAATAAGCGAAACCCGCACGGAAGGGCAATTCAGGCGAATCGCCGTAGTGTGGGAATTCGTGGTCGACTTCTTTCCATCTCCCACGACAACACACTCCCTCCCCTATCGACACCGACAAGGGCCATATCACCCACCATGGCTTCTACCGCCCCGAGTGTGCAATGCTTCGGCAAGAAGAAGACGGGTAAGACCCCGTGATGGTCGCGCGAGATTTTGGTGTGGAGAGAACGTTTTGCTGATAATTCGACTTTGAAATAGCCACCGCTGTCGCCCACTGCAAGGTATGAAGACGCAGCCCTGATACGAAATCACACACACCACCCGCTCTACAATCATTGCGTCTATTGGAATATCTCGAAGGACACATCGCTCGGAGGAAAAGGTCGCGATAAGGGAAATGGAAATATCAAGATCGAAAATTATGGAAAGACTGTGATGGATGTTGAAATTGGTGACGGGCGATGTGGATTTTTGGAACACCCATACAGCGCAATGATGGAATGATACGGGTGATATCTTTCGGAATATACGGCATACTGAGACTTTTTCAATCTTACAGCAAGGCAAGGGCCTCATCAAGGTTAACGGCCAGCCCCTCTCCCTGGTCCAGCCCGAGATCCTGCGCTTCAAGGTACGCTTCCTTCTATCGCCCACCCTCTACAACTCTCTGCCGCGACAACGAATGGAAAAGTCACTCAGCCAAGAGGTGACCCCGACGTCCAGACCCGGCAGCGAGGGACAAACACATCAGTCAACAAGAACCATATTTTTCTAACGTCATTTCTTCCTCTACGAACAGGTCTACGAGCCCCTCCTGATCGTCGGTGCTGACAAGTTCGCCGGTGTCGACATCCGCGTCCGCGTCACCGGTGGTGGTCACACCTCCCAGGTCTACGCCATCCGTCAGGCCATCGCCAAGTCCATCGTTGCCTACTACCAGAAGTACGTCGATGAGCACTCCAAGAACCAGCTCAAGCAGGCCTTCGTTCAGTACGACCGCACTCTCCTGGTCGCCGATAACCGTCGGGCCGAGCCCAAGAAGTTCGGTGGTCGCGGTGCCCGCTCCCGTTACCAGAAGTCTTACCGTTAAATTTCTTCTTTTTTTTTGTGTACTTCCCCGTCTATCATATTGTGGTTTATGGCAGCGGTGGATCATACCAAAAAAGCAAAATTAAAAAAGAGAAATTTTATGCAATGTCAAAAACGGTGCTCTCTTTCTGTCATGGGAATATGGGAAAAGAACAAAATATTATTTGGGAGTGGTATTCCACACTCTCATTACGAACTTTTATTTTTGCTCCTCTTTCTCTTTGTTCACATGGAGAAACTTCTGCGTGGTGGGTGGTTTGATACGGGGTTGATGGTAGCGTTTGTCATGAGCGGTTGGAGATCAGTCGGATATCGGTTTTCATGAACCCGGGTTGCCGGTAGCTGGCTGGTTGTGAAATGTGGGTGCGGTGGGCAAGACGGGATTGGAAATTTTTATCCCTAATGTCTTTTGTGTTCTTTCACTGGCGCTGTTTTGTACGGCTGGAAAATATCCCTAGCATAGGCCAGGAAAATCTGCTCAAATTAACACCGGGTTTTTTATGTTCGTTCAATATGGTACATGACGTAGTCTGGTATTGGAGGACATATATATGGGTATGATCTTGGCCCAGCTAATGTAGCCCTTTGATGGAAGGAGCTACTATATGGTCTCTTTATTTCCACGGATATCTGACGTGAGCAACATACGATCTTGATAATTCCATGCCTCGCATTACTGGTATATACCGCTAAAGATCGTCTCGGATATTCCTGCATTTCTTCAAGGCTGTGTCCTCGAGACAGACTCGCCCTCGCTACTTGGAAATTCCCGTCCCCATATCCCGCCAACAAATCGAGGAGGCCATTCAAGTTCAATCCCACTTCACGAGGCCGCCACCCAAGTACAACAAATACAAGAATATATCATTTTAAAAAATCCGAGGTATGAAAGTTGTAATTCTGAAAGACAAAATTCTGCTCGATTCAGATATCATGTTCGTTGGAATGGCAAAAATTCAGAAAATCCCGTCTATCCTAGTATGGCGTCAAATCCATCAACTTCCTCCCAAAGCTTAGATGCCCTAGAATGCAGAGAAAGCGTAAGATGAGGCCCACGTCTAAATCTCGTTGTCATCGTCGTTATCTTCCTCGTCGTCATCCTGGTCCATCTCGAACTCGTCCTGGGAGAGCAACTCGAAAGGGTTGTAGACCGGGCTCTGATACTTCTTCGACGCCCTGGGAAAAGCCACAGCAGCAGGACGACGTATCTTCGGGAAAGACTCGGCGCACTCGTCCTCATAAAAGTCAATCCGCATGTCCTTGTACAAGGCACGGGACTTCAAGCAAGTACGGGCGTACAGCGCACCACCCGCTGAGCTTGTCGAGATGTAGGCGTTACCATCCTCGAATTGGATGGAGATGATGGTCAGGTTGTGGATGTGATCTAGTTCCTGGCGGAGAGTCGCTTCGGTGACCTGTGCATTGACTTTCTTGATTACCAGGTTTCGGCTAACGCCGCCGTCTCGAACTTGCTGGTAGACGTACTCGGGGGCGATGTAGCCGCGTGGGGCCCATTTGACAGTGGTCTGTACATGATGTTAATATCTTGTATCCGATATCAACCTCAAGCTATGTAATGATGCAGAAACAATTTCGTATGCATAGAAAGAGGGAATGATCGACGGGCTAGATAGTTACCTCACGACCGGCGACAAAGAAGGGAGTAGAGTCGGTGTGGGTCACGAAAGCGACGGCATGCTCGTGGTTGGCAAAGGTGATATTGACCTGGTTGCTACGGCGTTGAAGGTAAATCTGGATCAAAGCCCCGCCTCGTACAGCGGCAGCGACCTGGGCGTGGGTCACTGGGACTGGGGGCAGCAGGATGACGCTGTGACTAGGCTTCTGGCGAGACTCAACCTCGTCCTCCGATTCCGTGGTATGCACGGCGCTAGACTCATCCAGAGCGGATGCAAGGCAATCTAGGTCAAATGGTTCACCACCGTCCAGGCCGGGGTGACCAGTGCTGGCGAAGTTTCCTGTGGATTGGATGTTAAATTGGACCACATAGTCGGATGGAGGTCTCACAGGATTGATTAGCATCTAAGATGAGGAATTTAGCGGATAATATTCATCTTTCTGAAGTGGAGATGTGTCTTACACCCTTGGTAGCAAGAGGAGCAGGCTTGAGAGTGGCGCGCAGTCTGTCTATAAGTAATTTGTCAATTGAAATATTCCTTTTGCAATGGGTTGCGTTAGGCCCAAGTGGTAGAATATGGTAGATGATCTTACTCAGCTCTGCAGAGTCCCGAAGCTATAGAGATATCAGTTAACAAAACAGGTCGAAAGGTTGGTTCGATGAGAAAAGATGACTTGAAGAACACAGTTCGAGGATTTTTGCTTTGAGAAGAATGAGTAGCTTACTAGCTTGCGGTACTCCTCTGCCGTGATGGAGACAGTGTTTGGCTTGGCAGGCTCACCAGAGTTGCGCTTGAAAAGAGACATGCTGGAATACAGAGGAGATGATCAGTATCTCTGAAGTATAAGTGTCAGGCAGTTAGACGGGATGTTGATACTTGTCCGTTGCGAGTGTCGAAGCCGAGGATAAAGACAAAGAGAATGAGTGGGAGAAACGGACAGCGAATATTCAGAGAAAGATGTTAGAAAATTTAGAGACACGGTATCGCGATCGATATATGATTGAATCTAGAGATGCACGTGCTTTAGGGAAAGCACCCTAAATAGGAAGTCGGAGAGGATGGAATTTGGGCAATATGGGGGTCCCGTGTGCGAGAAGGGAGCTCACCAGGTCATAGAAGAGCTGAGCAGTGCTAATCAGGTTCTCAAGAGAGGATGAGATCGAAGAGGGAGAGGCTGTGGATGATTTTGAATGAGAATAGATGCGCATAGATGGAATGAGCGATCAGATAAGATAGTATAGCTTGTAAAGAAGGGATCGGGTTTTCCACAAGGTTTAGAGCGGAAAGTTCCTTATACTTATTGATGTTTATGATCGCGAGGGTATCGCGACGCGCTCCACGTTTCATGGTTGGAGAAAGATAAATTCCGTTTAGATTGAATTAAATCCATCTTGCACCAACTTGTGATTGGAATAATTGACCTTCAAGCATCTTATATCATTTTCAGGCTACATAGGCATCTGGACGCATGACCCTTGTGGTTGATAAATCTACAGGGTAGCCTGAGCGAGTTGACTTTGTGAGATATCGCTCGGTTATTCGAGACTGGTTGCTCACTGGAATTGGTGTGAAATTAGCTTAAACATAGAACAGCAGCTCATAGTGCAGGAATTAGCTCCTTGTCCCTGTTTGTTTCTCCTCTCGTCCTCTATCTGTCTTTTGATAAACATGCTGACCGGATTTATGAACAACCAGTCTACAACCTCTGGGCAATGGATAGAGAATAGGAAATATATTTCGTAATTGGAACAAGAATCCTTTTTGTTTTTATTTGTTATCTTTTAGATAAAATCAGAATATCTAGAGTGATCGTCAAACGCCCAGGGTGCAGGGCGTTGAGATTGTACAAAGGCCTGATCCCCTCGTTCGCATTTGACTTAGGGCTCATTCTGATGTCTTGACTTTCCGCTTCTTTGTTGCAGGCCGGCGCCCTAGGCTCAGAGATGTGTCATAATCCACGCCCTCAAAAAGATCCACAAGCCGGTTGAGCTTTTCAACGACCAGAGTACCTTCACTGAAAAGGTACCGTAGCCTAGTTCCATCTCCCTTGTCTGTATCTGCAAGAACTATAAGGCGGCTTGCAGGATCTGTTGTCAGGGCCTTAGAAGCATAGCATAAGTCGGTTGGAGTGTCGAGTAAGATGGGCCTGAGGAAGGCCATTTTTCCATGAACAAGACCGCAGCCATTGGACTGCTCGGGCTTAACAAGATGTTTCAGACAGTGTTTTGTAAGGTTGAGGTTGAAAGGATAATCACCATACGATGCTGTATAGTAGCCCCAATTGTTCTGTGATATTTTGCATTGTTTACCGTAAGTGAGGAAATCGAGCGCTCTGTTCCGAGCGTTCTTCTGGGCCCTGTAATAGCTTTTGGGTCGACCAAGATGTAGCTGATCCCGAGTCCTGCAGCATTTCTCGAAATGTTTCCACCAGATTGCTTGCATCTTTGGGTCGGGATGGACTCGAAGAGAATTATAAGATAGTGCAATCTCCTGCGCCCATTGGCGCCGAGCTTCATTTGGATCATGAAGCGCTGTAGAAAATTCCTCTTTCGTCATCTTCATATCAGTATTGAAGATCTGACTGGAAACATATCCTTGCCTTAAAGGGAGAGCCACATTGAGGCCTCGGTTTGCCCAACGTACTGGAAAACCTTCAGGGAGCCAAACTAAAGGTCACGAGACTTAAGGGTCTGTGTGATACAGGCTCCAAAAATCTCGAGAAGATTAAGGAAGAGCTGCTCAGAGCTATTTTGTGGACCATGAGACACTGTACTTAGTGTCACGAAAATAGACTCAAAGCCGTCCTGTTCCTCAATTTCCTCCCACACTTTGTAATGTAATGATGGATATTTGCGTCGTTTCTCGGGGTCATTGTGTTGGTACTGAATCCGCTCCGAAAGAGACACCGCTTGGCCAACATAGAGATAGAACATATCAGGAATTCGTAGGATATGGAGATAGACTTCGGAGCGGTCATCATTCTCAGGATTACCCCAATTCCGATCAAGCTAGGATAGATTAGCTTTATTCTCATCCAATAGGAATAGGATAGAGATACCTACTCATGTAATGTGATTGAGTCCTTCTCGAAAACCTTCGACGCTGCCGGGGTTAAATGACCGCAGAGACCCTCCTCGATTCATGTAGAACACTTCAAGAAATCCCCATAGCGCTTCCGCTGGGTCTCGTTCAGTTGTATTCCCCTAATGATAGACTCTGCAATGAGCCTAAGGGGTGGCTTGGGTAAAACGGGGTCTAGGGTTAGAGTGTGGGAAACCCGACGGGGGAAGCTTTTGTCGGCCATAAAAGAGGAGATGCGTCCATCTGGAAGCTTTCGAATCTCTTCCAAAACCGCCTTGGCATATTTTGCCATTTCAGGATCAAATCCAGCTAAATCATTTAGCTCGGTCTCTTCCTCGACGGCGGTCTCTTCCTCGACGGCGGTCTCTTCCTTGACGGCGGCCCGTTCCTCGAAGGCTATTGTCTCTTCTAACCACCCTTGCCAGTCAAACGTCCACTCTTGCCAGTTAAGTGGGATCTTCCGGCATGGACAGGAACTGGATCCGGTTTTTATGGGCCTATCCGGAGAGCGAGGGTAAGAGTAGAACATAGTTCCACAGCGCGGACACTCTGTTCCAGAAGTCAGTATAATCATTAAGCCAGTGCTAGTAGGTCACGAACCGAAGATTCCTGTTATTCGTGTGCCCAAGATCTCCTTGGAGGCCATATTGGATGGGTTTTGCTTAGCAACCAGCTTCCTAGGGTGTGCGAAGACTAGAAGCGAGAATGGGAGTGGGAGGCGGAGAATTGGATTCAAAAGTGTGAAGGTTGAAAGTCTGATGGTTTGAGTTGGATGAAGATCAACCACCCAAAAAGCGAGGGTGATATAGACGACACGACAAAACGGTGCATGGAATGACAAGGCTAGTCCTAGTGAGGAACGCCCCCTTCAATATGAAATGCTACATTCAAGATTACATAGTAGCCGCTAAGTCCTTATGTACACATAATCCTATATAATAACTCTGTCCACCAGTATTATCAGCGACTATCTACGCCAGCATCAAATAAAATTCATTTATCTATCTTGTTTGAGATCTATTCGCATTTAGGTGAAGTAGATAGCTTTTAAAGACCTTAGAGAAGACCTTAGGAAAGGGTGATGGTAGGAATCTTGGGGGACGTAGAATCATAATTAAGTCATTATAAGAACAAATATTATAGATAGAGGTTGCGTATGCGTTTGCTAATTGTTATGATATTTGATGAGGCTATTCGCATGTTGATATTGGTGCCTCAGGCCCGTGGGCCGAGGTTTCTGCCAAAGCCTCACTGTTTAGTGCGTATCTTGTCGTTTATGAATATGATGTCGGCGTTTCATAGGACGTCAGAACTTTGCCTCTATCTGCGTCGAGAGTTCTCTCCGGCTTAGAGCGGCGCTGCTCGTAATAATAGATTATGGTAATTAAGCCCTCTCAGGGATAAAAGCCATAATTACGACCGAGTCTTCGGCATCGATAGTCTAGGTGATTCTGGTATCTCCGTGCTACTCTGCCCCGGTTATATCTCCTTCCTTCTCATCAAGCAGTCGCGCCAAGGCCAGTACACGGGGTGACCGGGTACTGGAATCGAGACAGAGCGCAAAGGGGATGCGTACCGAGAAAAGCTAGGTGTACAAAATTGGAAAAGGTCCGGGTTGAGCCGTCCCTAAGTGATGAAACCGAATATTCGGAGTATTATACCGAAGTCGAGGCGATACACACTCGGCAATCTCTACGTAGCCGCGGATTTCGCCGGTACGTAGCTCGGAAGAAGCCAAAGATCACACAAGAAACCAAAGATAAGCGCCTTAGATTCGCGGCACGCGCATTAGACGGCTGAGGATTGGTCACGAATTCTTTGGACTGATGAGACCTGGGTCGGAACTAGTTCGAATGGCCGTGTACACGTCTCACGTACACGCAAAGAAGAACTGGATAAGGATTATCTTGGTCAGATAGTGGCTAAAAGACGTCTTGGATTTTTGGGGGTTGTTTCGAGGCAATTCAAAAGGGACCAACCTTTTCTAGGCAAAAGAACTTAGTGGTATTACTAGTGAGCAATATACCCAGCAAGTTGACCTATTGCTTTTCAAATATTGTAGGAGACAGTCGTTATGTAAGATAACGCACCTGCACACCGCGCTCGTGTAACACGCTAAACCTTCGAAGACTGGGGTATTTTCATGCTTGATTAGCCGCCCTATTCGCCAGACCTCAACCCAATTAAGTACGTCTGCGTCTGGAAGGTGATGAAGGATTGGATTCAGCGGTGGTATCAAGAGATTATTATCAATCTCCAGGACCTCTAGTGGATTATACAGCACGTATGGGATGAGGTAGGCAGGGAGGACTTGCAACGCAATCTGGATAGTATGCCACAGCGTATGCAGGATGTGATTACGGCCAGGAAGGGGAGGGGGGGCTACCAAGTGGTAGGCCAGTGAAACTAGCTAATCAGAATTGGTGGTAGTATGGCAGATTGGCAGTTTGGCAGGGTGTCTGCCTTTCGATCTGGACGGGTTCTAATCTTCATCAGTATGCTAAGCCATGAGTAATATCAGGGTAGGTTGACTGGGATGAGAGGAAAGGGATAAAAGGTGAAGCTGATATGTCTTTATAAATTCAACAGGCCAGCACATAACGGGGCAGTACATGACAGGGTAGCCGAGCGAATTTTTGGTTTTTTTGTGGCCAAGACGTACATCGATGGAATCTATTATTGGAATTAAGCCTGGTTTCAGGACTGCGATGCGCGATATATTATTGGTCGCCTTTTTTTCGATAGTCTGCATTGGAGGGTTATTACAGAAAGCTGTCAGTTACCATATGCGTACTGACAGATATACATTCACGCTCGTCAAGGTCACCTGAGATCAAAGCATTTCATAATTTATATTCAGAGTAGATCTTCAGCATAGCCCCTGCAGTATCCTTGAAGGGTTAAGTGCCCACCAAAGAAGACAAAGGCACATATTTCTCATTGTCGGACCACTGCAGTACACTAATAGAAAGTCTGGCAAGTGCAGATAAAATAAAGCCAACTTGAGTATAAAAGGTCTCCCTCGCCCTCGACCTACAACTCCAGCAATTCCCCAGCCTAAGGCTATCCTCTTCATTCCCAATTACCATCTGCAATCTCCCAGGTCAGTCCTAATTGCAGCTTTCGACTTTTTCTTTCAACTACCATTCAGTTCCCAAACATCCAATCATGGGCGACTCCAATAAAGTAGAATTCTTGAATTTCATCGGCGATGCCATCGTCAATCTGGAGTGCTGGGGCTCTCGTAAAGGCGCCCCACGTCGCCATGAACTGATTCGCAAGGTAAAAGAATTGGCTGATAAGATGCTAAATTATTCTACCTCGCTTCCACCGGGTGAGGTTGCAACCGCTTGCGAGAAGGTTGCTCGTTTCCTTATGATCATTAGGGTCAAGATTATGAAAGCAGTGCTCACAGAAAGGATCAAGTTCTATCTGAGAAGGGCTTTCCATTTCTGCGCCCATATCTTGTCTGAAGATCTTCCAGTGGATTACTCGAGCTGTCCTTGTTGTTGCAAGAAATGCGGCAAGAAAGGTACTAAAAACCATGGGGCCGAGACGAGCAATACGGTAGAGACGAGCAATGCGACAGAGACGAGCAATGCGACAGAGACGAGCAATGCGACAGAGACGAGCAATGCGACAGAGACGAGCAATGCGATAGAAGCCAGCAATGTGGTAGAGACCAGCAACGAGGCAGAGGAGAGCAGTGCAGTGGAGGAGAGCAGTGAAGTGGAGGAGAGCAGTGCGGCAAGTAAGTAGAACTCGGAGCTGGGCATAGTTCATGACGCTGCCAGGAGGAGATCGGAGTTTGTTCATTGTGATTTTTCTGTTTCATAATTCCACGGTGATTTTCTCATGTTGTTCTTTTGTGGCCTATTTGTCGGTCTTTTAATTCATGTCGGGGTCTGTCGTATCAAATCTAGCACTGTCATGGAAATATAGATCAGTAATTTGATAACCAATTTACTTTTCAAATAGATGAAACCAAAATCTTGCAAAGGTATCGAGGAGAAGAATCGCTGATCGAATAGACAACCCTTTGGTTAGAAGTCTCACTCATCCCCACTGATACCGTTATTTCCATAACTACAGACTTGAAACTTCCCGTTTCTCATGGAACTTAACCTTAGAAGTCATGAAACAATTGGTTCCTTTTCAGTCACCTAAATCTCCGTCCACACATTGCATTCATATTATTCAAGGTCTATCTCAGTTAACCGTTGGTCAGGCTACGCTTATGTACACCTGGAACTTGTAAGCGACTGTCTCGGTGGCTCTTTGACTACTGAAACACTAATGAGAATAGAAACATGGCTATTGTCTATTCGACAAAGAAACTGCCACAAAGTACTCTCAAATAAAGACCAAGGTACGGACAGCCAAAAGCGCTGTCTTCATGGGTTCGGTTTACACAAAGCCCTTCGGATGCGTACGACACGAAGGCTTCTGAGACCTCCAGAGCCCCAGAGCCCCAGAGCCCCAGAGCCCCAGAGATAAACCCCCCTTTATATACCCTGCTGTTGATCTGGGTCGGCTAAGTGCGTCCGCTTATCTCTGAACTCTCTACTCTCATGCGTCTTCTCTCGCCTGACTTGCCTACAATGAATTTGCTGGACGCCTTCAAACACCACATCGATCAATCCATCAAGCTGCTTACAACGTGGAATCGCGGTTTCTCTCATCCACCCTATAATCACATGGCAGGTATTGTGACCGACAAAATTATCGATGATCTGACTGAATATCTGGATCAATATGGAAACGAATCCAGTAAGTCATATCCCCATTATGATTATATCGTTTTCTTTGGCAACAAGGTCGAGGGATTACTTCTGCATGTCACAGATGAGATGTTGAAGTGCGGTGATGAGATTTCAATGGGACCGCCTGGCCTTCTTCCATCCGTCAAGAAAAAGGTGGAACATGCTATGCAGCATCTCTGGGTATTGAGGGGGAAGATTCGTCGTCAGCAAAAGTCAGAAAGGCGAGGTATGCTAACTTCTCGTCGCCGAAGGCAGCGTTCTCGCTCATGGTCTCGTGAAGATAAATCAAAGAAATCAAAAACACAATCCGATTGATATTATAAGACCGGACAGGGTAAGATTCTTTGTCATATTACTACATTGTGGATCGTTGACTAGTTAAACTTTGGGCATTATTAATGGAGAAAACTCTCTGTCCTTGTAAATCGATTTCCAGTTGACATTTTATTCACAATGAATCCAAACGGCTTCATAATTGAGATTGAAAGGGTCACTTGATTTATAGAATCATCGAGACCGTAGTGGATGACGTCTCTAGCTCATTATCTAGACTAGACTCTAATTGCACAAGTTTGCCTCGTATATATGGACATGTATACTTTAATTTGCACACAGCAGCCGAGTTCCAAGAGGGGTTGCGCATGATAGTCCGGGACTCTAGTTGCCATTAGCACGGAGTGATCTCAATGTTAACGAGAAGAAAAGCAGCACACGTCGTAGCCTGCTTTATGAGACCTCCTCTTCTGGACCACAGCCAGCCTTCCAGGGGACATCCTTAGCCATCACAACAGTCTCCCATCCGCCAGCCAGTTCCCGACTACTACCAGCGCCCAATTCCACCCCCTCCACATCCTCGCCCCAAGGCAGAGCATCAACATCAACCTCCCACCCCAGCAAGCAGCGAAGTATAACGCCCGCACCAGCCTTACTCATAACAACGTTCATATCCTTGCATCGCTCATCACAACAACATTCAATGCACCCCTGGGGCGAGAGACAGGGACAAGATTCAATACGAGCTACCGCTCGTCTTAGCAGTAATCCGATAAACTCGAACGCCTTGCTCGCAATGCCAGATCCACAAGATCCGCCCTTCGCATCGTAGAAGGTCAACCGTGCAGGTCGCTGGCGTGACGGCGGTTGGATCTTCTTCTCAAGCTCCGCGTTAGACTGGCCGGATGCATTGGCACGACGGAGCCCGCTACTAATCTCTTTCTTCGCAAGCTTACATTCTGTGCGAACGTCACCGGGAGAGGATATCACGAAGGATGGAAGGAGGGAGAGTACGGCGTGCTCAGCGGCGTGAATCGCGGCTGCAACGTTGAGTCTGTGCGATCCAAGAATGTCGATGGCTCGGGAAGGCACGTTTAGCCACATTCCTTTTGTGAAGAGGTCTATTGGGGGATTATCGACAGCGACGGCGTCGAGAATACGGCCACGCTTGTCAATTTTGAAAAAGCCATATACAACCGCGTGAATCTGCACAGCTCCGAAGAAAGCGCGGCAGGAATCAGGTCCGTTGCCGATGAGGCGCATGGCCTCGGTCTCGATCGGGTCAATATCCGTGTAATCACGCTGCATGGTGCTCCAATCAACATGTACGCGCAGGACGCGTGCAAAGTGGCGCTCCGGGTTGAGTTCCTTCACGATGTATGTTTGACCTTGATGTAGAAAGATGCCACCCTCATAGATAGTGAAAAATGCACGGGAGGCCTCGACTTCTTCGAGGACGACATTGCGATTATTTGTTGTGTCAATCACCGCAAAGTGCGTGTCCTCTGTGTCGCGAATGTTCACGCACCGCGATGGATGGGGCCGGAAGCGGTCGTGGCAATGATAGAAATCCATGCTATCTTTGATTAGGCGGGTAGCAGCGAGGGCAAACAGTTGCTCGCCGAAGTAGACATAATCTTCATCCGGGCGAATTGGCATCTCAAAGGCGGCACACTGAACGTGTCCTTCCTGAATGAGCTCATTTGACAAGTCAATTTGTAGCTCGCAATTCGGCCTTGTGAAAATCTCATCTGGATTTTGCATGTAGTGCTGGTCTGTTGGGTATCTTTCCCCAACGAGTACAGACAAAGAATCTTTGTTCCGTCGACCAGCACGGCCACTTTGCTGTCGCAAATTGGAGATTGAATATGGAAAACCAAGCGTGATCACCGCGTCAAGTGAGCCGATGTCGACGCCCAGTTCAAGAGCATTAGTAGCCACGATTCCCATCAATTTTCCTTCGAACATTTCCTTTTCAATCCGTCGACGGTCTTGGGGACTGTATCCGCCTCGGTAGCCCATGACCATCTTGCCAACTTCGGGTCGCTCGAGGGCTTTAAACTCACTGTGGACAGCTTGCAAGAGAATCTCGCATAGCCGTCGTACTCGGCAGAAAGCAATCACCCTTACTCCTCGAAGGACCAATTGGCAAAAAAGACGAGCAGTCTCCGCGACGCTATCAGCGCGTCCAGAGGTAGGATCAGCCGGATCCTTGAATGGAGTATTCCAGCAGATAAACTCCTTTCGGCCTGATGGAGACCCGTCATAATCCACAAGTTTCACGTCTCGCACACCAAAAATCGATTTCATGTGCTGCTCTGGGTTTGCAACCGTAGCAGAGCAAGATATAAATTTCACATGTCGATTTCCTACTGCGGCACAAACCCTTCGGAGTCGGCGCATGATATATGCTACATGGGACCCGAACAAGCCATTGTAAACGTGCAATTCATCCACAACCACGAACTTCAAGTTCTTCAAGAAGGCCCGCCACGCACCTTCCTGTGGAAGAATGGTAATGTGTAGCATGTCGGGGTTTGTGAAGATGATGCGTGCCTCATCTCGAATGAGATTCCGGCTACCCATCGGCGTATCGCCATCGAATGTTTCAACTATCGTCTGCTGCAAGCCGTCCATGAACTGCAACAGATCCATCATGCTACGTCGCTGGTCTTGGGCTAGGGCTTTGGTAGGGAAGATATACATTCCTCTACTATCAGAATCCTGTTCCAGTTCGTGCAGCATGGGAACCTGGTAGATGAGTGACTTCCCTGAGCTTGTTGAAGTTGATACAATCACATTGTGACCTTCGTATAGATGATTAATTGCCTCTGCCTGATGAGAGTAGAGCTGAGTGATGCCTTTCGTATTGTAAAGCGCATTGACAAGGTCTTGCGACAGCTGAAATGTCAAGTCACCATAGACGGGAGATTGAGCATCAAACACCCGATGTCCTTCTGGAACGATCTGAGCATGATACCACTCCATCTCCCGGATCTCGGCAATAATTTCTGCGATAGATTTGCGTTCTTTCGGTATCGTCATAGGTGCCTTGGCAAAAGCAGGAGTGTTTGCCTCACTGCCAGGGGGCGTAGGCAGGAATGCAATTTTCTCCTGTTCCAGAGTATCTATCGGCTCCAGTCCCTCATCTTCACAGCGGACAAGGAATGCGTCAATCGCATCGGTGAATTTGGTGTTTCGCTTCTCTATGAGGGCAAGCATCTGTTTCTGGCTATACACTGGCATCTTCAGGTCCTCATCCTTCATTCGGCGTGTAGGTTTCGATGGCTCTCCGGTTTTAGGATTCTGTACCTCCCGCTTGAGGTCGCCGTCCACAAATTCAAATAAGAGAACGTCTTTCCTCCCATCATTGTGATCCACGCTATTTTCGGCCAGGTTTTCGGTAGCGGGCAAGTCGCGACCCCCTCGTGATCCGTAGTCGACGCTTTCTCGATCGCCAACCGTCATGATCTCCAGCCGGGCTTCATCGACATATTCGAATCGCACCGCCCGAGGGACGAGCACCTTGACCCTCGCCACATCCTCGACTGTGAGTTCTCGCCCTTGGCCAAGCTGTGCCTGAACGGCCTTTTTGATATTGTCAAACGTCGTTATGAAGTGTTTTCGTGTGCAGCAGAATGTATAGACTAGGTTTAGAGCACGATGAGTGTGGGAGAGGCGTTTAAGCTCGTCTGGCCATGGCGCAGAAGGGGTTCGCTTTTTCGCAGCTTTGGATCGTGTCCTCGAGGCGGTCGACTTGTTCCCTTGGCCTTTACTCCTCTTCGTGTTTTTTCCGCCCCCCGTGGCTTGTGAATCTGACGCATCGTGAATGGAAGCGGTCTCTGCAGCGTTGTCGGCGCCGCTCACTGACGCGTTCGAGAATGGAGTTGCGGCGCGGCTAGCGGTCTGGTCGTCTCCATCGTGGCTCTGCTTTCGTTTTAAGGGGTTCTTAGTGGATGCATCCATAGAGTCCGTCATGTCGGCGCTCCATCACGATCGTGCACACGGCCGAGGGCGAATTGCGACGTGCAAGAATTCGTCGCGGATCGAGAAGCAAGGAAACGCGAGGTCACGTGAACCAATATAACCCAGTATGGTCATACATAGCACCGTAGTCGATGATGATCTTTAGAGCGTCAAAAAGGTGAGTTTCAAGGGTGGAACATAGTATGCTATGTGGAGATAAAAAAAATTGATTGCTCGAGTATCTCCCCCCCCCCCCCCTAAATGGTGCTGTTATAACTTTCAATCTACTTCCACAAGGCCCATGGCGTACTTTGCCTTGAGGGCAGGGGCTGAAAATGTTTAGCTCACCAAATTTGCCCATGCCTTCAACAAAATGAACGTGACATAATTTTCTGTATTATGTTCTCTCTTGAACTTTATAGCTCATTTGTCAATTTCTATTCATGTCAAACCCCCTCACAATATCCATACGTTCACGCGATGTGTAAACGTGAGCAGCTCAAATAAAAATTTACAGCAGCTTCGGGTATATCTGATAGACGATTACGTTCAAACAAGCATTGAACGCCGTTTCTCGCTATTTTCGGGTCGATTGACCTGTCGCTCTGATGCAGGTGTTGCTGGCCACCTTCCCAACATCATCATTCTTGATGCGCCGATTATCGGCACTTTGATAAAAAGTTCGGTCCGGTCATTTCGCCAAGCCTCGACCTTATTTGCCTACCAGTCAGCATGATCGGACTGCTATGACTCCTCCGATGTAGCATTGAGCGATATGATCATTTGAATTGGATCCGACAGTAGAAGATGGTATAGTACCAACTGCATCCTGGTTACCAACACGGCCCCTCGGATCTGCGCTCCAATCATGGTCCGCGCGGGATGCCCGTATATAAGACAGCTACCCCAACTCTCCGTTGTTCACTCATACGTACCTTTCCTATCACGACATGTCCATACGTATCCAAAATTCCACCAGAAGACTATTTCGCTTGTCCCAAAATACCTTCGCGGGACTATCAATCTGCCGCAAAGCAATGTCCACCGCCGCAGGATCGAAGGACTGGAGCGCGGCACAATACCTCAAATTTGCAGATGAGCGAACACAACCGGCTCGCGACCTCCTCGCCCGCGTTCCTCTCCAAGCCCCTAAAATAGTGGTCGATCTCGGCTGTGGACCGGGCAACTCGACCGCAGTCTTAGAGTCCCGCTATCCCAACGCGCATCTCGTAGGGATGGACTCATCCCCGGACATGATTCGCAAAGCCAAAACGGCTCTTCCACATCGCGAGTTCACGGTCGAAGACTTGAATTCGTATTCACCGGAAGGACCTGTCGATCTCTTCTTCTCCAACGCCGTCTTCCAATGGCTCGGGAAGGACGAGCGATTCAAAATTGTCAAGAAGTTGATGGAGACTCAACCTTCGGGCGGCGTGTTCGCTCTTCAAGTCCCCGATAATCTCATGGAGCCATCTCATGTCCTCATGCGTGAGACTGCCGAGAATGGTCCTTGGGCCAAGACTCTCGAGAATGTCGGTCGTGATACCTTCCAGACACCGCAAGAGATTTACGACCTGCTCAAACCGGTCTGTTCAAAAGTGGACATTTTCCATACCAGCTATTATCATAATCTTGATAACCATGCGGCTATCATTGAATGGGTTAAAGGGACTGGGCTGAGGCCATACGTGGATCCTTTGTCCCCCGAAGAGAAAGACGGCTTCTTGCGAGAGTATTTGAAGCGATTGGAAAAAGCCTATCCATCGACATATGATGGTCGAGTATTGCTTCCTTACCCCCGGCTCTTCGTTGTTGCGGTCAAGAAATGATTGGCCAAGAAATGATTGGCTAAGAAATGAATTGCATGTAATTATCGTTCTTCTCTGATGTAATATCGTGGTATGGCCTGCTTGGTGATCCCAACTATCAACGAAGGAGAATTTCTGGAGTAGCACTGTGAGACTTGATATAATGATGATCAACAGCAGAGACATAAAGAGAGACTCATATATCCATTTGCTAAAATTGAACTGCATCTGTCAAACTAGAATGAGATTGAACAAGAAAGATACGAGCATTGGCACTTTAAATTCCCCGGGTTGCGAAATACTGATGGTTAGTTCTACGCCACTTTAGAAATAGCAGTATGTGCCAGAGGTCTGTTTTCGTTCTCTATCCCACGTCTACCATCGTCTTATTATCTCACAAACCTCCTTGGTACCTATGCCCGCGAGACAGACAACAGGAACCCGGTTTTGTGGGGCCTGTATTAGACCGGACCCCTGGATTAGACCGTACGGCTTCCCCCCTTAGAAAATTATGTGGTAAAAGCTTTTCGATATGGATGGAGCTTTCAGGCCATGCAACTGGGCTTGCCCAGTGGTAATCTGCTTCTCTGCTGGTCTATCAGTCTGGTCGTAGTACAACCTTGACACATAGCAGAAAAGAATGCAGCATCGAATATCCACGGAACACATCCACGCAGGAAATCAGTTGATGCTTAATGAAAAACGCAATGACAGCAGTCAAAAACAGATGAGATTCGTAAATTACCAGACGCTAATAATCACAAAAGCCGCTCACTCATAGTGGTAGCGGTGAAAACTCCATGTGCACCGATCCCCAATTCCCCATGTCCAATTTGCCAAGTCTTTGTGTTGGACTACAGCCTCTATGGTTGGTATCATGTGCTTGTCTTTTCCGCATTTACTCGCCGTCCAGGAGATCCTTGATGATAACGTAGAGATCCTTCGCGAGGGCCTCGTTTCCAACCTACATAAGAGTCAGTCAGCCTATCACGGAGAATGCCTGTGTGAGTGATATGACTTACGCGCAAGAGCAAAGGCACGGTACGTCCTTCTTCATTGCTGGCAAGGAGGATCTGCTTGGAGGTTGGTTCTTGGTTCTTTGCGTCGCCAAAAGTCATACCCTTGAAGACAGGGCTGTTCAGCATGACGCGCAGAGCACCGTCAGCACGCATAATCATGCGACCATGTTGCTTTCCGGTCTCGCTTGTGCGCGAGTTAACCTTGAAAGTTCCCACACCACGCTCTTTCCACTCGCCGCTGCTGAAGTGGAAAAGCTTGCCTTTGCAGGTGAAGAGGTTTTCTTCTTCTTCCTCACCAGTCTCAACTGTGACGATGAAATTAGTATAACTGATCAATTGGAAGGTATCTGGAGGAAAAACGAACTGGTCTGTTCATAGAAGCGCTCGTCGGTCTTATCAGCCTCGAACGCGGTGGTCTCCTCGCCAGACTCACTGTCGCTTCCCTCGTCGCCAGACTCATCAGCGCCAATAGGCTTCGATGGCTTGGACTCGCCGCCAAGGGTCACAGGGGCGTTGGGAGATGCGAAATTTGTCAAGCCGCCGGACTTGGCAGCAGCAGCGAAACCACCGCTCACGCCCGCGAAACCACTTTTCAGGGAACCGAAGCCAGAAGTTGATGAGGAGCCGAAGCCAGACATTCCGGAGCCAGACTTAAAGACCGACGATTTTGAGGAACCAAGAGAGCCGAAAGGGGAGTTATCGGAACCAGCAAAGGAGCTCAGAGCCGAAGAGGCAAATGCGGAGGTCGACGCGGGTTTCTCGGCGGTTGAAGTCGAAGTTGACCCACCAAGAGAAGCGAATGGTGACGAGGCAGCCGCGTTGGCGAATGCACTTTTAGCGAAAGCCTAAGGCAAAAGAGATGAGAAGCTGACCAGGGAAGACCATGGGGGAAAGGGAAGAGTGACTAGAAGACTGAAGGGCTTGCTTTGAGAACTTACATTGGCTGTTTGGGTCTCACGCTCCTGCGAATTATCGCGGTGGCGCTTGTTCTCAGTCTTCTCGGCCTCCTTTGCGCCTTCTTCCTGCAGCTGTTCTAAGCTTCGCTTCTTCGGCAGGGCTTTGGCGTCGTCATCGTTCATCGCGTCGGCAGTGTCGAGTTTCTTAGGATCCTGTGAATATGTGTTGGTGTTATCACTCTCAACAAAGAACCAGGTCTCCTGGCCACTGGACCAGCCACTGGATGACGCCTCGCTAGGAGAACGCGCGGGTTTCTCAGTCTGTGCCCCAGGAATTTTCGACTCGGGTGTGTCTTCTCTCTCAACAAAGCACCAGGTCTCTTGGTCACTGGACCAGTCACTGGATGACGCCTCACTCAGGTTTCGAGCGGGGTGTTCAACCTGCGCCCCAAGAATCTCCGACTCGGGTGTGTTCTCACGAGACACCGAGAGCCCAGGAGACTTGAGCTCTGAAGAGTCCAGGCCTCCTTCATGAGCGTGACTTAGTGCTGGAGTCTGAGCTTCCTCCTCGGATTCAGATTCCGAGTCCGAGATGGGAATTACGTCGACAGAAACGGGCACTTTTGCAACCTCCAACTCAGACTCAGACTCAGACTCAGACTCCGAATCTGAGGAAATCTCGATGATTTCAATGATTCCGTGGGGCGCGTTGAAATCCTCGGGCTCGGAATCCGAAATGACAATGACCTCAACGTCGGGGCTGTCGAATGTTCCAGGGGAAGACTCATCCGTGGCCAGGTCCTTGGGGGTGGCAGGTACGGGGTCCTTAGGGTCGGGCTCACTCACGTTGTCTGATCCAGGCACTGCGGCGCTGTCCTTCTTCGCATCTTCTGGAGTGCTCTCGCGCGATCGTTTGCGGGGGCCGTCGCCGTTCTCGATGGCGTCGTCGGTATCGCCGCGGGCTTCTTCGAACGATCGCTTCCTGCCGCTGCCCTGTTCCGGGGCCGATGCGGCGAAACTCGAGTCTGCAGAAGTAGCCATATTGTTGGGGGAGTCGATCGACGTCTCCTTCAGTTGATTACGGACGGGGCGCTCGTCGGTGTCGGAGGGCGGGGAGCGGGCGTCTCCGCTGGTCACTGTCGAACAAAGAATTCAGTCAGTTCTTGAATTCTGAGGCGAGGGTGTAGAGACTGCTATAAATATAGAGGTAGTCATAAAAGGACACCAGGGACCCGACACTTGTCGTCTAGTCACACTGATAGCCACTGGGTCTGCAAGGTCTCTCTGGTGCTTCGACAGGGCTCCATGCGATATCGGCCAGTGTGCGAACCGGCTACGATTCATGCCCTTGCGCATGAGGCGCATAGGGGAGGATATTGTGATACTCACGGTCAGCAGGAGCCTTCTGCTCGTCCGACGCGGAGACCATGGTGGACACTCCGCGAGAGCAGGGAACGTTGGGCGAGTCCAAGTGGGTAATGCAGCTACCCACGGCAAACCAGCTGTGAAGCTGGGATAGGATGAGAGGAGGGGAACGTAATCGAACCGTGAGTCTAAGTCGGAGATTCAGACCAGCCGAATCGCGTCAAATCCGAGATCACGGGTGAGAATGTGGGTTAATTAGGAGGGGAGAAGGTTCGAGTGAAGAAGAGAACCGCCGAATATAAGTGTTGTTGTCCCGGTCACCGCTCCGCCCCGCAATGAACCATGAGCTAGGCACGGCGGAGAGGGCTTGCTACCTACACATGTAGTCCGAACAAGCATGACTTGGAGCCTTTGCTTAGAGTTCTACCTGATTTCATCCGAAGTCGTTGCCTTCATCTACTATGGCTCTATAGCCTACCACCTCGCATTCTGCCCGAAAGAGGATAAGCTTTGTGATTCATTCGAATCTTGACTTGTGCTTGGGTCAGGTGTATGTGTACAAAGGTTGATATTCATTACAATAAATGAACTGAATGCTTCTGACTCATATCCCAAGATTGGGTAAGACACCAATCTTTCAGGCCTCATAGTTTTGCTGAGGGCAATATCATTCAAATCTTCCATAGCTAAATTCTCTCCCTCTGTGTTTGCTTCCTAGGCCCACAAAGGTCATACTATCTTCGATCAAATGCTGACTGACCATGCTAATCATCTGATATGGCTACCTACACAGTGAATGTACAGTCGTGATGACTTGCTAGAAGGTCCCTAAGGCTCACATCTATACTCAGGCTAGTCTACCCATTCGAATTGGTAGCCTAGACTTGCTTGAAAGGAACGAGAATAACTGTCCCCCATAGCAGGTAGCACCCAAAGAAATGATGTTAGTAATCAAATTGAAGGATGAGAACAATCCAGCGTATTTAATGATGCAAAGAGAAATGTCGGTATTCTGGAAAAGCAGCCGCTACAGGGAAAATTGTGTACACGCATCAATCACAAATTCACGCGGAGGAAGCTTGAGTTCGATCCACTCGAGTCCGAACTCAACATGAAAAAGCGCAAAGTCCCTCGCTCTAGGCGAGGGCACGTGGGGCACTTTCACACTCTTAACTAATGAAACAGAGGCATCCAATCGCAATATAAAACACAAACAGGGGATATACCGCGATGCCGACACGGTTGCGCACCACGCCCGAGCCACCCAAGATACTAACGCCCGCAGCCAATGACCATGCTACAAAGACGAGGTAGACGGGTATTCTGGCAATTGTTGGAAGGCCCAAGGCACTAAGGAGTGCCGCAATGACCAGTGGGAAGAGTGTGTAACCGATGATGCAGATTGACTGGAAGAAGGAGCTAGAGATCAAGGCGCAAAGGTCAGTATAGAGCAAAATGGAACCGGGAAGAGTCAGTTTGATGCTCGGACACGTACATTTTTCCGCCAAGAAGCTTGATCTGCAGAGTGACCGCTGCTTCTCCGATCCAGACGATACAGAAGACACCGGAGAATACCAACGAGGCCTGGTCGCCCTTCGCGACAGATAGGAATAAACTCAGAACCAAACAGAAGACAAGCGGGCCCCTAAACAAACTGTTAGTCCCTAGTTACAGTCTCAACCTCTGAGTACTGTGATCAATGCAACGTACCAAAGATCCCAGTCGCGCAACCCTTCACTCATACCGCCCTGCAGAACCACATCGGCATCTGGCCAGCGACCTACGAACCCGCGCAGGTTGCGACCGAATCCAGATGCCTCGCCTCGCTCGGCGGCATCACCCATACCTCCCCCTCCGCGCTGCAGTATACCGCCCAGCAGGTATTTAGGCCAGAGCACCTGGCGCATCTTTTCCCAGACGGCGATCAGGTCGCGCGATAGGGTTGCCCACACGGTCTCATCGATGGTATTTTGTGTCGCGCGGCGATCCTCACCTGGAATCGAGGAGGTCAGGTAGTTGCCATAGCCGTCTACGCGGCTGCCTCGGGAGCCAGAGTCGGGTGCGATGTTGCCTCGCAGAGGGGCTGTGTCGGACGTGTGTAAGGGATCATCGGCCTCGATATCTAGCGCAGGAAGATGAATTAGCAAGCCAGAAATGCAGATAGTATCAACGGTGCATTTCTATGTCATGCAAGGGAAGAACTACCGTGGTCGGCTTCAATCAGGTCATCGTCCAGGAGTGATTCGTCGTCATGCAGGTCGCCATGAGAATAGCCTGGCTGGACGCTCGCCATTTTTATGAAGTATCAACGTCTTTTTATTGGGAACTGTGTATGTTCACAGCTGTATCATCGCTTCCTGGGCACAAGTGGGGAGGGTATGGGGAGTAGAGAAGAAGCAATGTTGATGAATGGTCAAGCTATCCTGGAAAGGCTAGAGTGGCATTACGCCGCGCGGGCTGGCGTCACCGCCCGGACTATAAAGCATGTTATTATTAGCAGCTCACTACATCCTTCAACATCTATTCAAAATTCTCAGGATGATACAGCATTCCTTTTCAAATTATCAAATGTACAATCTAAAGCTGAAATTTCTTCAATACTCTAGCCTTCCATCTATGGCTGCTCCTCTTTATACACATCATAGTTATACCGACTACCCTCGTGGTCAGCCCGAAGCTCCTTCTGGTCCTTACCATAAACCTTCTCACGAGCAGTGAGAGGCTGATCTGAATCAGTTGGCAATTCTGGGTACAGACCACGTTTTCTCAGCTCAGGAATGACAAGATCAATCAGATCCTCAAAGGTGCCCGGCGTGGTCACATAGCCAATATTGAAACCATCCAGATCAGCTTCACGAATCCAACGCTCCATCTCATCCGCAACGGTGGCCGGACTACCAATAGCCAGCGGCCCCAGGCCACCAATTGCAGCCTTCTCAGCAACCACACGTGGTGTCCACTTCGGGACGTCCTTGCTAGTCTTGAGCAACGAGTCAAGCAGACTAGTCACTCTGCCCGCTTCGAGCGAATCCGCCTCCGTGATCTCCTGATCCAGAGGAATCTTTGAAATATCAATCCCCGTCCAGCCACTGAAAAGAACCAAGCCACCGATCACCGAGGCATACTTCTTCAGCTCTTCGTATTTCTCCCATGCTTCCTCGTCAGTTCGTCCCACGATTGGCGTAAAAGTACCAAAGAACTTGATTGACTGAGGGTCCCGACCCTTTGCTGCGGCCAGTTCCCGAATTTTCTGCACTTTAGGACGGAGAATCTCTGGGGAATGAGAGGAAACGAAAATTGCTTCGGCGTGAGTCGAAGCAAAGGCCGAGCCAGCTGGCGACGTACCAGCTTGGAACAAGAATGGCGTTCTCTGCGGCGATGGGTCGACGATGTGGCGTGTGCTCAGGGAATAAAACTTTCCTTGGTGATTGATCTCGCGAACCTTGTCGGGGTTTATGTATGAGTCTGTCTCGGGGTCTGGAGAAAGCGCATCCGAGGCCCAGGAGCCATTCCAGAGCCTGTTGGTGGAAAGAAGCAGTTAGCCTCAGCCAATTATCCTGCCCGCTATCAATAGGGCATTTTCCGTACTTATAGAGGACCCGCAGATACTCATCTGCTTGGGCATATCGCTGGTCATGCTCAATGGGACTATCAATTCCAATAGCTTTGAAGGCGGCCTTCTTGTATGAAGTAACAATGTTCCAGCCTATACGGCCATTCGTCAAGTGATCCAGTGTAGAAAAGCGCTTTGCGAGAAGGAAAGGCTGCTCAAAGGAAGTCGAAGCGGTGATCCCAAAAGCGAGGTTTTTGGTCACGGCAGCCATGGCAGTGATGGGCTTTACAAAACAGTGTCAGTCATCATAGTCCCGGGTGATCCCGTCGTCTGCTGCTACTTACAATAGATGGGTCCGTAACCGGCCACTGCGCCGCTCGTCGAATGCACTCATCCAGTTTACCCTCGTAGGTATCATGGCCTCCCGTAGTATCAGCCAGGAACAATGCATTAATGCCGCCGCGCTCCAACAACTCGGCGAGTTCGATCCAGTACTCGAGTTTGCGCTTCGTGGCCGACTTGTCTTTAGGGTTCTGCAACTGTCAGCATCTACTCTATTATAGAGGAGATTGAAACTACCTTCCACTGTCCAGGAGACAAATGTCCCACTGTGGACATATCAAAAGCATTGATCAAGATCTGCTTCTTGCCACTGCCATTGATGGAGCCATTTTGGCCATTGGCTGCACTTGTATCCCCCATAGCTTGAAAGACTCGCAACCAATTCACTCAGCTAGAGTCCAGAATTTAATATCGATATACAGTAAGAGTGAGGTTTTACAATAAGTCTCAGAGAAATAGGCGCTTTTGAACAGCTCGGAGAGAAGTCCTGCATTGATCCCCGTATCCCCCAAGACAGCTTTTGGCCATTTCACGCATATCTCACGCCATAAATTCTGTCAATGACTGTCGGAAATCTCCCGAGATCTTATGCAGCCAGCGACTCCAATCGGAGGGTTTATTCTCTGCAACAAGGTGATGTACAATATTCGCAATCACCCCCACAAAAAGCGCAAATTTAGCCGGCACCTTAAGCACGGTGATGGAATTCGTGTCGCTCTCGGCATTCCATAATGCAGGCAATAGCCCTTTGTTAACGGTTGATTTCCGTCGCAAGCCAATAATGTTTCGTGAGGGGGTGAACCCGAGTGCGGGCAGAATTCATGTCGCCATCAAAGTTGATATGACGTGACACTTTCCCAGCTCAGCAACAGAGTCGATTTGACTCGAGCAAGTACGGCTGAATTGCATTAGGAATTACGCTGAACTATACATGCTTTGAAGAATAAGTCTTCGGTTTGGCTATTAACAATTGTCCGATGTCAGACTCGAGTAGAGGAGGGCTAGACTTTGACTATTTGCTGGTAGGGAGGCCATACTGCATAATGCATCCATAGCTGTAGTAACCTAGACAAACCATCGCTAGATCTTCGAATCATGTTTTCCAATAACATTGGTCTCTTGTGGTCCAGACTCCAGATTGCTTGAATCATCTGCAGTGTCTGACTCGGAGATACTGCTACCTCCGGCCTTTGCCTTCCTAGTACAACGTTAGCATTCATTCTAGATAGAACTGTTGTTGATCAAGTACTCACTCCTCTCGTTTGATGAGAAATTGAACAATATGCGACAGCAAAATCAGGCAGATCGCACTCGCAAGAACGAACGAGTACCCCTTCGTAAAGCGCGGACCCTCAACAGTCTTGAATACCAGCAAAGGCGTCCAAGCAGTCGTTGACTGCGCGATGGTGTTGGCAACAATTAGCGTCAGAGACCTTTCAACTGGCGAATAGCGCATCTGACTATTGATCCATCCGTACAAGACACTCGACATGGCGTTTGCGGAGTATGTCGTCAGAAATGCGAACCAGAGCGCCGACTCGGGGACTTTCCAGATGACCAGGATTGTAAGACCGATAATATTCCAAAGATGGGAGACAGTGATTGCCCAGGCGGGCCCAAGTATCAAGTCCGATGCGAAACACACGAACAGCGTATAGAAGATACCCAAAGCTGGCGAAATGGCAGCGAGTTCGTTGAGACGGCTTGTCGAGAATCGCTTTAGGCTTTTAAGCCATAGCAGATAACCGCCAGCCGAGGTATTGATACAAGCGTTCCAAAAGAAATTATCCACCCACAGCAGGGCCCAAAACTTCCAGTTGCGACCAACTTTAATGAAAGTGCGCCATGTCAGAGGCTGCTCCTTGATGGTGTGAGATGCCCGCTCCAGGCGAATTTTGGCGAGTTGGACGTCTTTCTCCTTCAGAATCAGTCTATTCGGCTTGTCCGGTGTTCCTGGGAGAATGAAGTAGCCCAGGATGGCGACGGGTATGGTGATGATCGCGCATATAATGTACATCCACCTCCAACCAGCGAGCCCGTTGACGCCGTCCAAACGGCTTGACGCTCCAGCTTGGATCAAACTTGCAGTTAGAGTACCCAGTGTGAGGCCGACGTAGAAAATTCCGCCCCGGCGGGCAATTTCATCGCCTCGATACCACGACCCTATAATCGATTAGAGACTTAGAGTTTGAGAGGTCGAATATCGCTCTTACCGAAGATAAAGTGCATTCCTGGGAAAAAGGCCGCTTCGAACCATCCAACCAAAAAGCGATACGCAGCTAACTCGGCAAATGAAGTAGCGCGATACTGGACCAGTGTGAAGATACCCCATGCAACATCCATGAACGGGATAACCCACGACATTGGCAGCTTGGTAAACAGATATGCAAAGGGTAATTGACCGAGCACAGCACCAATAGTGTACATGGTCTGAAGCTTGACGAGCTCATTTCCGTTGAATCCCAAGTCTTCTTTGAGACCAGAAACGTAGGCATTATCTGGCATATCACAGTCAGCTTTGAGTTTAGGTCCACAGAACCATCGATTTATTGATTCATACTGATGTTCGCCTGGTCAATATACTTTGTCCAATATGCCAGAAATGCATAAGGCACAATCAAAAGATCCAGCTTAAGGATAAGTCGCCTTTCCTCTTTGGTATCACTTTCCGCGAACCATTGTAGCCGCCACGATTTCCGAGGTTGTTGATTAACAGCCATATTAATCTCAGCCCTGCTTTTTGGGTGCGAAACAGAAGACAAGTTTGGTCAAGTTATACAAAACAAGGGTCGCAAATCCCGGCATTCGTATCTACCTTCCGCCTACCTGACCTGCAAGATGTCACTGCACACGGCAATGGCGTGACGAAGCCAAGTCAGAAACTCGGCCAAGCACCGAAGTGTCCCGGATACACCCCTGGCAATACCAAGAAGCAAATTCTTCCCACATAAGCAAATAAGGTTGTCTATATTCATGTCATGCTGCAGTCTTTATCCACCCGTCAGGGTTGCCGTTTCAGGTGTGGTGGCCAAGGGATGTGTTAAAAAGTGGAGCAAAGACGTGCGCAAAACAGTCTTCGCCCGCCTAATCTGGTCTCATGGCAATGGAATCGGGGTCAATATTTGTATTTATTGTGACACCCAATGGGGTTTTCTTTAAATGAAGGAAGAGAGATGTGCAAGCGAAAAAAATTGCGAGGCACCCAGTCCTTAGAGCTGGTGACGAGGAAGATCGTGTATTCATGCGCCTATATACTCCGTACATAGTCAATAGTGCTGGACATAAATAACAGGACCAAGCCTAACGCGAAAGCGGGAATTCACAATTCCACAGATTACTTGCAAAGATTCAGGACGCCAGAAAATTTTAATTGGGTGGTGATGTACATTATAATACAAGGTGATCATGGGCCACTTGAGGGACACAGATTCACAGAAAGAGCGCGGGAGAATCTAAGTCTCAGGTTCTTGCTTCACGTTGTCCGACGAAGTTGGCTCTTGAGGCTCGTCCGCCTTATCGGCCTTGCGGCCCTTGCGTTCAGAAGGTTCATCCACAATATCCAACTGTCGCTCCCTGAACGCGTTCTTTTGCTCAATGGTGGGATGAACAGATAAAGTGCCAAACTTCTTGACAGTCTCTTTATCAGAGTAGGTTCTCAATAGCTTCGAATCAGACTGCAGGCGCTTATGTTCGTCCTGCGGGACGAAAGGAGTATACTCGGCCTTCAGCGTCTCGTCAATCACCGTACGAAACCGGGCCATCACCTTCACAGCCAAAGATCCAGAGATATTGCCAGAGCCGTTCTTCAACGCGCCCCAGCGGCTGCTGCGACCGGGCTTGCCGCTTTGCAGGGCCTCGTGGAGCTGGAGAACCTGGAGACGCAAGGCAGTGATGGCAGCGAGATGCAAATCTGCTTGCAGCCTCTTGCCTAAAACCTTCAGGTCGTTGATCTTGCTGCGCTCTTCCTTAGGCAAGCCTCGCAGATTCAGGAGGATGTGCGGAGCTTGGGAGAGAGCCTGGACCAATTCCAGGTATGACTCGAGGACTCGTGGGTCAGGTAGAACGAGGGCTTTGTGCATGATGTCGAGGAGCTCGTTTGCATGCAGGAGCACGGAAGCGTTATTGCGGTCACGGCGACAGCAGGCCATGGCAAGATGGAACAGCTTCTCATTCGCGTTGCCAGAGGGCAATGCTTGGTTCTGCAGAACCTGTACGGCCCGCTTGCTAGCCCGCCCACCACGAAGAAGACGTAGATACTGAGCGTAGGCGATCGCATCGGGCTCGAAACGATTCTCAGACTCGATAGTCAAATGGTCCCAGTAGGAATAACCTGCTGCGAATCCTTGGGGAAGCCTATGACAGACGTCCTCGATAAAAGTAAGCTCCTTGCTCCCCGGTTGGAGATAAGACAGGCCTTCAGTCTTGGGGACAACGGAGTCAAAGATCATGTCGAAATTCTCGACTTCCTCCTCGCCCTCGACTTCCATATCTTCTTCCAATTCGGGCTCTTCTCGCAAGGGCTGATTGTTCTCGTCCACGAATGGCACGTCCTCGGCGGGTTGGGACACAAGTTCCTGCGATCTCCGCAAAAACGCCAAGCGGAACATTGTGAATCGAGAACATTTTGAGGTCTCAGCTGGCTGCTTGGCAAAGATCGGGATACCCATCGTTTGGTGGTAGAGTGCGAGAACATCATAATAATCGCGCTCACGAGCGCCCTCTAGGAGCAGACTTGCCATAGCATTCACAACATGGTTGTCAATTTGCAGCTGGTCTTTCGTCCACCGATATAGAACGTCCGCCCAAATCCTCTTACCCTCCATGACCATCTGGTCTTTACGTTCGACGATCTTGTCCGTTTCATGAGGACTGAGCTTTTCAATGTCATGACGCGACGCATATTGAAGAGCGCCTAGGATGATGGTGTAGGTCCTCATATCTGGTGCCTGAGGGCCCTCTTCCGGGAGGTCTCCAGCAATGCGCCAGAGCGATTCCATATCATTGTGACGATCGCAGACTGCGAGCATGGCATTGGTGTGGATGATGCTGGGCTCGACCTCGGAATTCTTGATCGACTTGTAGATAGACTCGGCCATTTTGACATTGGCGGTAGATTTCGGTGCGTCGGCGAGACCCTTGAGCATGAGCGTATATGTCACGGAGGTGGGCATGCGGCCTCGTTTTTTCATCTATCCAGTAAAACCTGTCAGCAAACCCTAATCTTCCTCTCAAACGTAAACCCAGCCTCAAACACCCACGTCGTTGTAGAATTTAAAAGCCACTTGTGGGAACCCCCGCTGCATGCAGTAGCTGAGAAGATGATTCCAAGCGACATCACATCGCCTGCCTTCCTTCTGCGCTTGACGGACCAGAGCCGCCGCCATGGCCGGATCACCACTCCGCAGAATGCGCGCAACCCGATCCGCCAGATCACGAGGGTCTTCCAACCATTTCAGCTCCATATTGATCGTCCTGCGGTTGAAACTAGCTCCACGGATCTCATCGTTTATCTCGCCATCCGCCGCATTGGATCCGGCAGCGATTGCCATCAACGCGCGCTCTTCCTCTTTGCGCTTCTCCGTGTCGACGACAGGCTTGTCGCCGCGTTGTTTGCGACCCCTATTCACACCATCTCGAGTGAATCTTGCGGGTCTCTCGGAAACTTCGCCAGAGGGTTCGGGATCGTTATCAGTGGGAGTCTCTTCAGAGGCGCCATTCGCGTTCGAGTATGATCGCTGAGCTGAAAGTCGGGACCGAAGTTGACCAGCTTGAGCACCGGTGGCTGCGAATCGTTGGCGAACCAGCCCACTGCGCAGAACCCTGCTCAGCGGTGACCCAGGAATCTGAAACGACATGGCCACGCCTTTTAAAATAGAAAAAAAATGGCAGGACAAGTGGTCAGAGTCGATGCAGGTTTTCGGCCAAGTTGCGCGGAGTCCGCAGCAATTTCTCGGAGATGGACCTTACGCTAATCCATATCTGGTTAGTAACTTTTCCCTTATCATTCAGGTATCATGCTGACAGGGAAACTTGCTGCCTCAGGCCTACAACCACATGGCCCGGCAGCACTAAGCCTCAAGCAGTTTGGCGCAGTGATGGAGCTACGGGCCGCTAGAGCATATTTCTATCGCACCGCAAGTAGCGCCGGGCGTTCATATAATTTCAACATGACTAACGACATACATTCAACATAATACAACTTTTCCTCGCGATTAGACGACGAGGTAATTATCCTCATCTTACATTCTTCAAATGATGTACGATAAATAGACATAAGAAAGGAAAATCCAAGCTTCGGGGTCATATGATATAACAGTCAGGATATGGGATCCAGCCACTGGCCACGGCGTGTCAACCCTCCGGGACATAGTCCTTCGGTTATGTCAGCCTATCTTATGATTGGCGATAGGATGATAAACAACCCATTTCAGTGGAATGTTTCAAAAGGTATGGTTCAAAAAAGCCCGATGAGATTTTGACAATCATTTCGTTCGCACACTTCAGTCGCCGACATGATATGAAGCATTTCTATCTCATCACCGAATGACATCGATTGGCCATTCCATCAAGGACACGAGCTTCGTATTGCCCAGGCCAAGAATCAGAGTATTAATCTTGTAGATCTCAGTGTCACATCTCTTGCCACAGTACCACACCTCGTCCAGAATGGCGATAGTCAAGTACAGATGCGCTAAAATCACCAAGCTCACAGCATGAAGCGTGTCCGTCCCTGGCGAGTCCAACGAAGAGATAAAGTCTTCAGGGAGAAGAGCGGGCCAGCCTGAAACAGCCGCATCTTCCAGCTCAGCTTGGAGCTCGAGGTCGGACATAGAGTGAGAGTCAAGTGGCTTCATCTGCACTACATAGAGTATTCTCATATAGAGATCATCAACCACACCCATAGCCTGTTCGTACACGTCGGGAAGATCTTGATCCAGATGACCACTTTGATCCGATTGAGGTGTCACACTCAGTGGCGAGCCATCAGCGCCTTCTTTGGAGTTGCTGGATTGGCGGAGTGTTGCGCATAGGTCTCGCAAGTTCGAAATGGCACTATTAGCACCGGCGACGAACTTTCGAAGTCTCTTTGATCGGATGACTTGGGCAGACACCATGTTTGACCGCAGATGTTCTTCGCAAAGCTTCCAATCATCATTGGCATGGGTATGAATCAGTAGCGCCCTGAGGCGACATCTTCTCAAAGTTGGCCAAAATTGTCTCAGGATAGACGTGACGCCACGAACAAGGTGAAGCCATTGCAAGTGCATTGTGCTAACATCGAGAAGAGGAGATGGTGACGCATTTGCCGAACTCAAGGTATCCTGAAGTGAAGGTGTCGATGGATCTAGATCTTTGATCCCGAAAGATGCAAATGCAAAGCCCACCACCAGCAAAGACCCGGCCAGCAAGGCTTCTGCGTCTGGGTCGCTGGTGGCACAAAGCGCTTCCTGTAGACCGGCCAACCCTTGTTGATGGTGCTCCATGATTGACCGAAAATTGGGTACACATGTAGGCATGGAAGAACTAGCAGACCCTTGAACATTCGCAGCACAAGCATCTCCACTGGTCAAAATATCTAAGCCAGCCAGGGCTAAGACGAGGTGCATTAGGAATTCATTGACTGCAGCCATTTCCGGAATAACACGCCCCCAAGCCACCGATTTATTCTTGTGCAGAGACATCTTTTTCGAAGTGTGCAAGATGAAGTGTTGAAGTAGATTCAGATCGCTCATGTTGAGGCTAGATTTTGGTTGATTGCCGACATACTGAGGTTCCTGAGAAGGCGCCACATTGAAAATTAATGGGCGAAATGGCACCTCCCGTATATTTTCGCGCGTCTGAACATGAACTCTGTCGGACGATAGTCTCTCGCGAGGCAATGGTGACTGTCTTCTTCTCTGGTCACGTGTGCCTCCTACATTAGGGAAGACACAGTCTTCACCACGAATGAAACATGCACCGCACGTTGGCCGTTCCTCGTCACACTAGTCTTGTTGGTCAACCAGATCAAATAATCATAGTCATAGTTAGGTATGTGTACGTACTTTGACGCGACGCTGCTTGCATTTATAGCAGCCATTTCTAGACTTTGTGTGACTGATCCGTTGCTTGGGACGAAACCGCGACTTCGGCGCACTCGGGAGCATGTCCTCAACTTCCATCGTGCGTGGCGTCATCGTCATTTGCGAAGTGGATGTCTACCGATCAGCTCACATCATCGCATAGGATAATAATAGTTTGTGCGAGAAACAAATTACGCAACGGTGCGTCGGTATTGGAGGAAGTTAGGCGCGAGTTCGGGAGGGAGAATTTAAGGTTACCGAGGCGGCCGATGATTCTTTGCCAGTAGCACCTTAATACATCCACTCCAAATGGCACATCGGTCTACGGATATCCTTTTACCCACACTATATCCAGAATCAAATTTTAACACAATTTCTAATAATAGAACGGAGAGGAAGAAAAGAAGGTACTGAGTGCTTTCTATTTGGTACTGTAAAATCAATGAAATTCGCTCAAAGCTATGAACTGCAACCATGATGATTTCTAAGCTTATCATTTAGGCTGCATAGGCCTTAGATCTCTGCTGCCTACAGTCCTCATCTGTTGACATAAGCTGGACCTCGCTGTCTCGCTTGCTACCGTTTCGTCCAATGAATGAGCCCGGGTAGATGACTGCTAGCACAATTCCAGTCAAAGCCATGAGACAGGCGTCAAAGATGTACAAAAGATATTCTCTTTTCATGATAAAACCATCATTGCCCTCGACGAATTCGGCCACACGGAAGATCGATCGGACCAGAATGAGGAAGCAGGCAGCATAGAGAGCCCACATGATAGATTCCCACTTCTTGCTGCTCTCCGGGGAATGCGGAATACTCCTCCTAACGCGCCAGTGGAATACCGCGGATACGACAACGAAAAAGCCGAAGAAAAGAAGCTGAATGGCAAGACCGCCAATGACGATGTTTTCACCAATGTTCATGGCAGAGAGTGTTCCAGCAGCCATATAACCACCACCTAAGAAAGTCAGCGTCAATGGACGAACATTTTGAGGGTGAGGCGCTAGAGTACATACCTCCACATTGGAGGAGGAACGAGATCACATCTCCAACCACGAATATTTTTGTAAGAAATCGTACCGGTATAATCGACAGTTGATGACAGTTGAGGTTAACAATGACTCTGCCTAGGGTCATATAAATCGAGGCGGCGAAGAGAGGTGGCGCGACCAGAATCAGCATGGTTTGAACAATGTATGGACCAAGCGCCTGGGTATCAAAGTGTGAAAAGATACGAGCAATGTAGCCCGCACATTCAACTGTTGCATATAAATTTCCGAATTAGATTCCGTACCTAAATCAAGGTTGTTTAAAGTCACGGAATGACGGAGTTCTCACAGAGTAGACCGATGATAAAAGGAACGAAGAAATACGTGCGATGTCGCCATAGTCGAATACCATGCAGAATTGTGAGGACCAGAAAAATCACCGCAAAAATTACTGCTGCCGCAATTGAGGGTGTATAACGGTAAAGTGCGAAGTCGACACCTCCATCGCTGCTGGTGCTACTGCTCATGGTAGGCAGATTGGGCAAATAATAAGAACAAAGGCAAGAGTGCGGCTGAAGATAGGGAAAGTTACCATAGGTGCATCGGGGGAAGAACTTGCTTTATATCGAATCTCTAGTCGCGACAATGTCAAAACTACGCTGAAAATAGATTTTTTAACCAGTCTTTGAGATAAACGGTATAACCCAAAAACTTGGTTCCCGCTGAGGAAATGCGAAACCGGGAACCCGAGAATGCGAGAATGCGAGAGAGGAAATACGAGAATACGAGCGGGGCTAATCAGATACTTTAAAAACTCTAGTTATTCGAATGGCGAAAGATCGGGACTTGGCCGAGGTCGCCAAACTATTCTCTTGTATCTACAGAGTATAATTGGCAGTATATGCCCGGAAATGCCGACTAACTAGAAATTTCCGACAGCAATTCAGCGCTTAGCATTTGTTTGCCTATCTGTGTGGGGAACGCTCCATGCATCGTTCTATATCGCAGTTGCCTAGCACTCCCAAGATACCAAAGGACACGCGAGAGGTTTTGAAACATAGGAGCGAGACCTCAAAGATTGAAAGACAGGCATACAAATGGAACTCGATATCAACAAGCTTGAGACTTGTCGAACAAAAATCTTTGTCCACCTAACGCGATCACCAATCTTTAATTACGCTTCTGACAGATGCTGAGGAACGGCGAAAATCCCCCAGCCAAGAACAAGCGATGGGTTTGGGCATCATGCGCTGCGACCGTTGTGGTGGGGAGGTACTTGGCATCCCTATCTTCGATGACTTTGATGCCCTTGTACTTATTGCCTTGCAAGTCGGTATTTGTCACCATTAAGACACCCGCCGCGGCGACTCGGTTATATGGATCATTAGCAGCTTGCATGAAGCCCACGGAATGAGGAATAGCAGCAGCCATGATGTTTCCATCTCTGTCGACAGATAGATTGTCAAGCGGAACATCAAGAGGCATCGTTCTGATCTCGACGAGACCATCCTCCGAGTACTCATGAACGGTGATCACACCCGAGGCGGAGTGGGAAACATAGAAGCGCCCATCGAGGCCTCGTACGGCACCATTAGGGAACGCGCAACTTTCGCAGGCAACCACCTCACATTTGCCAGTGTCCGACCGACAGTATGTCAAACTTCCGCCTCCAAAAAGTATCGCGAGATCGCGAAACATCCCAGCCTTTGCATCATTGTCGTTCGTTACCAGAAATCCAACTCCATCGTCTGCGACCGCAAGGTTATTAGGGGAGATAATAGCCTCGCTAGCTATAGTTCTAATGTGCATCAGAGTATTTGAGGGTGCATCAAGATCGAAAATCTCAATAGTGGAGTTTGCGCCTACTTTGCGGGGATCGAGCGGTTCTCCGGTGGCCGGATCCACAGGCGGTCGATGGTTAATGAGCCAGAACCGCTGTCGATCCCCAGCGCGCTTGACATCGAAGCCCTGCAGGTCGAGATCCCCGGCATAGTCGATCTTGAGCTGATGCAGCCCGTACAAGCCGTCCGCACCTGGCTCGTCGATGTTCAACACAGAGATATGATCGGTGCGTGACCTCGCTGAGACATTGAACAAGCTCCCACTTGGGTTCCATCCCGTTCGAGAGCTGAGGCTAGTGCATGCACCGTACAGTTTACGGTTGTTGTAGTCTAGCCAGATATCTTCGCAGCCTTCAAGGAGTGGATGTTGAATACGTTTGCAGTCCCAGGGGAAATCTTCAATGGGTTGAATCACTCGGCCAAAGCCGAATATCAATGCGAATTTGTCATGTAGAAAGGTGCTGTATCCGACGGCACCGATGACCGCTGCGATTGCCCATGCCAGTAACCGGATGTTACCATGATCTGAAGGTCCACTAGCCCGGGCCATGTTTTGCGGCAATATTCAAGTGTGAAGCACCTTAGATCGAGGGGGTCAACGAAGCTGCGAGACGTCAGCATTCGGCGGTCGGGTTTGGCTTGTGACCCGGAGTTCGACCTGCCCCGATCCGGCGCGAATCCCTTTGGATAGGGCCCCGTCCATTGAGCAATGAATAAACCGACAACAGAGATTCTGAGTTACATTATGAATGCTACATTGTCTTTTCAGAGAAGCCTTCAAATTGACCATTGATTGAGGAGCAACTGAGTTATCATCTCTCTACAAAGTATAGCGAGATAAAGATTCCTGCATACGACACGTCCAAATTCCTCAAATCGACCCCCAAAATTTACCTTGCATAACCCCTAATCAAAGTGATTGCCTTCTGTAGGTAAGAAGACTCTACCAGTGTGTTGTTGACGCTGATTTCTTCAAACAGGAGTGCCGTGGCAGATTTTCACATGCAAATCCTTCGACACTGTTCAAAGTTAGAAATACCATCGACGATCTCGAGAAGTGCCTGTATATAGAAGCCATCTATTCTTACTTTTAACATCCGTTGCATCACATCCCGCTGACAGGCAGGTGTTGAGGGCAAGCACGAATGGATCACTGGCACAAGTGCAGTCGGTGTTTAGGTAAGTACCACAGCCTACTTCCTCGGCTGCTTGCTGGTTGCATTTGAGCTATTCATATTGTCTTATGTCAGTATTACTTTTTCTTGAAGATTAACTAACAGATGTCTCCCATTTGCACACTCATACCAAGCACGGTGTCATGTTTTCAGGATTGTCTGGAGTCCCAGCCATGGCGACAGTGAATAAAACTGCAAGAGGAGCTAGTATCGACGGCTTCATGTTGCAAAATTTATATAGATAAGCTAATGAAACCTTTGGAATAGGTAGAGAAAGCGAATTCTTTGGAATAGAGGGTCATCTTGAATCTTTAAATATAGAATCAAGATCAAAAAGCTGATGTGGACCTAATCTTCCGAGTATACCCCAGAGGCCGTAGACGACAAGCTACTCCGTATGACGTACCCCGTAGTATCCGTCCTAATCAAAATCCGCATATATATATATATATATATATCTACTGGGAGCATATTCGTACGAAGAGTGATTTTCGTGGTCATGCAGGTATAGTAATCATTTATCAATAAACTTACTTCTTCACATATTCCCCACCACTGAGATACCGAGTAACCAGTTGAAACTTCATCCGAGGTGCCCGAGAGCACACAAGAAAGCTCCATGATTACGCAGATAATCTTTGTGTAAGATGGAGGCTTGTGTGACCTCCAAAATTGCCTCAGTGGTCAAAAGCACAATATCTGAGCACCGCAGGCGAATATTCACCTATATCTTCATTGGGCATTCTAGTCTTACCTCATTCAGACGAGAATATTCATCTCTCAGATCACATATTTGAAGAGCCTGGAGCTTGGGCATAGAAATACCTCGAGCAGCCGACTCCCGTATAGCACTGCACGTTGAAAAAGGACTAACCGCGTTGGCTTGAAGATTCCCCTTGACTCCCGACTAGTGCTCTATCGCTTGACATCCTATAATTAATGAGCAAAGTAAACTGGGTACGGGGAACAAAAATGGGGTCCACAAAATCGATAAGTGTGAAGAACAAAAAGCAAAAAAGGAATGAATGAGTGATAAGAGTGAGATTCGAACTCACGCCCCGTAAACGAGATCAGGATTTTTTTGTTAAGGTGGACCTTAACCTGACGCCTTAGACCAACTCGGCCATCTTACCCGCTTCATGTATGACCCACCCCAACTTTATGAATAATAATCATGCGCTGTTCATCGAGCTCACTGAAGTCCTGGAGGCGAGGGAGGTAGTTTACGGATATATTACAGTAAAGAATAATAGAAATCATACTGGAGGATTATCTCGGTCAGACCAAATAAACATCTTCTGTATTACAGGTGCATATAGGCAATGGAGTAATGCAGCCGCCAAGGCAGGGTAACATATGCAATGTATTGAGTGGCTGAAAGCTTTTTTAGACATTAAACTTGGAGATCGTACATCCCAAGTCATCGTTGCTTGAAGCTAAATCCAGCTGTCGTATCTTCCAATTAGTCAGCCCCTGCTGGAGCATTATTGCCAGGTTGCACTTGAAGCTGCTGTCGGAATGCCGATATCCAGGCCGGGTTATCTGCAATGGATTGGTTCCAAGAGTCCTCCGAGTCATAGAGTAATTTTCTCGACTCCTGTTGGAACATCTCATCAGTGGGAATGATCCCCATCCTCATTTGCTGACGAGCATAGCGGCTGAGGTGCTGTGTCAGGATACCCGTGAAAGTGTTCAACGGTACCATTGTTTCGCCCGCTGGTGGTAATTGCGAGGAAGGTTGCAGCGCGGCTTGTTGTTCATTCTGAGCCTGAGCACTTGCATTCGCAGCCACCCAATCCGCCCGAGCGGATATCTGGGCCAAGTGATCCTGCGCAGTTCTATTCGATGCCGAGAATGGGACCATTGTCCCCGATTCCCAGCTGAGAAGATATGGCGGTAGAGAGTTAATGACCTGCGCAGCGATGGCCGGGGGAAAGTCGTGATCCCCTTTCCAGTCACTCATGGTCATTCCCTGGCGAAAATGGTTCGTCAAATGATCCGCTCTCTCATCCCAGTCTTGGAGTCGCTGGTCACAGAACCCACAACGTGAGGTGATGGTCGGACCCAAAATTTTCCAGTCGTCAATCACAGGTAAGCTTTCCAGGCTGTGTACAAGCCTGAGGTGCTGAACTAGGTGGTCCTTGCGGCGAAATATGCGAGTCGAGTCAGAGCATTGGAAGTGATTGTGCCCATCAAGATGTTCGGGGGTTGGTTCCGGGGAATTACAATAGACACAATGCATCCTGCCCGTCACAGTTGATAATGCTGAGCCTCCATGAGGTGTGCACGCCCAGCCTCCCAGATTAAGATGTAAGGACTTTTCATGGCGAGACCAATCAAACTTGTTCTTGAACGTATCACAGCAGAAGGTGCAACAGAATATTCGATCGTTATCCAGTCCAGATGGTTTTTTGGGTTTTCTTTTGCTCTTGCCTACTCGCGTGCTCCCAGATTGCGACCTGGGCGTTGACACTGCAGACCGTGTTGAGGCCGAGGATTGCCATGATGATGCGCTAGTTCCACTTCTAGAGCTAGCAAGTGAGGCCGGTCGGCGATGATGTCGGAACGAAGCGTTCGGTCTAGTTGGAAGGCCTTCGTCGACAGATAATCCTTCCCCAGCCTGTTCTGACTTATTGACAGCCTGCATGATTGCTGACAGGGATGCCGGTTCATCCTCCGGAGGAGATTCTTGCCATCGTTGCATCGGATCCAGAGAGCTTATGCTGGTTGGTGTGTACCTTCCACTCGTTATTTGTCCTAGTCTGCGCAGTGAGTACTGGCTTCTTCTCCTGGGGAGACTCGAAGGACGATTCGGATTTTGTACTGGAATGGCTTGCGTCTTTGTTCGCACCAGTGGCTCATACAAAGATGACTCCCCACTGTCCAGAAACGGCATATATGCATTTGTGTCCAAATTGACCGTCTGGGTATGGCAGAGGGAAGAAGGCGAGATATCAGGATGATGCAATCCAGGCAAGTCAAATTGCGCCTCTTGACCATCGGTGGGAGCCACCGGAGCCGCATAATGATTCGGAAACCCATAATCAGTCATCCCAGGGGGATTTTGTGAACCATCGGGGATCCATGAGTCTGTTAACCAGCCCGATATGGCTGGAAGTCCCTCATTATTAAAGGTTGACGGGACGAACTCGAAGCTGGCGCCATCATAGAGATCTTCTACTTCAGCGACAGCATAGTCGCTTTCAAAATTATTGTAGTGGGTAGTTCCACCCAGAGCGTCGTAGGCTGGAGCGATGTCAGTATTTGGGCTTCCGGCCTTTTGGCGGCGAACTCCGAGACGAGTGATTGACTCACCTAGGGGCGAGCCTCTGTGTGGTTGGGAAGTCGGCGTGGGTGCCTGGGAATCCCAAGATCTTAGTTTATCAGGCATAGATCTCTCTCCGCGCTTTTTTAGCCTGGGGAATTTAGGGCGATTCAAGCTGAGAAGGTGAAAGAGATGTTGGCCGGGTTCGTCCCCGAAATCGGCCCTGAGATCGGATGGGCCTAAGCTCCAAGAAAAACGGAGTCTCGGCATTTGTGGGGCTGATGACCCGTCCCCAGAAATATTCACGATGGCAAATAGCTCTTTGTCTAATTAACTACAGTATGATGTAAATCGAGACAGGCAATCCCAAGGGAACATCAATTATTACCAAAACATATGATATAACGACATAAAATAGAAGCACAGTTGGCATCCTAGGCGCGTTGGCCAATCTTCCTTTCTAACAACCGATTAGACCCAATATATCCACACAACCGGGGCTTCTAAGGTAGATAGTCAACCAGGGGAGGTTCTTAAACGATGAAGCAAGGAAATCTTACTTGAAAGTAACATCCAACATTCATAATCAAATTTACTCTTCGTCATCTTCGATATCCGCAGGAAGAGAAGTGCTGACTGCTGGTCAGGCTGCTTTTGTTTTCTCAGGCGAACCGAAGAGTAATTTCAAGATTGCCCCCGTCGCACCCTTCTTTTCAAGTTGCTTTACCAACTCGTACGCTCGTTTTGGTGCGTCCGCAGCTGTTTTGCCGCATCCAACAGTTGCATCACCGGCAATCTTAGCACATCCATTTCCACACTGTTGGGCTGCAGCTCCACATTTCTGCACGGCGGCGTTGACATTTGTTGCTGCAGTTTCGCAGCCCTTTTTGAACGGCAGTGGTGCACGGCCTCACTAGGCCCATAATGGGCTTGATGTCTGCTGCCAGATCACGTTGGACTCTCTGAGGCGTCATCTCTAGGTCACGATTTGTACAGAGCTCCATTACACCCACTTGAAACTCAAGTTCATCCATTTCCAGGAGCGGAGCAAACGCGTCCATAGAGGCCGGACCGATATTCAATAGGTTGTCAACATCGGGTAGCAGAGGGTTGGAGAGAATCTGGGTGGTTGAATTGCCTGATTAGGCAATTCGCCCTGCCCATGCGGTCCTACCCCATCACCTTCTACTGGCAGATTTAGCTATTTAACTAGCTCTAGACCTTCTTCAATAGATAGGCCCTCTTCGCAGGGTATCTGCCTAGTTGACCGCTGGCGTTTCTTAACGATCCTCTCATTCGCCATACGTAGATTAGAGACCTCCTCCGCTAGTAATACAGTATTATGAAGCGCTTAGCTGTGGCCCTTAATAGTCCGGTTTAATATAGCTTCCACTAGGCTAGGAGGGCTATTCGGCCGCTGGTTCAGTAGATCCTTAAGTATTGAAGATTGCTTATAGAGCTGAACGATAGTCTTAGGCGTTTTTGGTGTGAATTAGCTAAGTCTACTGCTTAGCCGGCTACTTAGTGGTATAGGCGTTCGTAGAGAGATATTAAGCTTTAAAAGGACCCTTCTACATCGACTAGCACTAAACCACTAGCTGCGAAGCTATTTTGAATAGTTAATGGCTTTTAGAAGGCCTCTAACCGCGCGTGTTAGTAGTCTACTAAGAGATCGACCTTATCGATATAGTTATATCCTCGATAGGTAAGATCGCTTACGAGGCGACTATATACGCGTTTAACCACAATAAAATAGCTAATATTTAATAGCTAGAGTAGATACGATATATACGGAGGTATATAAAGAGGTATAATATCGTTTTCTATATAGATTCGGTCGAATTAGGTCGTAAAGTGGCTACTATAGCCATCAAGAATTAATAGCCGAAACCGACCGCGTACGCGCGAATTTATTAATAGGATGAAGAGTGTGAAGGGCTGAAGCAAGACTTGATTCAATCTAACTAGGCCAACATGCTGTTTACAAAAAGCTTAAGGAGGGGAAGTTTATCCTACGCGTTCTCCACGTCAACATGCCAAGGTCTCGTGATACACGTGACCTATATCGGGCACTGGCCCGTGACA